CTTTCCACCCCTTTTTTTTCTCTTCTCTGTTTTTTTTTCTTTTTGAGATACTCGCGGATTGGATGGGAAGAGACTTTTACCCCGTGAAAAAACGTTTAAACACTTTCATATGAATTTTCAGCTCCTTCCTTTTTTCGGAAAAACTCCAGTGTGATTCTCTGATTCATGCATGAGGCTTCTTCGCGCCGGAAAGTACGTGGGGATTTTCACAGGGGCCCGTCGTGGTATTAGTAGAGAAAAAAAAGCGCGGATCTAGGCCAAGCGTTTGTGTACATTTCGACTCAGCAGTTTTTTCTTCCAACGGGGGGGTTTTTTTTTTTTTTTATTCTGGATGAAGTCTCACAAGTTCAACCACATGTATACCAGTGTCGCTGGGGCTCATCCCAGAGGATCGATCGTCTGACATCTCTGATTGCGAATAATTTAAACGAGATCGAAGTTTTCCATCCTGCTGGATGGGCTTCACCGTCAAGATTAATCGACGAGCGAGCATCAAACACCCGATGATTAATTCTCTCGTTCAACAATGTGTTCAAACTTTTTCCCGGTCACCCCGCCTCACTCCCAAAGACAAACGCGTCGATGAATATTATTAATGATTCATCGTGAACTCGAGCTATTGGTCGTTACCCTCGTGATACTCTTCCACATTGAAATTTCAAAAAAAAAATGAAGAAGAGGGATCATACCGATCATTGTACACTTGAACTCGTCATATTTTATCGACGAAAAATACTGTACTCTGGTGGTAATGAAAAGTCAATTGAATGAAGCCAATGCTGAAACTTTTTCTTCGCCAATTACCAAGTGCCAATTATTCCTCTCAAGTTGAGTATAATTTTTTACCTCCCTGGAAATCATCATAAAAAAGTTTGAAAAATGTTGTGATGGGTTGTAAAAAGAACAGTGTAGGAGTTGAAAAAAAAATGTTAATTTACTTAGTTGTCCCCTTGATGGTTGCCCTGATGCATTAAGTTGGTCCGTGATATCGGAGGCGTTTGGAAATTGACCTGGGGAATAGTCTGAGCACAAGGTGGAAAAGGAGAGAGGGAGTAAGTAGTCTCAGCTCGTAAATCGGACGATGAAATTGCGGTGAGGCGCACTCTCACTCTCTTTCTCTTCCACCAAAAGTCCCATCGTGTGCCATGCGGCCTTTATATACCGCATTGCAGAGACTCACCGCACACTAAAGTGAGGGGAGCTTGCATAAAAGCCAACACTACTCTTAACAACACGTACTCCAATTTTTGTCATTTACCTCATTAACGAATTTTTATTAATGATGACAGAAAAATAATGAAAAATAAATGGGATGTTGAGGGCGATTTATTCTGGGCTGGCGATGGCAATTTCCATATTCAGAACGCATACCTGCGTGCTAACTTGATGTTGAAAGTACCCCGAAACTTGTCTACTTCGGCAGTTTCGTACTGTGCAAACGAGCACCAATTGATATTCACCATCGAACGTTTAAAGACTCTGGAAGTCTCGATAACTCAGTTGCCACCGAGTCACTACGAATTCTCATTTGCCCATGTGCCCTACAAAACCATTCTGCCAAATCGGATCAACTAATTTATGGAGAGAACATCCCTTTTCCCGATTTCCCCATAAAATAAAAAGCGAGAAAAAAAAAATAATCCACCGATAAGGATAAAATAAGTGAGGGATAAAACGAGGGAGGAATAAAATAAAATAGTCCGACAAGAAAATTTGCAATTTTATCATTTACCGATGGAGGCATCCTGGATTGTACTGGTACGTCTTTCTCGAGTTATCACCGAGTGAAAAACCTATTTGAACGTTTCGCAAATGCCTCACATCCATTGCGAAAAGAAATTGGATCTGCATTTTAACTCGTTGTGCTTTTACGAGGGCGTTACAAACGCCCCGACTGCACGATGGATATCGAGAATAAAAAGAGAAGAAAATTGAACGGACACAATCCAACACAGTATAGGATAAAAGAATCTCCAATCACGAGGCGCAGATGCCCTACACCTGACAGCATCATGAACCGAGGTAGACATCTAGGGAGCTTAACCCCATTCCTCAAGAGTAACCTATCGAGAGATGGATCCTATCCAACTAGTTTCTCATTTCCAAACAATATAACGACACGTGGCCAACCCACCTTTCCACCCTTTTATTTTTTTCTCTGCGTGCCTCAACATAATGCGTGATCATCAAGGAGGGAGACTATCAACGGCCAAAATAGAAGACCTACCCCCGAGAGAATGAGAATGGGATGAGTTTGAAGAAAGACAGAGGCAGCAAATTATCGGCTGAACGAACAGTCTATTGTTACCAGTCACGAACTTGGCCCAGGGTTGGTATAGCACTAGTCGAGGAACTTCCTAGAAAGCAGACTTACTATTCACTCTTGCATCAGGTAAATAGATACAGAATAGATGCTAATGGGGCTCACAAGTCGTGTATTTAACGACTGGAGGAGTGCATAATCGGCTCTTTCTCCCATCTACCTCACATTTCTACCCCTCGTCCCTCACTTTACTCACTTTCCGCACTTTGCCAACTCCCTTCAGTATACATTAAAGAAATACTCAGCTCTTCCCCTTCGATATCCTTCCGGAGTAAACATCAATACAACCGTACTATAACTCACATTACCTTCCTTGTATAGCCCTCGTCAAATGTCGGAATCAGCATTTTCCATGATTGTGTGTGTGTGTGTGTGTATGGGTGCTCTTGATGTGTTTGTTTAGGCCGGATGCGAGGAGAGATCCAATAGACTCCGGATATTCCAATTTACAACTTTTTCACATCATTCTTTTGTCATTGATTTCAAATACAACATTATATTGAATTACCCTCGCATTTCACCTCATGATATCCCACTTGTGTGTTGACGGAGCCACTGAAATATCACCATCGTTTCTCAGACAAACATATTTACAACTCGAAGACAACATAAGTTAATAACATAGTCCCCAGTGAGATGTATTATTCGCGCTGCAGGTATGGAGCGGAAAATTAACCCACTTTCATTCTCGAATTTGTGGCAAGTGAGATAAAGATGGTGAATGCAGTTCTGTTTCGCCATTGAAGCTCCACTCTGGCGAACAAGCTTAACCACGTTTTATTAGTACACTGAAAGATTAAAGGGGGAAGAATTTGTAAAGCTCCATTCTAATATTTCTCTCCAAGCTCAATTTCCAACCAACACATTTTCACTATGAACACTTGTATATGTTTGTTATAAACATGTACTCCTATCTTTTTTATTCTCTTCTTCTTCTTCATACTTCTTTTTATCACCATCGCTCTCCTTTCCAATTCCCTGCTATTACGGTGCTTTTTCTCCTCCAAGACAGGATATAAATGGGCTCTCGAAGCCCTGAAAATGGCGAGACAAGTTGACCATTGAGGTATTGTCGATGATATCGCGGTCAAAAGTTTCATCAACCTCGTGTGGAGCTGATAAGAAGGGGAAAAAAGTGGTGAAGAGTGAAAAAGTGAGGAAATGTTGAAAGACTTTTAGTATGTGGGTCGAGTGACTCGCACGACAGCTCAGAAGATCATTATCAAAGCAGAATTTTCACGATTTTAATGATGAAATAATTTCAATTCTCCACCCCTCTTCAGCTTTCTATTATTCCGAGCTGGAACGGGGCGGGCGTTTTGAAAAACCGGAACTGTCCCTGACGAAATTGGACGAACAATAATCGAGGGTGAGAAAAAAAAAACGCATAAAACGGGCGACTGGAAAAAAGAATTCTAGAGGATTTTTTTTTACCCATTAATTCCTCGGCGCTAATTGGAATAATCCGGAGTGTGGAAAAATAAGAAGAAAAAAAAAGGGAATGAGAGGTATGAAAAATAAAAAAAAGTACGCGCGAGTAATTCTAGAGTGAGTAGTTCACCGAATTGGCGAGTATTAAATCTGAGGGTTTGAAGGGGTTAACGATATGTATTTTAAATGACAGCATTGAATAAATGAGATAGAAATATCCTGCAGGAAGATTGACATTGACAGAATTGAACTGAAATCTCGTCTTGGCTGGTAGATAATTTAGTTGAGTGCTATCTGCATTCAATGATGAAACATGAACGTTTCGTCAATCCTTTTTCCCATCAAATCTCCATCTCGTCTGACCGTACTCCAATCTCGTAAAAAACTCGGCAAAATTGATTTATCGGTGGGTCAGAAAGAAAGAAAATAGTGGATAAAATTTAGGGATAATAGAGAAATGAAAAAATAAATGGCAGATGAAAAAATATTAAGTTTCTCCTGAAGACATATTGGTCCAATAACAAAGTCGAGTCAAGCCGTGCGTTAAGCTTGGTCGAATGGTCCCCAAATAGTCGTGGGGGTAATCGACGGTTTGGAAACAGAAGTGAACCCCTCACCAAGTGAAAATCGTTTGTCAACTGGCGTTTCTGTGCGAGGCACGTAACCCATACGAGTATCGATAACTCAGTTCAACTCCAACTCCAAAACGCTATCCCCAATGTCCTCGGTTTGTATTGCTCTCATACTCATATCCCCTGGATATATATTTCCACGGACATTTTGCCATTTTATTCAATGTAGAATAGCTCGCGTGGATTTAACCACATATTTGGGGGTAAAAGGTTGAACATTAGACGTTTGCCGGGGATAAGGTATGAAATACTTGGGGTAGACCGCCCAGAAGTCGTTTAAAGGTCATCGAACAAACGAGGTCATAAGGGGTGGTCGTTGTGCAAGGTCGTTACTGGGTCAATCCTCGCGGGTGGCATCCATTAAGTAAAGCTTACACGCGCATTTCCAAATGCGAATACCAGAATCAACGCTTCTGCGAGAAACGCCCAACTGTCCGACTATAATTCCCCACTGCCACTGTCGTAAACCCTATTTTATTGCCAACAACGTCATTTAGGTATTTGCTGTTTGGCTAGCCAGAAGAAGCTCTGGTTACCAATGGCTACCAATCATATCATACATATCATTATTCACAATGACAATGTCTCTAATTGACTTTTCATCTGTTTGACAGGGGCGGTAGGTGGCGAGGGTGGCGACGATGACGACAAGGAGAAGGAGGAGGAGGCCGAGCGGGAGAGGCAGGAGGCAATCAGAGAGGCTGAGGAGAGAAGGAAAGAGAAGCATCGCAAGATGGAGGAGGAACGGGAAAAAATGCGACAGGAGATCAGAGATAAGGTTTGAATTTTTTTATCATCATCCTATTCCATTCAATTTGCATTCAACCCTCCCCCATCCTCTCAACGTAGATACGTTGATTCACACGTGAGATACTTATCACCCAGTGGTTATGGAAAACTTCTTACTTTATTCCCACCTATTATTCCGCTTTTCTCCCTCCCTTTCGCTGTTTTATCACCATCGACAATAACACTGTGTCCTTAATTTGAGGCTTTGAACTGCCGCAATTACCGTCCCGACATCGCTGGTAGTTAGTGACCTCTTAGTCGCTGTTTATTCCAGTCTAGCACGCCATCCCAAATAATTTCTTTTTCTTTTTTTTTTAAACTCGCCGGTGGGAGGCCGGCGGGTGGCCAGGGGAGGGGTGGCGGGTGGAGGGGTGAGAGATGGGGGTGAAACTTTCATTATTATCGAATGTGAACATCAACCCGCTTATCTAGACGTTTCCCTGAGTCTGTTGTTCTCGATTCGTCCTTATTTTTCAGGTCAATCCTATAATCCGATTATCTTTGAGGTATTGTTTGATGCAAGAGCCGCTGTTAAATAACTAGCGGAAGAAATGTATCTTTGAGGGGCGAATTCAAGTCCAGCTGTAGAGTTGTTGTTGGAAAATTTTTGAGGGAGATGGAGGAAAAATGCGGAGAAATTGACATGACTTGTATGAGAGAATGGGCTTTGTCCAGAAGAGGAAAACGGTAAATTCTCAGTGATAGCTCGAGCTCAACAAAATTCCAACGGTTTTCTCGCTGTCTTTGACACATACATGCTTCACATCTACTGACGCACACATTCGTGACAGTACAGTGCACAGAGGAAATCGAGTTTCATCAGTCTCTGCCCCGTCATTCCTTTCCCCGGTGAAATATCGATACAAGAATACCATGTACTCGTTTTTACCACCATTTTGAATCATAAAAAGTTATTTTGAGGCAGCAGTACTCTCGGGATGGCCTCTTGGTTATGTGACCCTGAACCGTAGGTATGAAATTCACTGGATCAATATTCAAGGGATGGGAGAGAAAGAATGAGAGAGATAGAAAAACAAGTGGTGTAGGTCAGAGGCTTTTATAAAAAAAAGTAGAACGCCTTTGGATTGCATATTACATGTAAATATTTCGGAGAAGGTTCCTGAGCCCTTGGCGAAATTCTCTGAAATTTTTCGATATAGCACGATATACACTGGGTTGGACAATAAAGTCAAGAGTACAAAGGGAATATATTGCGCGTAAAAATTGTTTAATTTTTCAGTTGGCCATCAATGGGATAATTTTCGGTGATTTTTAGATTTTCAGAGATAATAATGGACTTGATAAATTCGATGAAATGTTGTTAGGGATTTAGAGCCCTCGATTACAGCTGCTTGCTCATGGTGACTTGAAATGCAAATTCTATTATAAAACAAGCTGTCACGAACAGCGAGAAGCAGGGAGAAAGAACAACTAGAGTTGAGGTATCGCTGTAGTTTCATGCATAAAATAACACAACAGTTTGCATAGGACAGTGTAGACCCCCTCACCCCCTTTTGCGGATTATTCGCTGGCATCTCAAGGAGGCAGACAGCAATGAAAATATTCCAATCCGATAGAAAATCCATGGAGCCGTCGAAGCTACTCCATTTCCTCTCAACGCACATCAGAATGGCTGCGTGCACGGCTCACTGCCCAGTATTCCACGAGGGGATAAAAAAAAATTAAATGAATTCACCCGCAAATTGGAATCCCAGTGGAATGCCACTAGCGATAACACCGCCAATCGCCCTTTATACCACCAGAAGGGGGATAAGATAAACACGCGTGTTTCCACTAGAATCGTAAATCCGGAAATTCCAAATTGTGCTCGGTATCCCAACCAAATCCCACAAATCGCACCTCGTAATCCCTTATTCTCCCAATCTCACATGCCAAAATTCATACTGGCAGCTGCCTTCATTCATCTGTCCCTAAACACCATTTTTTCTTTCATTTTTTTATTTTTATTTTTACAGCTGAGTGATGAATCATTTGGTGTGGAAAAAATTGCAATAAAAAATGCACTTCCGCTGGACAGTTTCATTTTTCCAAAAAAAAAAATAACACGGGAATAAAGAGTGTCGATAAAATATTCAGGTGGTAGGCGTGTGTGAGGCTGACCAAACAGAATTGTTTATCGTGGGGATATTCGGACAGTGGCAAAGCTCTCGTTTCGTGGTATTTTTCATCTTCATTCGTCTTTTAAAGATTTTCCATCTTTTTTTTTATTTATTTTTTCTGTCGTTCTCCCTTCGTATTGTAGGTCCATACACACAAGGAGAAATAACGAGAAAACTGTCCTTCTTGGGTTGCTGTCGAGATAGCTTGTCACGTTTTGTACGGCACACGCGAACCGATTACGGACCAATTGCCCGTCATTATCCGTCGTTGCATGAATCGATGTTCTCTATTCCGCTCTCCTTCTGCATTTTACGCCATGTATTTTATTTTTCAATGGGGTAAAATTAACCGTCACTGTGCGGTTGGAATTTATTTTTAGATTCATCAAGGAAAGGAAACCAAAATTGGTGAAGAATTTATTTTTTCCACTGGCCCTGGCACACCATCAACTCATCCACATCCACTCATTACTCTTTCATACCTCCCAGCAAAAAATTATTCACAAATTAGCATTTAATGGTACACATGATCAACGATTAATCCCTTACAATCGTCAATTCTATTTAACAAGGGAAATTCGTGAAACTGCAGCTCATTGAAAATTCTCGATTCAAACTGGCGTATTTATACTCCTGAATTCTGTCCTCCGAGTTGAATAAAAATTCAAATTAACTTGTAAATATTTACACATACTGGTCACATTCGGAGAACAATAAAATGCTGGATTCCATTGTAATGTCGTCTCTCATTGTGGAAAAAAATCCGAGCGCAGGAACAAGTGAATCAACTCATTTAATTAACCCCCTGAATAATCAAGTTTGTTACAATGTTCCCGTGGATGGTGCACAGCAATATCCAGATGTATAACAGGTATTTTTAAGGGCAAGTGAGGTAAGGGATTGATAATAGTGGAATGATAAATCCCCAGTGGATGCGAATTTAAGTGGAAAAGACGGGAAATGGAGAGAAATCGGGTACGAAGAGAGACGCCGCTTTTATGCCTCGGGCAATCGGACAATCCGCGCTACAGATAAACACGCAAATATAAACAACCTCGAATACGTGATGGTTGTGATAAAGTGAAATTTCATAGCCGAGTGTAGAAAACGAGATTACAACACGGTAAGGTCGATCCATAACAAAAAAAAGAGAACAAATGTGAACATTTGTCGGTGACCTGGCCGTGACGTGATATCAAAAAGGCCAAATAAAATCAGAAAACAGCATGAAAATACTGTTTATAGTCAATCCCTCCTCTCATCGATTCCCTCTAAAATAGTCATCACCCTGATATTTATAGCGATAGAAATGGAAAAAGGTTATTAAAGGTGAGAAAATATTCAATTCACTGCCAATTGCAGTGGAATAATTTTCAGCGTCTCAATGATGAACCAAAAAAATGCTCACTAAACTAAAAAAAAAAATCGTTTAAAAATTAACAAATGAAATTTCATTTATTGGTTTACAAACCTTTTTTTTTAATTCCCCCAATTTTTCTGTCAGTCTGTCTCAGTAACCGTCGGGAATACGCGTCGTAAAGTCAGTCTGCAGCGTCGCCCTGTCATCATACGGATGAAGTAAAACGAGTCGTATTGTACGAGGCAATTTCATTCCCTACTCACACGTGTAACTGCAATACAACTTCAATTATCTTGCTTGACATTGAGCACTTGGTATAATAGGCATTTAAATTCGTGTGTCAAATCGCTATCTTTGCTACCAATGTCTCCCCCTTGCTCTGACAATTACTTGAAATACTTGAAACATCGTGATACCGATAATGCTGAAATAAATAAATAATTTCCCTTGAAGGGGGGTCAGTAACCTTTGAGGAAGTATGTTCAATGACTCACCTATAATTTTCATTATTTGCACGGAGGAATCCTCGCAATTCGTGCCGTCATGAATGAAATTTTGTGGCTAATTGGGAAGGCTCGTATAATAGGCTATTTCCCAGCGGTATATCCCTTGTCAAGCGTTATATATTATTCCTCGTTAAGTTGAGTGGTCGACTGAAGGCACACGACGGCCGTGTAGATTCTCGTTACGCGCTCAGATTCCTTGCGGTTGGTTGACCGAAACGGCCTGTCGCGAACCGAGATGCGATTTATCGTCGAATAGGACACTTGACTCTTCCTATTTCTACCACTCACTCACTCGCATCCCACATATCCTCCCCCGAGGTGAAACTCAAACTACTTTTCCACCGAGATCTAAATCACTCGGGTTATCCTGAATTGGCCAAGTGATTGCCGCTTACGCAAACCGCATTATTAACAAAAAAAATCCTTACAATTCATAAATATCCCCTCAACCACGTAAATTCGTGGAAAATTCGATCCCTCGAGAAAGCTTTTCCCGTGAAAGGGGAGAGAACAAAGAAAAATTAATCCTCTCCTATCAATTAAAATCATGCTTCAGCCCGAGCTTTCAATTATGAACAATACGGTGGGTATAGAATCTCGGCATAATGAAGAGTCTCAGATTCTAAGACTAAAAATCACGATTGTCCTTTTTCACTGGAGAATAAGAACAATGAGAGGATGAGGACAAGAAGGTAGAGAGAAAGACGTCTCGTTATTTTTCCTCATACATCTCCTTATTTCCCCGAGTAATTCCCGCTTTTTCCCAGGCGCTGTCCCCCCCAGGGACCACAAGACGAATGCATACTCACTCCAGCAGCCCTTACTTCCTCACAAATATCACCCATCATCCTGTCACTTTCCAATAATTCATCAAGTTAAAACCATTAGAGTTATTAAAGTCTGTCCACAATCCATGGAGATAAAGCACTCAAGGATTTCCACAAATAAAATGACATTTAATCGTTGTAATTCTATTTAATCTTACCCTTGAACTGTGACCTTGCTCATTCTCGAGACGACTTCCTCCTAATTGCAACAACAAGAGTCCTCAACGTTGAATCCACACTTGGCCCTCAGCTTTTATTCCTTCTCCCATTTTTTTCCAGCAGATTTAACTATGTGGGTCATAGTAGGTTCTCCAGGGTGGTAGCACGACAAACCCCAATTAACGTATACAAGTTATAGTACTGAGTATCACGCGAGACGTTTGATCGCGTCCCAACGAGACTAATAAACGACCTTTCAGCTTTCAGTTGATGTTATATTTTCCTTCCTCTTCTTAATCCTGACATTGAGGGAGAAGTTTAAATAACCTTGGAGGAAAGAAGCCCATCGAGATTGTCATAGGCCAATTCTAATGGATTTCGCTTTATGTAGGTTATTATGGAATTTTAATGAACCAAAGGAACTAGCTGTTCGTGTTACCTGTGAGCCAGATTATCTTATACTGTTACACAACGTGACCTCGAAAGACCGACCTCGATCGAAAATCAATCCCTACTTCTGATATTTGAATTATTTAAAATGGTCTATCCTCGAGTTGTTCAAGTGCCTTTCGAGCCCTCCAGGTTCCCTTTGACGAGCATTATCAAGGCATTAAATATTTAGTGCGCAACCCAGGTTCCCCCTGGGCTCATAAATAGACCTGGTTTTTTTCGTCAATGAGCAAATAATATAGTGGCGTTCCACAGTTTGGGGGTTATAGAAAAACTGACAAGTTTGGTGTGGGTGGAGGGTGGCTTGGGATATTCCCACAGTGGGGCGGGCACGTTCCGCTCAAACTTTCCACTGAATTACACTCACAGCATATTCGCACTCTACTTTCCAGCATACCGCAGTGTACCCGATGTTTTACCATGTCTATTCCCTGATACCTAGCTTCCAAATTTTATCCCCCACGTTTCAACCGGATTATTCACAGGGGAATTTCCACAAGCAAATGGCTGCACTCCGTTTATCTATCGCTTTTCCTTGTAATCAAAAGTTTTTTCAGTGGAACCTGTACTAGATCAATATCCAGTATAGGTTCCAGTTTCATCAGCCAAGGCTTTATGGGGCATATACTCGCGGTTGAGACCAGCTCCGGGGAAGCTGATCTATGAATTTTGGGGAAGCAAATCGACTTATCTGAAAAATAAAATTTCTTTCATCAACCAACTGTTGATTTCGCATATATTATCATTGTTAGAATAAAAATGTTAATTCAGGTTCAGTGTCATCTCTTGATATTGGTAAAGGCTGGCGAAGATAAAAGTCACTCTCCACTGGATAGTGTTGTCATAAAGTATATATTGAAAATGATATTGACGCTTCGGCCAGTGTCGACCAGTAAAAACACTTTTCTCTTCGTTCTACTCTGTATACTCTTCCGCACCTATTCAAAAGCAATTTCCCTTTGTGCATTCGCTGAAATATAATAACAGACAGTCGAACCTAGCAATATAATCAAGAAACAGGGAATAAACATTGAAAAAGAACACAAAGGGAGGAATCGAGAGGTAAAAAACAATGCTAGTCAAAAATACTAGACAGCTTTCCAATTTCCATGAATTCACGTGAAAGCATCATCTCTGTCAGTCTTGCTCGAATTGGTTGGGATGTCAATAAAAATGATCCTGTGAATCCAGTGAGAGTGGAGACAAGAGAGTATTCCACGTGTGTGTGTGTGTGTGCATGAGGATGCACAGTGGGTGAGAGGCTGTGAATAGTGTTGAAGGACTGGACGTGTTAATCGACCATTTGATCAAGTACATATTGGTGCTTGTCATGGAAATTTCAGTGATGATAAAAAAAAATGCGAGAATGAGTTATCATGAGTTTAAATAATAAATCATGTGAATTCAATCGATGAGGGAGGAAGGGAGGAATTTCAAGTGAAAATGAAAAGGAAGAGAGATGCTGGGCAGGATGAGTGCAGGAGAGCTTTCCAACCGGGTGTTATTAGGTTAAGTTAATAAGATTAAAGTAGTCTGAAGGGGTTGGTGTGGTGGAGCCGGCAACGACCTGGGAATTCAAGAGGAAAAAGGATGAAAGTAATCAGTTGGAGATGCTGAAGAGGATGACAAAGAGACGAAGAAGACCAGAACTTAACTGGGGTCAAATTGACTCTAGTAGGGAGTCCCTGCATTCAATATGGCGACTTCCTAATAGAGTCAGGCTGACTCCTTTTAAGACGCTCACCATGCTGCTGCTATGTATTATATATATGTACAGTTTATCAACCTTCCTTGTACCTTTATTCTAGTCTTGCTCCATCAAGTCTCTTTATCTCACCCAGTGAGTCGTCATTTGTGTGCACCACTAATCCAATTTTTACTGAAACATATACCTCATGCAGGTTTCAACGATTTATCTGGACTGATATATTAAAGTAATGACGAAATTCTGTCAATGTCTTTCCTACATCAATATAATCAAATAATCTCTATGTGACGGTAAATTAGCGCCTATCAAAATCCAAACCTCTAGGTCTCTCTAAAAACTAACCACATATCTCCATCAAACTCCTATATTTTTTATCCATGAAAAATACTTTAACCATAAATTTTTTTATCCTCTTCACGTTTTAATAGATTTCGTATGAAACTGGTAGCGGAATTTCCAGCGGAAATTGCCTGGTATGCACGAACCAACGTGAATCAATTATTTCTGCATCGGCCACTTCAATCTGTCGGGCGGTGGAATTTTTTCACCGAATACTTTTTTTTTCCCATAGTTACGTCAGCACATTCGCAAAAATGTTGTTCCCATTTCACTGAATTCTATTCATGAACGTAATTTGTTCCATTTTATAAAGAGTTATTTTTATTTTTTTATTTTCGTTGGATGGAGGGATTTAATCGAAAACTGTGATGTAACTCCTCTAGATTTCGCGCTCGTTTTTATGTCAGTGTCAGCGAATACCTCGGCTGTATGGAAGGCAAACAAATGGAAATGAAAAATAACAGCATTAATTTTGGAACAAAATTTGTACAATTTCTCCAAATGAATTGAACGATCACCTCGAAATTGAAAAATGTGTGAAAAATATAACGAGCCAGGGCTGTAATATCATTTCGCATATAGCAGAGTACGCTGACGCACATTCCTCATATTGAATTAGAATTTAATCTAATTGACATAATTTAATTTAACGAGCCCCAAGCGGGTAGAAGGGCAAAAGCCTGCATTTGCGGCTCGTTCTAGCCCCGCAATGCGGACCATCCATCGGTATTTTTTTTTTAACGCACACACAGGTTCAAGGCTCAAGGCAACATAGGTCTACCCCCAGTATGAGAGGAAAAATGAATAGACGAGTTTACTCGAGTAGTATTTACTCATATGCAACGACTCCTGGAGTATGGTAATAACCAAAATACGCTGGTGCACGTAGGGGGCCATCGTAAAAGCATGGGTACTTAATTCAGCGGTGAGATTCAAGAGATATAAACCTTACTCAGCATTTACTCTGTTTGTGATGATCTAGTGCTGAATTCTGGGGCTATAATCACTCATCTACGTGCGTAAGCATCATTCTGTATTCAAGCCCTGGAGTAACTGTCGAGTTTATGGCAAAAATAACAGTGTAATTGTGTTGAAGATAGAGGTGGCACACAAACCGGATCCCTCTTCACCAGGATGTCTCATTTCAAGTTTACGGTTTCTCTTGGCTCGGCTACATGTCCAAGTTGAACGTCTTTGCCATTAGCAAAGTTTCTCGTCAAGTAAAATCGATGTTAGACCACATCATGATCGTGCTTTCAACGGTGGAGGTCTTACCTTCGCTCATGGCTTTCAAATTAATTATTGATAACGTTCGCCCTCTTCAATTTCTCCGGCCTCGGGCCATCGATATGGCGAGCCAATTTAATGGCACCCGAGGCTTGGCACCAGTGCCCTCAAGTGATTGAATTCATGCGGGATTAATTAACTCATGCTAACCATGTGCCGTACTCCTTTTTACTGTCCACTTATCTCGGCATATCTTATTTATATGATTGCAGTACAATATAAAGAAGAGAGAAGAGGTGCAGGAGATGATGCCTCAGGAGGAGCCCAATCCCCTGATGCGCAAGAAAAAGACACCGGAGGAGCTCGCTGCTGAGGCTGAAGCTGAAGAGCAGGACGAATTCACCAGTGAGTTGCATATTAAAATATTTCCATTGAAAGGTCTAATAATTTTTGTCCCATATTTCTATCGGCAGGGGTCAATCATTGCTATATTCGTACTCACACGGACAACATTATTTATTTATTTATTTTTTGTCTTTTAGAACTCAAGAACACGTTTGAAACCCACGTTACGGAGATTAAAACACAAATTGAAAACAGATGCAGCTTGCAATGAGCCATCCCGATGCGTCAATTGCCAGTGACAGCTGATTGTCATTGGTCTGGTAGGTTGGCAGCAAGTTACCGAGGGAACACAGTACGAGTATAGTCAGACAACACACTGGAGAATAGTGAATGCGCGGGATAAGACGGAAGGGTGGAAAAGAGTAAAAGAGATAAAGTTGGGGTGGAATGCAGTCATCGTCGAAATAGTCGAGTCACGGCACGAATGGAGCAGTGCGCCCTCTCACGGGGTGGAAAGAGTGGGAGGGTGAGTTCACCGGAAACGTTCGGGAGCTTTTCCAAATAAAAATATCGACCTACGGAATACTAAAGAGAAAGAAGGTAGACGGGTGGAATCGATTGTACGGATTCGTGTCACGCATTCTTCCATAGACTTGAGGGCTCATCCGGGGGAATACGAGTGGGAGATACGAGAAAATGGAGCTTGACTCTAGAAACGACATTTTTAGAAATCGGAGAAAGAAGACCACTCAAGTCTGATCGACCAGCCAATATCTTTAAAGTAGGTGCATTATTCGTGGAGAAATTTTCTACCAAGCTCAGAACATTTTCACATCAAAGTTTCATGACAACGTGGAGGAGGGATGGATGGAAGAAAAAAGAACGAGTGGAGGAGAGAAAAAAAAAAAGAAATACAGAGTAAAGAATAGAATGGAGGAGACATGAAGACCCTCAAGGACTTTTGCAAATTACTGGTTCAATCACTCGATGAGAGCGTCTATCCATTGATGAAGAATTCCATTGTTCCAGGGGTTCAATGAGTACCGCCTGCTTTCTCTTTATTCCTTCTGGTATTACTCCAGCATCTCTCCAACCAGAGCCACTCATACTTTAAACATTGTTCTGAAATCTCGAAGGTGCCAAGCGAATAAAGTTTCCCAGAGTGAAGCCCCCCATAGAGTGTTGCCCATAAATCGCCGGAATTCTTCCTTCTTTTTGGTATTTCCAACCCAACCGAAATTAAAAGGAATGTGATTTAATTAAGTAAAAGCTTGCGAAGATCCTGAAACATCAATCGACGAAACACCGAGGACAATGACTGTCTTCCCATTGACAAACGGCTACAAAAGTGAGAAGAGACGAGACAACAATTCATATAATGAATAATAAATCAATGAAAAAGAAAAAAAAAACAAAACAAGTATGTAGTCCTTAAGTTTATAGTGAATTACGGATAGAAAACTACCGATAGCGGAGTTATGTAGTTGTTGAACCGTGCGACGGCTGTTTGAATAATAACGATTTAAAAAAATTAATGACAAAAAAATTAGCGTTAATTAAAACAACAGATGCAAAAAAAAAATAACCAATAAATGAGGAAAAACACGTAGTTAGGGACATAGGGCCAGGGGGACGAGAGCCTTGTGTGTGCTTGCGTGAGTGACTGAGTGTTTTTTCGGATGCATTGGGAAAAAATAATAATAATAAATCAATGAAATTATTTATTTTGCGTGGTTATCAAGTGCGAGTGTGTTTTTCGAGAGAATCAAGGAATTCGGAACGGATTATTCACGAAGAAATAAAAAATGTCCACGTGAGCTGAGCTCGATGATCTCTGTCTCGTATTTACAGTGATATCCAATAATCGGGGACGTGAATGTTGCGTTGACATTTGTTAAAGTTATAAAAAAAAAAATAGTTGGATGTTGAATAGCGCGACATGGCGTCCTCGCAATTGGAATGGAGGAAATATGATGAAAAATGAGAAAGAGGGGAATAAAATGGTAAATTGGAGGCACCGATCAACGTGCGAGTGATGCATGCCTTATATATCTACAATATAATAAATAATTATAATAAAAAAGAAAAAAATACATGCGATAAAGTGCGTCGAACGTTCTGCCTGCCAGGAAGATTGGTCTGACGCTTGAGGCATATGAGGGAGAGCGAGGAAATGAATAAAAGAGAGTCAAAAAGCTGAAAGAAAGTAAGTGTAACAGTAACAGATTGAGTGTACCGATGCAATGCGAATAAGCATTAAGTTTAAAAATATGTCATACCATTTTTGTATGAACGATTGAGAAGTAAAAAAATGTATTTTTTTAATTTGAACGCTGTTTTGCAAGGTTGTTCAAACTTTCGCGGAATTAAAAGCCAGCAAGATGATGAGATGAAAAAAAATCATAGCTTCTTTTAAACCCTAGTTTCACTGTGGGATTTTCACCCCCTCTTGACCATACCATTTTTCCCGTGACACAGGCCCGTGTCATTCTTTATCTATAGCCATTTTATTTCACGATTTCATTACGAGAGCGGCCTTCTCGTGTTTCGACGGACCACTATTCTCGAATTGTGCCCTTCCGCCCAACATTAGTGAAACCTCATCCTCAGAATTAAAAGCGAGAGAGAGAGAAAACATAATTCCTCGTTCACGTTTTATCATTCCATTTTCTTATTTTTGTAACCATCTCTGTGTATATCTCAATGTTGCATGTACGTGTAAACTTCTAAATGCTTGTCTGTCTATGTCGCTCTGCTGGCTCGTGTCCTCTCTTGATCGCCTATATACACACGCCGACACGGTATATCTCAGCCCCTCATGCACAGACTTTTATCTTTCTCAATTTGTTTTTGTTTTACTCTTGATACTCACTGAGTCATTTCCCCCGTGTACTGTGTCGCAAATATGTGAACGAACAATGAAATGGCTAAAGTGGTATATATACACAACATCTTTACACACATCGATATATTTTTTCATCGTCCTCCTCTCCCCTCTCCACAACGACACAAAACATATATTTTTTTATGATGGACATTGATGCAGCGTTATAAAAAGAATGTTCTCGGTAAGGTGATGTTAACCAGGTGAAATGACTCACTATTGAGTGAATGTGTGGGGGGCACGAGGTACCGGACACAAATGTCCTCTTTATCTTTATCCTCTTTTCCTCGGATAAAATTTTACTATTTCATCTCATGAATTTTTCTACGGTAGAACGTGTCAATTTTCACTTGATACTTATTCCCATCTCCTCTCTCCTCAGCTTTCTGCCGTTGAAATTCCCTTTTCCCTTCCATCACAAACTCAAACGAAAATCTCTTCTCTTGTCCCACCTAACAATGATATGTAAGAGAATAAATACCCCCTTCTGGTGAATCCCGCCAATCAAATCCAATGCGATATTACTCAAAGTCAATTACTCAATTAAACCAAAAGAAATACTCAAGCAAAACAAATATTATGAAGAATTATAACCCAAAGATGTATATTTAATTAGACGAGCGATCTCAATTATTTTCCTTTTCTCAGTGATAATGGAGATTAATCAATCTACTGTAATTTACTCATTATATCACGGAGAGGGTCCTGCCATATATCTTTACTCCTCCTCCAGGAAGACCCTCGCAATTAATAACAGAGAAACAAATACGCAAATATATGCCGAACGAATATTATTCTTCGATATGCAAATAAACATATATATTCTTAGCAAATCTTTTCCTCTCTTGTTCGCACCTTCGATGTTTCTACGTGCATGTGTGTATATCTATTCCACTCATATGATTGAATTCCAAGGAGAATTTATTCCAATTATTATTGGAATTTTATCAATTGAGAGGTCTATAGCTAAAGCGGTAGCAAATAATATCCTCCACGTCTACGCAGTGTACAATGTGCTGCATACATTCGTACTCAAAGTAATTAAAAACTACGAAAAAAAAAAAGCAAATTAAGAAACAAAAACAGGAAATACAGTTTGTGTCTACTTAATCTTCGTCTTGCATAGAACAATACCACGAGCGATGGAGATTGCGATGTTGCTATTACGCTAATTGTTATAATGCTGGGTAATGCCGTATGTCGTTGTTGTTTCTCGATATTCAAAAGATGATGATGATGATGATGCGTTGATTGAGACGAAGAGCAGAATAACAGCATAAATACTGGAAGTGTTGATGTTTAATAAATATTAAAATATGATATGGGCAATGTTTGCACCTTTGAGTACACGGAGAAAAAAAAATATCAATGGCGTATAATGAAAAAAAAAAACACTCGTTCGTTCAATGATTTTTCGAGTCTAGATTTTTTTTTCTCCCTGTGTACAATATACTTTTATATCGCGCACGCTTTTATCGGTCTCCCAGAAACTACCGAGAGGAATTCATATGGATGCCACGATTCGAGAATCGATAGCCCGTTCAAACGATCGCCGCGGCCTAATTCGACTGGAATTCATTTATTTTTCAACGAGTGGACATAAAGAAATCAATTTCACCTAATCCATTGATGTTCTCTTCAGAATTGGCTGTATCTAGCCCGTTGATCTCACAATTGCCGATTGTCAAATTAATTTTTGTGAGAGCAACGAGGATCACTCTCTCCAATCTTTATTATGCAACCTCTGTAATATCCACCAATTAACAGTCCCTCTTACTTGCATAAAAATAGATAAATAATGTTAAATACCAAAAAAAAAACGCCACCCTATGGCCTAGTCAGGCAATGTGGCACGTGATATCAGAAGAAATTAAATAAACTAAATATAAAATTAACTTACGCGTTATTCGATTCGTGTTTCGTAGGTTCGCCGGTGATAAACTGAAGAAATGAAAACCTCTGGAATGATTTGTTCATGAAAATAAGACTTTTCAACTCAAAGAAAGGCATCTTGGTTGAAAGTTTTGGCCCTTTGGAGTTTAGAACGAGCCGCGATGAATCCACGCCGGATTGAGGCAGTAAAGAAAATAAAATAAAATAATTTGACAGATGGCAGAGACTTCTAGAATGAGAGATACCGAAAATCAATAATTTAATGTTTCAAAATCGCCGAAAGAACTGAGAAATTTTCTATGTACATAATTCTTAATAAATGAATCTTTCAAAATTAACCGAATGAAGAATTACTGAGTGAAGCGTATAATGATTGTGAACCACTTTTGTTAGACGAAAATAAAGTTAATAAATAAATAAAAATAACCATGAAAATGATGATATAAAAATATCATGCAAGCTTTTATCATTAATTCTAGAATTTTTTTCGGATGAAATTGTCGGAAAAAATTCTGGCTTTGACTGGATAAAATGGCTTCGCCATAAAAACCAATGGCATTCAAATAATACCACAATAAAAACCATGTATGACTATTCAGAGACAACGACACAACGCATTATGAAGTAATGAATAATAATCTTAAACCTTATTGAGCATTATCGAGTATGATTACGAGATGAAAAACAAAAAACAAGTTATTATTGCGTTGATGAATGATTATTAAGCGTATTGCATAGTGAGTTAGATAATAAGGTGAGAATAATGGATTAAAAAGCAAAAAACAAAATAACAATTAAACGGAGAAAATTAGGCTTTAGCTTTGTACGTGAGAGTCTGATGTAGTGGAGCGATGCAAGAGTGATAGTCACATGAAGATTTGATGAGAATTCGTAATAACGAGAGTTTCGAAGAGATGAATGAAAAATTCGCGTACGCCATCTCAGCCTCGAGCGAACCCGTGCGATTTTTACCATTATCGTAGCACCAGGAGAAGCTTCTCTCAAACTTTTCACCAATTCACGAGATCCATTAATAAATCAACAACAGACTAATGAAGATAAATGCATCAAATGGACTTTCGATACTTATTCGCTAGTCAGAAAATTTATAAAATGTTCAATCACCTCTTCCCACCATCTCTCGACTACTGAAAAATTCATAAGAATATACGTTGTATCATTCCATCTCCAAACGACCTCCTTCAATACTTGCTGGATCTCAACATCACGGGGCAGAGATTACCTTCGTAAAAACTCGGCAATAGGATACGATACGGAAGAGAATTTTAAAAAAATATGAACAATCTTATAAAAGTTGAGTACTCTCTCGTCGGCTCAAAAAAATCGCACGCTACTTGCTCAGAGGTCACCGAGATTAACATTAAAAATAATAATTCAAGAACCGTGATAGGAAGACGCATCTAAGTGGATACAAAAATTGATAAAAAAATTGATGAATAAATAAATAAATCGATGGAAAAATTTGGGAGGAAAAAATCCTTGTATAAAGTATAGTGCTTAGCGGCTAAAGAACAGGAACAAAAGCGAGTTTGTTGTTGAATATAATATTATGTAAACCTTAAAACAAGAAGTGACGATGATGATAATATTATATTGTTGTTAGATATATATATATATAAATATACATATATTATATATATATATTGATATAAAAATGAAGTAACTTTAATTGTAATAAGTAAAAATACACTCTCCAACACAATTCCACAGCCGTAAGAAGTACCACAGAATCCCTCACGGTGAACACGGTTTTTTCGTAGATGGTGATATCACCGGCTCTTAGAAGGGTTTATTGTCCCCATTCGGACACGCCCCTCAATTGTTACTCAGTCAAGACAATGATCTCCAGTACGAATCAGTACAAAGAGAAAATAAAAACATTGAAATTATGAAATTCCTTCAACAATGCATGTGGAAGTGAGACTATTGACTTGGGGGTTGCGTCAAATCGTTATAGTTCTTATCACTAATTCATAGAATTCCGAAGAAAAAAATGGAAAAGCATAAATAAAGCCGAGGTTAACGAAGTACGCATTTATGTTATTTAGTTCTAAATCATTGAAGGTCAGAAAGAAAAACTTAATAAAAATCAATGATGTTACCAATATTCCGTTTTCTTCATTTATTTATCCTGATTGGCAACATATTTTTATTCCTCAATAATTCTGAATAGTGGGACACTTGGTATGTGCATTTCACTCGATTCTGCTGACGATTAGAAAAATGCGGACGTCTGTCATTCTCAGGCCCGCAACCTCGATACCATTCGGCTCTTTTGCGCAATTCTATTTGGAGCGTCAATTTCAAAATCAGTCCAATTTTATTGGAATGAAGAATGCAATCCACGCTTTAATGCACACCGAGACTGATTTTTTATGATGATTGTTAGGAAACCGATATCAGTCGACAATCAAGAAGCGCTCAGAACGGTTGCACTACAGTTTTCTCCAACTATTTCCCCAAGTATTTCAACGTTTTTATTTTTTTTTTCTTTTTCATATCGTACAATTGAACTTGTTCGTCGTTATGGCGGATAACTCGTGAGGGCAGTACAAGTTTCTGTAGACCAGTAGAAAAAATTGAGATAAAGTAGAATAAAAAGTTGTGAAGAGGCGAGTAGAATGACGACTTTAGGAGCAGCCGCATGGCTGAGCCTGGCCCTCTTGGTTGAGGGCCTTTTCGCTGAGGAAGTCATCCTCAGCGTCAACACTAAAAGGCCATTGGCAATCACCAGCGAAAAGTTTCTCAGCATTACTCTCGATCCCGCTGATGTGCTCACTGGAAATTTCATCACGTACGTTTTTCATGACATTGAAAATTTTTACTATTCACTTCAAGTCCAACTGACTCTTCCATATTTTTACAGAGACAATCCCGAGAGAAGTGTAAATATGGCGAGGGCTTTATCACCGGCGTATGTACGTATAGCCGGACCGAGGAGTAATTCATACACCTTTGCGAGAGCTTACACAACCCACGAGGAGGATCCTAGTTTTATTTTTACAGGCAAGTAAATAAAATGAAAATAATTAGTAACTCGCTGGAAAATCGGGATTGGCGGAATATTCGGGATATTATTATTCTGTTGGCGTATGAGAATGAAATAGCCAGAGTACTCCTGACAATAGCACAATAACAGCGAATATTGGCGAGACTCCAGTAAATAATAAAGATAATTCAATTGGAATGACAGAGACACAGTGGAATACGGTGAACGGATGGGCTGCGAATTCGGGTTTAGATGTGGTAGCGGCTCTAACGCCTCAGCAGCATTCCGAGGGGAATGGTGGAGCAACAAGAGATGCAGTTTGGGATTCCCGAAACGTACTGGACCTCATTTCATTTAGCGATCATATGGGTTTCAACATCAGCTGGCAACTTGGATACGGTAATTAATTGATCCTCAGAAAGCCTCACAATGGTTCATCGAAAGCAATTATAGAAGGGTAGAATGTAATATTGTTGGTGATGCTGGTGGTTGTAGAATGCCAGACGAGATGTGACATTAGTGGGGGAGATTTAGGCAAGGACGTGATGAGATTGCGAAGTATGCTCGAGGCATTCCCCAGATTCGCCAGGAGTATCATAGCTGGACCGGATGTTGTCACATTTAAAACTAGATTGCAGCAATCGTATCTCCAAGAGTATTTGAATGCCGGTACTGGCGGCCTCTCAGCAATTACGTGGCATCCGTAAGTCACGAATATTAAACTTTCAACCGAGGTCTCCACAATTTTTCTATCTCGAGGTTTTACCCCCTTTGTTGTGACTTGTGTCATTGAGATGAACATTCCTTGGCTTCTCATTCGTAAAAGCCAATTTAACATTTTTCTCAACAATGTTTTTCAAGGGACTTTGCCACTATCAGCCTCGATCCTATTGGAGTCTCCATGCATCACGATAATTTAGCTCTGGACAGAGACGCTCTGTACCGAATAATTGGACGTCACATGGCAAAGAAACCACTCTGGCTCGGTAATTAATTACACCATTAACCACAGCTCGTGGTATATCACAACTCTGAGAGTAACGATTTATTTCTATCCAGCTGAATCGAAATCCGAGGAATGTAAGAAACAATTTCTGGGAGCTCTAGTTTGGACCCGACGTTTGGGAAATTCAGCGAAACTTGCCCAAGTTCTGATGAGGCAACCTCAAGAGTCAAATCTCTTCGAGCCAACCCCAGTGAGTCGTAGCTACATGATATCCTCCTTAAACTCAACTATGCCAGCATTGAGATAACTTTAATAGCCTAATTTTCGCAGGACTATTGGGTATCCGTTCTCTACAAAACTCTCGTTGGTCGTGAAGTTCTCGATACCAAAATAGCAATGGGTAACCGCACCCACATACACTTCTATTGTCAGTGTACAAGACCCTCCTCAAAGTACGAGAAGGGCTCCCTTACTGTTTTTGGCATCAACCTGACGCCCGTTAAACTCGCTGTTAGTCTGAAAGGGCTCAAGATTAAAACTCTCCACAAGTACATTCTATTGCCAGGCTTCGATGCGGAAAACCGAATGTTTTCCGAGTGAGTACATCCTTTGTCAATTACACTGTCGTACCCTTTTTTTTTCGTTCATACTCAACGAGAGTTTATTTTAGGACTGTACTCCTCAACAACCAGCCATTGAAACTTGAAAATGGAAAGGATATGCCGGAAATTAATCCGCTAGTGGCTACCAGTGCAAAGGGACTCACCATGAAGTTGCCCTCTGGAGGGATAGGCTTCTGGGTCATACCCGATCTCAAGGTTTGACTTTTTACTTTATTCTCCCTCTCTCTTACTCTCAGTAGCCAACAAACAATGCTGTGGCTGTGGAATTTAATCATTGGTATTGGTTGATTATAGGTGAAGTCTTGCGAGGGCCAGGAGAATGACAGCGTAGATAAGATGGTGCTGAAAAAATTGGCAAAGCGCTTGGAGGAATTTGGATCGGAGGAAGACAGCGGTAATGAGGAGGCTGATGCCCAGGAAATTGAAGACGACTCAGATGAACGTCGCCCATTACTAAAAGCATCGAAAAAGCGCAGAAAAAAGGGTCGTTACAGCGCTGAGGAGGATGAGTTAACGCGATATAAGAAGTTGGACGCCAGAAGAGATCTCGAGAGGCTTGAAAAATTGTTGAGATGGCGTGAAAATATCGAGGAGAGACGAGCATTAACGCTGCGCGGTAAACCAGCCCACATTGGTTTTGATGATAAAAGCTACGAAATTAATGGCGATAATGCATCTGAGGAGGAGATACGAGCGAAATTACAGATGTACAAGCGACGGTTGGATGAATACGAAGCGAGAAAGAGGAATTCTGTGAGACCGAGAGATAAAATACATGAGGAGAATGAGGCATTGGATAGAGAAAGAATTGAAGAGGCCATGAGGCTTATCAGCAAGGTGGAAAATGCCATGAAAAGCCTTGAAGACAGTCAGGATTCACTCGACGCGGGAAATGACATTGCTGCTGGCCTTAACGTTACCAATGCTGAGGAGCACTTCCTTGACGAATTACTCAAGACGAGGAAGATTAAGAGAACCAGTGTTCCTCAGAAAATTGAGGAGCAATTGAGAGCAATCTATGAGATGCTCGCCGATGAGAAGAAGCGGAGACAGCGACGCACGGAGGAGAGCGAAATAACCCAAGTAAAGGATGAGACCTTATCGAGGAGCAGAAGGGATGTTGATAAAAAATTCGGGGATGACCCACTTGGATTGCGAAAGGAGTCGTGGCTCTCGAGGAGACGAAATCGAAATGAAGATATCAAGGAACGCAAGCTAGCAAAGCTTAGAAAGAAAGGAGACAAGCATTTATTGTCCAACAGCAAGGAGAACAACTTTTATGGTTTCGCTAAACGACAGCCTTCCTCCACCTTCCCCACGGGCGATGTTTATTTCATGACTGCAGAATCGTCGGAGGAAAATAGAAATAAGGACTACGATTATGTTGACGACACGTATTCCGAGGTGAGGCACAGACGAATGACTCTGGATAACGCTGACGTACCGGACCATGAAATTCAGCCCTGGATCGAAGACGAAAATTCGGAGATTGGCTACATTCCCAAAGAATTCTTGGAGACGAGTAATGTCGCTCCTCTGAACATCAACAAACATCTCGCCAATTATGGGGAATTATTTGAAGCGGAAGCCCTTTCTGATAGAACCTATGATCACGAGAATGAAAAATCCGATCCTGCGGCTGAAAAAATACTTCAACAAAAACCCCAAAACGAGTCTCAAGATAAAAAAGTTAAAGAACAGGTTGTTAAGAAATTAAAAGGGTATTATGATAATTTCCCATCGGATCAATCAGATGAGGATGAGACTGCCTTCGGCTTGAGAATCGACAAAACAAGACCGGTCGTGCCTACCCGAGAGAGTCCAACTCAGCGTCCGAAAAAATTTCGCGAGCCCACGGTGGAAAAAAATGTTGGACGATCGAATCAGGGTGATAATTTTAGAGCAACTAGCGCTCATCGCACCACGTCATCAAGTGAACTCGATGCTGTCTACAGATTCGAACCGAGAAATTCAATGAGAGGCTACAGAAGACCCAGACGAAACATCGATTCGATTCTGAATAAAGAAATGATTTTTCAGGATGAGAATAATTTGAAAGACTGTCATTGTCGGGTTATCAGGGGGATGAAGGGCAAAAAATACAGGGACTGCAAGGTTTGCAAGAGATTCACTGAGCTCGCAGAACTTGCTGATGCAAAGAGGCGCGCTAGAAGAGGTAAACTACTACGAGGTCGAATAAGGAGCCGTAGGGATGCTGCTTTAGAAGAGGAAGAGGAGGGCTATGAGTATGAAGAAGAGGATGGACAGGCTACTCTAGAAGCTGAGGTTGAAAATGTTTCTGAAGAGATTGGTGAGGATGTGGATTTCTCTGAAGAATTTGATGATATCGAGGAAGTCATTGAAGAGGTTGAGCAGAATTTTGAGCCTGAGAGCTATATTCGGTCCGATAGAGATGCACCGATCATCACCCAAACAATCCCTCCAGTACCAACAACAACCGTTCCAGTGGCCAATCCACCAGCAGTTGTAACTAAAAAAAAATTACAAGTCCAGAAAAATATTAATAGAATTATCAAACCCAAAGAGAAGAGCTTGAAACGATCTCCAGGCACTTCACGAATTTCTGAACATATTCGCACTGGAGCTACCGAGAACGAATCTACTGAGAAAATTAATCAGGCAGATATCGAAGCGGTACCTAATGAATCAAACAAACAAATCATCACCCCTGATCAGCTCGAGATGAGGGAAACATCAGCAGAGTCGAATCCTCATGTTCAAACGGCTACTGAAAACCCCAGAGAAATAAAAACAAGAGAAGCTACAAGTGAACAATCATTAAATACCACAGAAACATCTCAAGTTCTCGAAACCGCGAAACCAACGAGCAAAAGTTTAAGAGCATCTCGAAAAACTCAACCAAAAGACAAAATAAAGATAATAGATAATGCTAAAGCTAGAGAAGGTCGTTTAACAGCCAAATCTCAAGCCCTTCTTGCTAAGAAGCCGTTAGAGACTCCTTCCAAAATTCTGGCATCGGAAACAGCAAAACTTCAAGAAATCTACAGACAGCGACTCGAGGAACTGGAGAAACTCAGAGAAAAATTAAAAAATAAGAGAAAGACTCTGCAGGAATCAATACTGGTTAACGAGTTGGGAAAATCCGCCGATAGCTCAACGAAAGTCATCAAGAGACGTGAAATAATGCAGCTGTTGAAAGAAGAGCAGGAGCTACAGAGCATTGTTGACAAAGGAAAAAGGGATTACGTGATGCTGTACAAACCAATTAATTATGCCACTCTACCAAAATTGCACAGCAGAGAAAATGTACCGGAGAGCAAATATATTTTCGAGTATACTAGAGTTGATAGGCCATTTCATGAATTTAAAGAGAAAACTCTAGAGAACGGTGGAAACACGGAAACTCTTGGAAGTCAACTAATAATCGGTGGGAATTCGCATGACGCAATTGTTGAAAATTCAGAGTATCCAGATATTACCCAATATCCAATGCTTCCGGAAACAAACACCCAATTTTCCTTCGGAGAACCGGAAAAGTTAACGAAAGAGGAAGTGTCTATACCGGAAACTAAAATTAACCGAGGTGATCGACGTCCTAGATTACCACCTCCCCCAATGAACAAGAAAAAAACTATAACTGATGAGAATAAAAAATCTAAATTTATCTATATGAAGGATGACTTGAGTACTGCCTCTACTGATTTCAACACTTCTCATTCGAATATTTATCTGAAGGAGAGCAAGGACACTCCTCTCGGCCCGAAGAAAAAGGGAAAATATGAGAGCCCGAAGTACGCTAGACTGACTGTAGAGAAAATCGGCACGGAGAATGAGAGACTGAATAATGAGGATCTCCACGGAGCCTTCAACGTCGACGAGGCTCTCAACTCCAGTAAATACGAGCTGATGAAGTTGGCTCCTTTGAAGAATGAGAAACAACAGCGAGAGAAACGAGAAATTAGTAATGCGATAAGAAGGGGTGATGCAGAGAATGACATTTGGGAGAATGGTATTACACTAGAAGAAATTGAACGAAGAAAATTTGGGGACAACTCTGTAGACATTTACACGGGTGTGAACATCTCCAAGGGTCAACGAGCCACTGTGCAGCCTGAGTTAATCGATCAGGAAGATCCTCTCTTCTCGTTGGTTGAGGGGGCAATTCCTAAAATCGGTGAGGCTGTGACTAATGGCCTCGGTAAAGCGCAAAATGTCACAGGATCCATCGAGAAATTGATCAATCAATTCGAGGAAGCTCAAAATCAAGAAGAATGTCAAGACGAGAACACCGAATTTGAACTGGCTGCAAAAAACAACCCCGATGGACTGTTAACTCATGATTTTTTCCAAGATACTATCCGAAATGTTAAAAACTTTTTCAATTTTCTTGGTGGATTTACCCGCGTGGTTGCCGCGCATTGATGTATTTTCATTGTGTACTGAGAGATCATTTTTATTACTGAAACTTTTGTAATGCCATATTTATTATTACCCCGAATTTCTATGAGTAATCAATTTGTATCAGTTTTGTTATTTTTATTGCGCAAATTAATAAAGAAAAAAGAGTGATGAAATGAGCAATATTTCTATGTCATTATATTTCCAAATATGAAGCGTGATCATGAATTAAAATTAAGTTGCATCAAATCAATCTTATTCACGATTGCAGTAATTTACAAGCAATTAATTATTTCGAAGAGATATTGGAAAAATTAAATAGTTCGACTAGAAAGCTTTCCAAGAATAACATCATTGTGAATAAATAAATATCCAACGCATCCAGTTCCGCACCGGAAATTCCCCCTGCGGATTTATTATGATGACATTTCAACAAGCCAAATTTCATAATCGTGCGATGACATAAGGTGGCTTTGGTGCTACTTATTCAGTTGCTTCAAAAACCTCAGCGCAGTATTTTCCGGGCCACCGACTCGATCATTACAATTTTAAAACATTAATTATCATTAATATATTCCCACATACAAAGTTATCAATTATTGAGAGACAAATGCAAAGAGCTACAACAGCATGAAGACTTTGGGAATAATTATTATCTGGATCTGTATCAGTGCAATCAAGGATAAAACTCTATTGGCATATGCAAATGATTCCGAGTAAGTTAAAATATATTTTATCAATCAAAAATACCCATTGAAATCTTTTTCAATAATGTGATTGACCTATTTTCGAGTGGGTCATTGCAAAATTAATTTCACGAATAAGTACAACAATTTGTCATTCTTTCTTTTATTTAGGTCAGCGTACACAACTTCCACATTGCAAACCGAGGAAACTGATGAAATAAATAAACCAGCTGTAGTGCTAGTACCTGTGGACCAAAACATAAATCAAGATAAAAGTAATGAAGTGGAATCGAGTGAATCGATAACTCATCCCATTCACAAAACGAAACGCTGCAAAAGCCTGACCCCGTTACGAAAAGTCAGATTGAGTGCACCACTGAAGGAGGTAAACAATGACGAAAGTCAATTGCAATCTAGCAATACTCATGACATTAATAAAATTGAGGTCGGACATCCAAGTTCAAAATTGAGTGAAACACAAACGACGCAGTACCATTCCGAGCCGAGCTTCACCGACGAGACTTCCTCTGAAAAAATTTTAATTCCTAGATACGTTAAAAATACTGACGAGAGTGACAAGACCGAGGGAGACTACGATAATTCTCCATCCCTTGGGGATAGAGAGCCCTACAAAAAAAAGAAGTATCTTTGCTACTGCGTCGATGCAGATTGTATAAAAGAGGAGCCCCTGCGAACCCTCTTCCACAGCAGAAATCGCCTTGCCCCTAAACTCCTCCAAAACACCGATTTGTACTCTCAATTGAGCGCACTAGAAGGTGCATACAACGATGACAGTAAGGAAATGCAACATCAAGCAATCCGGCCAATAGTCCCCTACCGAAAATCAACTCAAAAACGGCCTCCCAACAAACGCCTGAAGGGCAAAAAGTGTAAACCTCTCATCGTCGCCTGTGAACCCACTGACGATCCCACCAGGTTCTCTCTCCCATTGTGGCCAAACCCAAATCGAGGGATAAAACGTCCACCAGCTGTTGTCCAGACGAGACCCCATCACGGGCTTCAAAATAATTATCACCCATTCTACCCAGCACCAAATATACCCAGTAACCCCTACGGGTCTCACTATGACATCTCCCCCCTGGCGAGGCAGCAGGAATTCTCCGGTCATGCTGCTCTCGGAGCCGCTTATGGCCATGACGATAACTCGTATTTGAAACCAGAGGCGTTCGATAGCTTCGAGGATTGCATTCGACTTTATGGAAGAGAGGCCTGTTACGCTGCAATGGGACAATTTGGAGTAGACAATCATCATCGAAGTCCCTACGCATATAACATAGAAGCCACTGCTGATTTAGCCACCAATAATTATCCCTTCGGGAGTCAACATCTGAGTGGATACACGCCTGGAGCTCCAGCTAAATTAGAGAATTCTGGTTATTATGGCAAACAGGGTTACTATCAGCCGCATGATTCAACCACTGGACCTCAATATAATCCATATCATAACATCGGTTACGATAATTACCTGGATAATCAGAAACACATTGTAGGGCTTACTAATGATGCGTTTTCAACTCCTGGTTATGGCGGTTATAGCGGAGGCTCTCAGGTTGGAAGGCCTTATTGGGAAGCATCGGTCTCAGCACCGGTCGTGAATAATGACAAGGAAATTATCGGAAGTACCAGCCATGAATGTGTTGAATGTCCAGGAGATGAAACAGAATACAGCAATATTCCTGAGCAAGAGCTCCCAGAAGCGGAAACGCCAAAGACTACTATGCTCCGGCCAGGAGAATACACTGATGAAAGCAGAAGAAAGGAAGCAGAATATACCAATAATTTTATTGCCGAGAATAAAAATCAGAATGAAAATTCTTATAACATTGTCGATGAGAAGGAGCCGAGTAAGACCAACGTGTCCATGAATTACCATGAAAATAATTATTATCTACCACAAGCGCCTGAGCCAGAGGGGAATCATGAATTCATGGATAATCCAATTGGTACAGTATATAATCAAAATTATTTGGGAAATATACATCAATTCGAAGATGCTGGGAGAACACCCGCCGCACCTCAAGAGTATTCAACCCCTGAGGATTTGTGTGATTACCGGTCTACAGTTTATCCTCAAGAAGACTACAATGAATCTCCCGTAATCACAAATCCTTATGAGAAGTCAAAAATTTCAGTGGTATATCCTGATTACCAGGACGCGCAAAAACCAGAGGAATATTTTGCGATTACTGAACAAGATTCCCAGAATTTCCCAAAGCCTCCAATAGTGGAAGGATTAAAAAATGATCAACAATCAGAGGTTCTGCACTGTCCCCCTTCTGAAACAGGTAGTCCAACGGCTGAAGGACACTTGCGCGACCTAGAAGCACTGACGGGATTGAGCATTGAGGACAGTAAGATCCTAAGAGGGACAATCTACGAAGCCATTCACCGTGTGGTCTCTGACATGAAAGAAAGCGTCGCAGCGAAAATGGTTCCCTCCCCTTGCGACATAATCGCAGCTCCCGAGCCCACGGCGATCCCCGGAATGGAAAATCCGTCTCTCGTCGGACACCTCCTTAGCAGTCCATTCGTCAGGAACTTCGTCGTTGGAACCATAAAAGGGCTTATTCCACAGGTAACGGGCATTTCAAGAGACAGTGGTCTGGGAAAACTGACGGACGCCCTCATCAATAGATCTCTGAGTGTCGTCATTGGAGAAGAAAATGTCCCTGAAGACATTGGAGAACCTTCCCTGGGATTGGTAAACGAGAACGTGGCATCAGTTCCCGATCAGTTAATGTCACTCCTCATGTCCGTGATTAATCAACCAGGTATCGGTCTTGAGAACGCCAAGCTGCCAGCGGTTCAGAATATAATAGTCAACGCTCTTGGAAATATTCTGCGGAGAAGCAAAAACGTTGTGAATAACGCAGTAATCTGGGACGCTTTAAGAAGTCTCATCAATTCAAACAATCGTGGTCCTGTGATTAATCCAGTGGTTTCTCCAGAAATACCTCCACAAAAGTTGAAACCGATGATCCCTAGACCGTTGTCTCCGGGTTTTGACACAAAGCCTCTCCCCTATATTCCAGTGACTGAGCATTACCTGAGAAATGGTGGGTGGTATGAAAAATCGGCGACTGTTGGTTACAACGGTGAATTGCCTGTAGGAGTACTACCACAACATTCAGAGAATGTAGGCGCACCTCAGAATGGTGTTCATGTGGATGAGCATGAGAATCAGCAATATATAACTGAAGAGAATACTCCGACCAGATATCACTCCCCTGAAGATATCGTTTTGGAATACATCAAGAACCATCCAGCAGAGCAAGCGAATCTAGGCCCCCCGAAGATGGCTTCACCAGGTCAGCATTTTGAAATTGACGACAACGTCTCTGTGGTGCCTATCACTGATGACCAATTGAAAAAGTCTCATTATACGGACCTCTGCGCGGAGGAAGGAGATTTCATTCCCTCGAAAAATGACCAAGTACATGGGGGTAGTATCGATTTCCCAGTATCAAGTTCAACATATTTCGGAAAAATAGCATTTCCGAATTCCGATAATATTGATTGTGTTAAAGATCTCGAGGGTGCTCAGCTCTTCTACATCGGAGACGGGGTAAGACTTCCCCTCACTATCAAAAAAATGCCAGACGGCTCCTTGGCTCTAATGCTTTCTGATAAAATCTGTGAGAGTTTTATCTCCAAAAATTGTCCCTGCTATATACCAACACTGGGACATGTCGTTCAACAATCGAATGCGGAGGTGAAAGAGAGCAGAAGTTGGAAAGGAATCCATTCGAGAGGGATAAGATCAACTACGATTAACGATAATGACACTACTGAAAAATCAATGGCTGGAGAGAATGCACCAGAAATGACAGTGATGCCTGTTGAGAAATTCGCCAAGAAATACAATCTCACTTTGAATTTAGGGGATCACCCCAAAATTGACTCGTGGAAGAACAAAAGGATAAATTTACTCGAAGCGGAGAAGAAATCGGAGTTGACTGATTTCGAGGATAAATCTAAAGGGAAAATGTCAACTGACTCAGATAAAAATGAAGATGGCATTGAAATTCTTCTGAATTTACCCGATAATCCTGGTATTTCTCCAGAGGACAATCAATATATCCAAGACTTACTATCAATTCACGATGTACCGGAGAACGATAGGGCGGCCATAGTGATCAATGCTCTAGATGGTCTCCTCCAACAATCATCGCAGGATAATACAGAGGATCAGGTGGATAATCCCATCAGAAAGCGGATACAATATTTCAAAGAAAAATTATTGGAGCACGGAAAATACAAATATCAAAAGCCCCCAGAGGATGCTGCCAAGATGCGCATGGATGTAGCCAAGAATATCATCCACTGGCTGAAAAAATTAATTGTCAAATAATAAAGTAATAGGATGAGATATTGTGCTTCAAGGTATTCACTCACCTCATTTTCGTAATCTCTGTAAATAAGTATTCACTTTCTCCATGATCATGACTCTCCATCACTGAAGGTACAGCAATTTCTCATTTTTCCATTTTTATTCGGAGAAATAGTCTCCTATTTTCTATAAAAAAAATATATATGATAAATAAAATAAGTAGGTATTTTAAAACCCGGAAATAATCTTACCTATGTAATAATCGTAAGTGATGTTGTAATACTTAAATATTTTATAATTTCTGAAGTATGTGAACTTTATTAAAATGTTTTGAAGAGGGAGAAATAAATAATGAGTTTGAGAAAAAAAAAACTTGAGATTTCTAGAGACTAGAGGCCGAAGAGAAACCATTTTCCCTGATCCACGGCAAGTTCCCAGGTGTTCTAGGACAAGTTTTTCCGAATAATATCAGGAATCTAAGACAGGTTTTCTACTGGCTGGTCGTGGCGTGAAACAACGTAGAGAGGCTCGATTCACATGCAAGTTGTTTCGATATTTTGTCGATGAAGGGAGAGAGAGAAAAAGAAAGAGAGAGAGAGGAGAGAAAAAAAAATAATGCATGAAATTGGTTCACATCCTGCGGAATCCAGCTATGTCCGGCTGAGAAGTCGGTCTTGACGAATGAGAACAGGTATAGAAATAAAGGAAATCGAATAGAGATGCGTGATTGAAATTCAAGGGCAGCAAGGCAGGGGGGCAAAAGGTGAGACAAACATATAAACAAAGCGACAAAGGGCCTTCCCGTTGCATAAAAACATAGCGTAGACGAGGCAAAAGAAATAAGACCTCACTTGATGCGTATTCAGTTTGATGGTGGTTCGAGGGACTGAAACCTGTGCCCCATCGTCTCAGAGTCAAGGTGATCGCCTTCTGGTCTACGAGAAATTCATCTCCCCTCTCGTTTTGCTCGCTACATGCTGTTATCTTGGCCCCCTTGAGCACCTTTTTTTTCACCTCTTGCTCTTTTTCTTTGCCACCTTCTATTTTTTATTTCTTCTTCCTCTCTCCATCGTCCCCGTCTGTCCTCAGAAAATACACCTTACACTTCAACAATACACATTCATTTTTATTTCTTCTCAAATGCAGTAAAGCAATATTTTTTTCCTTTTTATTTCTATGAAAATAGAATGTTTACATCTTAAAATTTAAAGGAAAATAGTTGGATTCAGAAGCGAAAATTTAACGATAATGGCTGATATATATATCCATCCTTCACAAGCGCTAATTTTACTAAATCTCTCTATCTCTCCCTATTTCTACGTGAATCGCTATTATTCTTTCATTCCACATAAAATCATTAAAACAATATGAATAAATCAATAATAATATAGAACCCGACACAATTGACGAGGTGTACAAAATTCAGTCTTACTGATCGCATACAATTAATTGCAACCATTTTTTTTTGTATTCAGCGAATGATCTTACTTAACAATGAATAAACAAACAATATAAAATTCTACTATAACTCTCAAAATTACGTCAGACTTTTAATTTCCTTCTTATTCTCCATTAATTTGTCCGATCCGCTCCCTCGTTCGATTAAGAGCTCGATTGAGAGTATCGACACAAAGTAATAATGACAATGGGGCAAAATAATAATAAAATAATAATAATAATAAGAATAAAAATTATAAATTACGGTGCAGTGGATTGTCTGGGTGTCAATGCCAAGTGAAATGCATTTGGTGGTACAGCAACGCATCCTGGTATGAGTTTGCTTTTCAAATCCTCGACAGCATGAATATCAAAGCGCGAGAGAAGTGCAGTGACAATGACAAATGCAAATCCTTGGACGAGTTTCTGGCCGACGCAGGTTCTCTTGCCCGTTGAAAATGGAACGAAGTGTTCAGGTCGTGTGACTCGAGGTTTATTATTAATCATTTTGATAAATCTCTCGGGCTTGAATTGACGAGAGTCGGGGCCCCAGTAGGCCTCACCAAGATTCATTTCAAAGTTGTTGATAAATACCACAGTGTCCTTGCTCACTGGATAATCAGCAATGTGAGTGTCTACAGTGGCAACGTGCGGCACTATTGGAGAACTCGACATCCTCAGGGTCTCCCAGATAACGGCATCGGTGTATGGCATGTCCTGTCGGTCGTCCATAGAGACAAGACCTTGTGGATCCCCTGATTTAGCAAGTATCGCGTCGCATTCTATTTGAATTTTTTTCTGCACCTGAGGTTGTACTGTTGTTTGCGCCAGAATCATCATTACTAAATTTCCAATGGCTGAGTGGCCGCCCAAAAAGTCCTCGAGCTCAAAGAGAATATGATCCCAGGAGAGATCGGTCTTTGGGCTCTCTAGGTGGAGTAGCAGAGCATCGGTAAAGTCCCTCGGGATGCCGTTGACGGTGTCAAGGGTCGCACGACGGTGATTGATAATTCTTCGAAGGATAAAGCCTCTGATTGTCGAAGCATAACCACCGAGTCGATTGAGAACCTGTGAATAGAAGGGCTTGAGCCAGGGGAGGAAATCGAGAGCATAGCCCTGATTGATGTCCCAAAAAATTTCATCGAAGGAGCCAACAATACGACGGAATTCCTCGTCTTTATTATCGAATCGGGTGGAACACATGTACCTAGTGAACATATTGGCTACGGAAGTCAGAAGAAGTGGTTTCAATGGCTTCTCTCCCCGTAAAACACCCTCGGCCTCTGGTTGATTCAATGTCGAAAGTAAATCTGATGCCTCAAGTGCAGCAATCCTTGACAATTCCTCTAGCTGAAAGCTCCCACCACGGGGTGAACAAAAGCTCCTGGCAAGAGAACGCCTCGTCCGCTGAACTTCTGACCAGTCGCACAACGCAAGAGCTGAAATAAAATTCATAATTCATCATTTCTTTTTTTTTTCCTTTCCTTTCTTCTCTGTGGCTTTTTTTCCCACAGCACAGAGTGCTCATCCCACTTTCCATGGGAATTCAAATGGTCGAGAGCCAGGAAGCTCCTCTCAACCAGGACTCCTTCATTTTGTGATCTCGTTTTATGGAAAATAAGAGTATTCTGGGCGGTTGCGTGAGTAGTGATCTCGTTTATTGCAGGAACGCTTGAGTAAGGCAGATGGGTTTCGTTCCGAGAAGCGGTTAATTTGAATACCAAGACAGACTGCTTCCTGCTCCCGGTATTACGAGTTATCCCACTAGACCCGATTTCCAATTAACTGCGCATCAAAATATACTTTATCATTTTATTTAATTATTTAATTTTAGCCTCGGCAATAACAAGTTTCCAATTGGTAATCGACCCTGAGTGTAAATCTACGTCGACGGGACAGACAATATGTGCAACCGGAAGACTGACAAACCTTATTCAAACTCTCTATTATAGCCTAGTCGTTGAATTTAAAGAGATAAGAAAATACGATAAACGCATGACGATAATTAATTTATCGCTATATTTTTTAATGTTATTATGAACTTACAATGATTCCTGTCACCACCGAAGAGTGCGTGGAATCTTAAGAAATCGGGTCTTCCTCCAAAATCATTTCCCTTGGTGATGAGTACTTCTCTGAGGAGACTGTAGCTGCTGACAACTACGCACTTGGCTACACCAAGTTGAATCTCGTAAATATCACCGTACTCCTTGGCAAGCCTGGTGAATGCCTCGAATGGACCTCCTGGACCACCAAGAAGGTGGAGACTACCGATAACAGGTAAACTCCGTGGTCCCTTGAGACTTGGTTTTTTTCTCTCCTCAATTTCTGGGAAGAACCATTGGACAACCATTCCTTTCTTCCACAATATAAAAATCATTAGGCAGGTCAGGAGAATATACCACAGGGCCATCGTTGCCATCCTTCTGCCCACTTTTCCCACCACAAATTTATATTGAATTCAATTGAACTGAATATTTAATAAATTAATGAAGAATAATAAAGAAAATATAATAAGAATGAAATTATCCAATTGCACAGATCCAGTCACAGATGAATATTTTGCACAGTTTTAATAATTGACACAGTCACTTGGCACGTTAAACGGTAAGGATAGAGTGGAAAAAAGGGTGAGGAAGTGAGAAGTTGGGTGAACGGTTGTGCCACTTCAGAATGAAGTGTTTGAGGAGAAAAAGGGCATGAAGAGAAAAAAGGTAAGTTGAGGTGGATGGGGATGGGGATGGGGATGTGGATGTGGATGTGGATGTGGATGTGGAATTGGAAGTGGAAGTGGAAGTGGAAGTGGAAGTGGAAGTGGATGTGGAAGTGGAAGTGGAAATAGGGAAGGTGGGTGTGTGAGGGATGTTGTAAAGGGATTGGTGAAGGTGGAGGTGGTTTTCAAAGTCCGCGCGCGTAAGTGCTACCTTACTACTGAATGGACGTTGCGATCGCGGTGCGGTGGCTCTTATAGGTGGTCCCAGCGACTCCTCGTCGTCGTTATGGCCGGTCCTCGTCCATTTCTTTCGTCGCACGCCACGAACCACTGCACCTCACCATTGCAACCAACCATCGACGACCCATCTCATTCTCTCCTCAATCATATATCCAGCACAGGTACCGCATAGCATCCTAAACATGTAATCATCGGTAGGACTAGCTCACGAGGTCATGGTTCCTCATTTTAAAAACGTCTGGAAATTCATAATTGGAAATGAGTCTCGATGGTCGCCGGATCCTGGGGCCCTTTGCAACTTAGAATAAAACAACATTCAAGAGATATATCGTTCGTCACTTCAGGGTCGAAGCTTTATTTTTAGAAAAATAATTGCCAGGTGAACACTGAACACTGTGGACCACCACTTTTTTTCTTTTCTACTCTTTTGCGTAATTTTTATTTTGATATGCTGTCTCACCAGGTAATGGGCTACTGAATGGAGCCTGGATGCCTTATATATTTGGGCTATAAATTTCTTCGATACCCTCCTCCTCGTTCCCTTTTTCCTTCCTTCTTGTTTTATTTTGTTTTTCTTTTTTATTGTGAATCCCGTCTTCCAACGGCGTATCCTTCGGACGATGCAATACTTGTACACAAGACTGCAACGGGGAACCGTGTATTCCATGAAAAAAATACCATCGAGGAATATTTTTTCTTACAACGAAAGTGTAAAAAGGATTAAGGTGGAGTTGGAATTGGCAATTTAGCAGTAATTCTATGTCATCGCAAGAGCAGAGACCACTTCCTTCATACAGCACTCAACTGGTGAGTGAAACTGGATTCTTTTATTATATATATTTTATATGTGGAGGAATTCAAAGTTTTACGACTATAATTAAAAGCTGGAGAATTCAAAGGATTGACCGATAAGTAAGCCATTAGACACACCTGTGGGTAAATCATGGGATTATATTACATTGACGAGGATTCTGTAATCTCATGTGGCGGACGCATGTGGGCCCACGTGCACGTGCGTCCCTCGAAAGAAATTGGATCGTCAATGGATATTACTTGATATACACTGCGTACTTCAGCACTCTTCAATATTTCATCGTTCTTTTGAATTGAATTTCCCATGACTAGCCAGTGCTAAAATGAGCGTGTTACATTTCTCATTTTGTCTCTCATCATCATTTTCCATGTACCCTGGCGTATGAGATTTAACGCGATTCGGTGAAGCCGCTGGTGTCAGCTCTCATTCTAATCAAAGGGATGTGTCTCAATAAGAAAAATCTCGGAGAAATAAAATATACTTTGATTAAATGGGCTTTGATTTTTCAAGGACGATGGGCTTGGCACAAATTTCGCTAACGCCAGATAAATTTTAAATACGTATGACTGTGCGAAAGTTGCAAGCCGTAAGCACGTACCACTGTCAATTTTCAATAGTATTGAATTTATTTTCTTATTTCATTCCGCGAAAAGAATTGAATGCGTGAATGCGAAATGATCGACAAGACATTGACACCTAGTGCTAACGCAGCAAATAATTCGTTTGAAGAATAAACACGTGTATATTAAAATTGACAAGGAACAAAATAACTTATAGCCGTTAAATTTCACTTTTAACCTGATACCTTCATAATGGAATGGGGTATTGAAGCAACTGAAAACGAAATGAGAGAATGAATTGTCGGGAAAAGAAACGGATAAAAGATGAAAAAAAAAGAAGGAAGAGTGATGCATAAGCAGTTAAATTGGAGCCCCACGGTTGAATCGCGTAACACGTATACACGGAACCTCTTGGTCGTAAATATATTCTGTCCCTTGGGCTGGTGCGCTTTAAAATCCAGTGGTTATCGAGGAGAGAGGTGCAAGTTAAGAGATATACCTATAAGGAAGAATCAGTCAAGTTCAGGGACTACCAGTTTTTCAAGCGGGGTGTCTACTTCGCCCTCTTCCTCGGTGTAGTCCCACCAAGAAACCTTGAAATAATATTGAGGGGAAGGGCCAAGGGATACTAGCAAAAAATAAAACGAGAAACACTCAAGATGTGGCATAGATAGCTCGGGAAAAATCATCGAGCGGAAAAAATATATTAGCGTTCCTCGGAGAGAGAAAATTGACGAGAGATGGATGAAAGGGAACTCAGAAGAGAGATAAGTAAAAGAGATAAAATGACGGGAATAAATTAGGGATTGGAACGAAGGTGCAGCTGCACAACCAAAAACTCATTGGCTCGTTTGCTCTTTTTTTTTTCTTTTTCCCGGGAGCATGCTCTCAAAATCCGGGTACTCATTTCGATCGTAAGCTTTCAAGGATCACTCTGTTTTTTTTTACCAATTTTTTTTATTTAAAATTATAATTTAATGGTATGATATTTTCAATCTGTTATTTTTCTTCTTTTTCTACCATCATCCTCCCGTGCCTTGACGCAATTGGATGCTTACGTATTCGATGTACGTACCTCAAACCCCCTGCGTACACGCACTGAGAGTATATTTCATGATGGCTCACGTGTACTAACGCCCCTCGATTTTTTCCCCTCCCACCATATCGCCAAAAATACCTTTTTCATGGTCATGGCCGAATGTCTTGTCTTGTGTACAAATACCAGTGGGGAATCTCTTCGTGAGCTATTTTTTTCCAACTTTTTTATACCATATATCCAAGTGCATTGCGAATTTCATTTCCTTCAAATAATTTTTATCCACATCTTATTTCAGTAACATCAGAAATATACAATGGAGTACAGTTTTGTTATATAGGAAATTGAGGATAAATAAAATATCAGACGAGACTTTGAATAGAACTGATCACTATTTGTCGATATAGAGAGACAATAATGCATGGATTCGTGCCCGAAGCATGCATAATCGAGCAACAGTACGCAGAAATACGTAGTATTTCCCCATTTCGCTACAATCTGGAAAAAATCTTTAGACTTAGGGAGATGGACTACTCTTCTCCAGGTACCAGGAGGGGACAGTATATAAAGGCTCAGGTCACCTGAGCCCCTCCTCAGTTTGCCTAAAACCTATTAGGCCACTAAGTATCCGTTACTTCATCAATATTGTTTTTTCATCCTACAATCCATTCGATATTACCATTCCTGTGACCAAATTGCCATCTTTATCGCTGTATTTACAAAATAGCGCGTTTTTATGCCTCTCCTGTATCAACAATTCATGTGCCATTAAATCGAGACTTTATTGAGAATTAGGAAAATGATAAGCTGGTTGGAGATATTAGTGTGGCTGGGCCTACCTGTCCTCATCTACTTCGGATTCTTCTGGAGAATTAATTGGGTCAGGGTGAGTAGCGATCCTCCCAGGGATATCAATTATTTAAAACAATAACATTAAATTTATTTACCATAACATATCAATTTTTCTATTGAATAGCATTTGGATCACAAGAAGAGATTTTACGCGCGAGTTGACTATCGAAGAAGTCGGCAGTGCAATCCAGTTTATCCAAATGGGTGGTTTGCAATTTTGGATAGTCATGAGTTGAAAAAAAAAGAGGTCAAACACGTGAGCGCATTAGGCGAAAATCTTGCTGTTTACAGGTATTCACAATAACAGTAGATTCTTATCATAATAATCATCTATAAAAAATGGTAAATGCTAATGCATGTTTGGCAACAGAACGAAGAAAGGGGAGGTTCATATACTGGATGCCTACTGTCCACACCTTGGTGCCAACATGGCAGAGGGTGGTAAGGTAATTGGCAATTGTCTTCAATGTCCATTTCACGATTGGAGTTTCCGTCCAGACGGCAACTGCGACAATATTCCGTATTCAAACAAGAGTAAGTCTGCCTCAAAATTTACCCTCTCCCCTGTTATAACATTTACCTTATCCCCTGCTAATCAATATCCGTAAATTATAAAATTACAGTACCACCTAATGCCAAAGTCAGAGCATGGAAATCGCTGGAGGTGAATAATCTTATTTTCATGTGGTATCACGCTGAAATGGAGGATCCCGGATGGTACCCCGAGCCAATAGCCCAAATAGCGGATGGAAGTTACCGGTGTCAGGGACGAAATGAATATCACATCTCTGCTCATATACAAGTGATAATTTTTCTTGTTTCATCTATTACTCAGCCGTTGTTTATTGAATCCATGAATGACAATAAAAATAACTTGCAGGAAATACCGGAAAATGGTGCAGACTGGGCACATCTGACCGCTCTTCATGGGCCCGCAATACTCGTCAACTCATTTTTGCCTGGACTATTCCACCATTCGTGGACCGCGACTGATTGGCAACCTCGACAATCCCACGATGGAACCCCCGGGTGTCCACATGAAGCTTATCTCACACTCTCTCATGATGTTGTTCTTTTCGGAAAATTCTCAATACTAAAGCTCCACATAACAGCGGTGCAAATCGGCCCCGGTTACGTTCATCTCACTGTCAACACGAGTGTCGGTCCGATGTTCATTGTTCAAACTGTTACACCAATAGAGCCATTCCTCCTCCGCGTCACTCACTCAGTCTATTGTGCCCCGTGGAATGCCCTCTTCGGAAAAATCATCTTTCTAGGTGAGTGCATCATGTTCGAGAGAGACGTGCACATATGGAATCACAAGGAATTCCTCAAGAATCCACTTCTACTCCCCGAAGAGAAGAAGATAAAGGCTTTCAGAAAGTGGTACAGTCAATTCTATTCACCAAATAGCCCAACATATCAGTCCATCAAATCTCTCGAGTGGTAAATTGACATTTTAAATTGCTCAAAAAGTCATGCACAAATAATTGCCGATACATCTTTGTAAATTCAATAGTGAGTCCTTTCAACGTATCCAGTTAAAATCCAATGTAACATCTAATAAAAAAGATTACCGATTACCAAATTTATGGTCTCCCTTATTGCGTTAATTATATTAAGCACTAGTTTTTTAAGAAACTAAAGAGAAATTGAGCGATTGATTTTTGGCTTCAATCATTTTTAAAACTAGGGCACTTCCCTGGTTTGCGTTTTTTTTTAATTTTTCGAGAACCCATGAATTAGATAAGATAAAATGTTTCGTTCAGCATGTTCAGATAGTAAACTTTATGATAAACGAAATATCAGATGAAACCCTCACTGATGAGACGTCGGACTATAAACGAAGGGAGGCTCCGTACTCTCTCTCAGTTATACAAGAATCCATCAACTGTCCAGAGCACTAACAATAAAATGACCAATTGGTGGCCAATAATAATAATCGCAGTAATTGTCTCTGCATTTATTTACGTGGGATATATTTGGGAAATGAGTCGGATAATAGTGAGTACATACAGGGATAATTAGAGAAGTAATATGAATATTTCAATTTAGTGACTGGAATGTTAATTTGTTATTGTTCGTATGAAATAGCACGTGGATAAGAAAAAAAAGAAAAAATGTCTCCAAGCGAAACTTCGAAATATAAAAGATTCCAATCCCGTTTATCCAAATGGATGGTATGCGCTCTTGCACAGCCATGAATTGAGAAAAGAAGAGGTAAAAGATGTAAATGCCATCGGGGAAACATTTGCTGTTTACAGGTAAAATATAGCACATGCGAAAATAACTTTAGGTGTTTGAGTTTTTAAATAATAATCCGTGAACATTTTGCAACAGAACGAAGACAGGGAAAGTTCATATATTAGATGCATATTGTCCTCACCTGGGAGCTAATATGGCTGTAGGCGGCAGAGTCAGTGGCAATTGTCTTCTGTGTCCATTCCATGACTGGAGTTTCGATTCCAGTGGCCGTTGTAATGATATTCCCTATACAGACAAAAGTAAGAGTGTACTTTATTTAGATCTTTATCTGTTCTTTCGGGTTAATTGATAATTATTAACATTACAGTACCACCTAATGCCAAAGTTCGAGCGTGGAAGTGCCTTGAGGAGAATAATGTCATTTTTGTGTGGTACCATGCCGAAATGGAAGAACCAAACTGGTATCCTGAGCCCATTCCGCAAATTGCTAATCGGAGTTACTGGTGTCAGGGTCGTAACGAATATATTATCTGCTCTCACATCCAGGTAAATGACCAAGTCAAGTGAAGATAAGAGAGGATCAATGAATTTTCGTGCCTACTTGTTAACTTCAACAAATATTTATCAAATATTTTACTCTGAAGAATTTCTTATTTTTGCTGTACATACATTGCGAAAAATTAATGAAGTCGTGAATTGATGCTACACTGAAGTAATTATTTGCAGATTACATCAGATTCATGAACACCTGCGTTGATAACATGAACACCTGAATTGATAATAAGATAGAACATGTATCTTTATCCAGATCTATCAGTACCGAGATAAACATATTCAATTTTTCGTCCTTTCTCATTCCAATTGTGGTAATTGTTAAAAATGAAAATTCTTCTCAGGAAGTACCAGAAAATGGATCAGATATGGCTCACTTGGACTACCTGCATACACCAGGAATGCTGTTTCCTGGATTATCTAAGCACACGTGGACCGATACGAATTGGCAACCTCGGCCAACACATTTAGCCGAAGGATCGCCTGCTCGACCCTTCCATGCCTCCCTCACACTCACTCATGCCCTTAAACTCTTCGGAAAATTTACAATACTAAAGGTCCGGGTAACAGCGGAGCAACTCGGTCCTGCTTACGTTGAGCTCACTGTTAATACAAGTGTGGGTCAAATGTTCATTATTGAAACAGTGACGCCAATAGAGCCTTATGTTCTGCGGATAACTCACTCATTGTACTCGGCACCTCACCACGGACTCTACGGCAAAATCATCTTCTTGGGTCAGTGCTTCATGTTCGAGAGGGATATAACAGTATGGAACCACAAGGAGTTCATCAAAAATGCCATTCTTCTTCCTGAAGATAAAAGAGTGAAAGCCTTCAGGCAGTGGTATAAACAATTTTATTCTCCAAATAGTCCAACTTATCAGTCCATCAAATCCCTCGAGTGGTAATAACACAATCACTCTGATAGAAATAACACATTTTTAATACATGAGCATAATGATGAAAGAACTGGAGTACTTTTTACAATTTGGTGTGGACACATTTCCAATTATCAAATTTCTCACTCAAATCTCACTTAAAATAATACGGACGAATTTGAATTCCCAATGCAATGATAATTGCGAAAACCGGTTTCTCCAATGCACATAATCGTCCGAACAAACTGTAATTTTTTATTGCAATAAATCAGCGCCAAATGAATTAATTCTGTGAAAATTTAAAGTGATGAATTTTTATTAACTGTCCTCCCCATTGGTCCTTTCAATCTGCCGTTACATTTATTTATCAAAACATTAGTACGTTCTCGTGTTACCTGCCAACACATTACACATGCGTACGTATAAATTATCACAGTATACGCTTTGCTCTACAGATAAGCATATATTCTCTCCTTCATCTCATCTCTTTGTGATGTAGCTGTCATATCGAACTGTCGGACTTGGTCGCGATTGACAATGCCGATCAATTTAAAAAATCATTTTCAATTGATAATAATAATAATTCACTGTAGAATAAAATTCTTATAGCTGCGCATAGCACGTAATTTTTTACGCAACGAGGATACGAGGTCTGTCGGTTGTATGACAATGGAAATATCACGACCAACAGCTCGTAATCGCTCAGCTGCACCACCGTCGAATATATTCAACGGTCTTCCATTGATCTCCGTGAGTGTCCAGGTGGTGTTGGAGCCCGCAGGAGCTGTAGGATCAGTCGCTTCGGCCAGTGGCGATAATCCAAGGTTTAGAGCGACCCCCGAGACTCCGGATACCTCATTGCCATTAACTTCAAGGCCGAAATCTTCAGTATCTGTTCGTTTGGTCAAGGTCAGCGCTTGGGCGTATGGTAAACGACGGACGATCACCTCTACCTGTTGAAATTATAATAAACTGTTATACAATTGTAACCTTGACCGCGAAAGGAATTTCAAATTTCATCACTCTTTTTAGTTAATTAACGTATAAGGCGTGTTAAGCACCATATTACGTCAAATATATTGGCTTGTTTATTCGGAGGAAGAATGCTTACACGTGGCGTTGTGATTCCCTTCATGATGTCACGAATTGTTGCCGCATTTGGTGGGGAAATTCCCGCTACGCTGATCACCATATCCCCGACATGAAGAACATTGTAGAGAAATGGATGTTCTTTTTGCTTCCATCCAGCAATCCTAAGAATTCCGCAAATAATTGGATTTTTAGATTTTCAGCAAGAAGGGAGCAGAGTAATTTACATTGCAAAAACAATTATGCTGCTAAAGTGGAATGCACTTCTTACCAAATGGATCCAAAGCTATCAACAAATGCAATGCTGTCTTTACAGTCTCTTCTCCCTAACTGCAGCCTAACTCCAGCCCGATGATTCATCTCTCTTTTCAACTGATATATTTGCTGCTCCCTGAGAGTTAACTGTCTGGGAGCACTAGCTCCTCCTGACCTCGCCTCAGTACTACCCGCCCTGGCACTTGCCACAGCTCGACCAGTCTCCCGAGCATTTTCCGAAGGCCCCGAACTCCTGTATTCCATCAACGCTGCATATCTATCATTGGAGGATTCCGATTGACTAGGTACCACCGGTTCCCTCACACTGCTCCGGGTGGAATCACTGGGAGTAGAGTAAGACGAAGCCATGAAGATACTCTCATAGCCTGATTCGCCTGGATCGATAGCCACAGCGGGAATAACTCTGGGACTTGGAGTTGGGGGTGTAGTCCTCTGGGTTTGCGCTTGCACAGATCTTCGCCGATCCTCAATAGAGATGTCCTCAAAAGTAAAGACCATGGGAGGCGTTTCAAGTGGCTCTCTGGGAGGACTCGAAGTGCTTGGCCCACTCGGAGGTGAATCCGTTGGAGGAATAGGGGCCTGGGTGCCAGAAGGCAATGGTGGTGGTGGTAGTGGACTGGTTGGATCTCTCGTGGCTATCCTCTCGGGACCTCTCGAGTAAACATTCTCCTTTGGTCTGAGAATCTTCATATCTGTGAGTTTCCTCGTAACGAGCTGCACCCAATCGAGCATCCCTTGATAAGTAGGCGCAGCCAATCGTAGTAATCTATCGTCGTTGAAATTAAGACAGAATTCGTAATCGTGCCTGGAGGTAGCACACAGTGTTGGAGAAATATGCTGAATACCACGGAGTGAATTGGCCCAGAGGGGTGAGTGAGTTGTTGCTTGTTTTTGATCAGAGAAACCCTCGAGTCTGGGCTCGGTGTCATCGTGAACACAAAATGCCACCCAGAAACGACTCATCTCCTTGTCAGTCTTGTCGGTTCTCCTAAGCCATCCATTCTTGTATATCTCGCGGAATTGCATCGATACCTCGCTCGAGGATGCTTGTGCAGGCTCCATGTTGTCGTTCTCACGACGATCACTGGGTCTCGCCAATTCCGTCAGCAAACGCACTGCTTGTAGCATCTTCAACTTCCTGGACGGTTTTTATCTCGATTGGACGGCTTTTTTACGATGAACCAAAGTCTCATTATATGACTTGTCAACCTTCTTAGCGGTTTTTTATTTTTATTTTTATTTTTTTTAGCGAAACAGTTTTATAAACTGTCAGTTTACGTGAAATCTACAAGAATATTATTACTGGGGTTATCATTCCAGAACGAATTGTTATAGAAATTATTGTGCCAAATTGTCTGGCATATCCAGAAGATTACTCACTCTAACTTTTTCCCTCGTTGAGACATCAGAGCAATAATTAACACTCATTAATCCTTCGATTGCGATCCTAAGACCAGTATATTAATAGTACTCGATTAAATAAAAAATTTAATGTTTCTACCATATTGACTTGCACCTAAACTACCGTTTTTTTTTTCGTTTATTAACTGTAATTGACCTCAATTGACGTAGACAATTGGAGGATAGTTGAGTGCAGCGATATCAATTATTGCATTTCATGAGAAAAAAATGTAAAATTTCAATTTGTCTGAGAAAATTTAAACGATAGAAGAGAATTTCATGAAAAATAGTCTGTGGGTTTCGGGGAACGGTGCAGCAGTGAAGCTCGACGTGATCGTGTCGCGAAAATGCACCCATTGATAAGGAAGAAAACTACAATACTCCAATTTTTATATACTCTTATATTTTCTATTTTTTGTAAAAAAGAATTAGCAATTGATTTTTATACACGCTTGACTTTATCGTCTACTGATTGTAACTCGGATATTTTCCGAAGCTTCTTCTCGAACTTGGAAATAGCTTTCTCTCGAGTAGCTGCATCTCCCATGTGTTCTAAATACCGTGTCACAACTTTTTTCTTCAATTTCTTGAGAGAAATCTCTTCTCTGTCGCCAAGGGCTTGAAGAATGCTTGATGTCCAACTGAATTTGGCAGTCTCGATAGCTGTGTGAGATTCCTCATGAGCTGATTGATCCTCTAGGTTCTTTTTCTTGAGAGAAGGCTCATCATTCTGATCCCCTGAAGCATCAGCTCCTTCTATCTGACGTTTCTTCCCTTTCTTTATCTTTCCATTCGTTAAATCATCATCGCCACTGTCTGATTTGTTCTCTTTTCCCTTTAAAATACTTCCGTTCTCCCGACTGATGCTCTCATTATTTTTGGAAACAACCTCCTCGTCCTTTTCAATTTGTTTTGGTGTCTCAGATTTACTCTCTGTCACAGCCTTGAAAGCACTCTCCATCTTCTCCCAGCAGCTATCAACGACATTCATGTTGAGTCTGTAGCCCACAGCATTCTTCACGAAATTCAAAAACTTGGCTTTCTTCCTTGGGATATTCTCGTGTCGAGATATAGATTGCAGGAATGATTTTTCTTCCCGAGATAGATTGGTGGAATTATTCAAGACATTCTGCACTACATTGATCCACGCTTGTTGCTTGCGTTCACCTTTGTTGGCTGATGGTTTAGCTTTGTAATCTTTTCCACCATATCTCTCATTCTCAGTTATGCATTTGGTATGGAGCACGTACTCATCACCACTGAGAAAAGGCAATAATTTGGTAAATAGGTGATTGAGCATTCTCAAAGCTTCATTCCATGAATTATTTATAAATAAATAAAATTGGCGATTTCAATTGATCAATCAAATTTCACTCTACTTACACAAAATCCCGAAAACAATCCACACAAGTTAACGACACATTATTTCGACATTGAAATTGATAATGTTTAGCAACTTTGGGCTTCTGCAGAGAATCACCACAATTATTACAAGTGAATACCACCATTATTACTCTCAAAATTCAACAATTGCGTTTGTTATCTAAATCAATATTTATGTTTTAATCAATTAGGACGAATGGTCCAAATGCACATGTTCACTTGGATAGCACGTGTCGTTCTCAGGTCTCTCAGCTGCCAGCTGATCCCGAGCGTAGAAACAAATGCATAGATGGCGAAAGGCGCATTTTCCACATACTCCAAGCCAAAGAGGATTGACCAAAGTAGAGGCTCCGTTCTAGGGGGTTCGAGTGACCCCAGCAACATCGTAGTACTGCACCACAAGAGAGGAAGGGCGCAACACGCAATGCTGGGGTGTCCATCAAGTCGATGGGGTGAATTTTATTTCGACAACTGAAATTTAGCCGACTGTAGAACGAGCAGAAGGGGGAAGCCACATCTTATGGAATTTCAAATGGAAAAAAATATTCAATATATTGAAGATATACTACTAATGAAATTATATTTTTACAATGAGCGTGTTGTCTTATCGGCAACGCGCTTGACTGGCACCCGGACTACTTGGGTTCGATACCAGTATCATTAATTTTTTTATTTTTTCAAAATAATTCTAATTTTTTGTTTTTGTTAATGGCTAATTAATGGAAATATCGTTTATAAACTGAATACTTGAAAATCGAGGAGATATCCAGAGAAATTGCAAAATTCTAAATTTTTAAAAGCGATACTTTTTCAATATATATACTCCTAACAAAATTATATTATTGTAATAATGCGCGTTGTTTAATCGGCAACGTGCTTGGCTGGCACGCGGACCCCTAGGGTTCGATCCCGCCATCATTCATTTTTTTTTCAAAATAATTCCAATTTTTTCTTTTGCAAATGGTTAATCAATCGAAATATTGCTTAAAAACTGAATACTTGAAAATCGAAAAAATATCCTGTGAAATTGAAAAATTCGAAATTTTTGAAAAAGTATCAGGGTAACATGAACATCGAGGAGCTATTCATTGAAATTTTCACTGAAAGTGAAAAATTCGAAATTTTTGAAAAAGTATTAGGGTAACATGAACATCGAGGAGCTATTCACTGAAATTTTCACTGAAAGTGAAGAATTCGAAATTTTTGAAAAAGTATCAGGGTAACATGAACATGGAGGAGCTATTCACTGAAATTTTCACTGAAAGTGAAAAATTCGAAATTTTTGAAAAAGTATCAGGGGAACATGACTATCGAGGAGCTATTCACTGAAATTTTCACTGAAAGTGAAAAATTCGAAATTTTTGAAAAAGTATCAGGGGAACATGACAATCGAGGAGCTATTCACTGAAATTTGAAAATTCGAAATTTTCGAAAAAGTTTCAGGGGAACGTGAAAATCGAGGAGCTATTTAGTTTTTAATGATTGATTGAACCCTAGTCGTTCGTGTGCCAGCCAAGCACGTTGCCCATTAGGCAACGTGTTTATTATAATAACATAATTTCATTAGTAGTATATCTTCAATATATTGAATATTTTTTTCTGTTTGAAATCCACAAGATGTGGCTTCCCCCTTCCGCTCGTTCAACAGTCGGCTAAATTTCAGTTAAACAAATAAAAAACAAAAAGCATTCATACCGCAGAAAATAAAATTCACCCCGGCGACTTGATGGACACCCCAGCATTGCGTCTGGCGCCCTCCCTCTCTTGGGGTGCAGTACTACGATGCCGGTGGGCCTCCAAACCTCCACAACTGAGCCTCTACTTTAGTCAATCCTCTTTGGTTGTAATTGCCAAGTCAATATGGCGACTGTCAGTGCTGAATTTCGGTCCCTCAGTTAAACGTCACCGGTTGACTATTTTTTAGCAGTCATATTAAATTACTCAATGTACAGAAATGGTGCAAAGATATTAGAGAATGTCATGTGGATTTTTAGAAGATTAAAATTGCCTGAATAGTGTATATATGCTGTATTCTCATTGAATCGGTGAGTAATAGTCAATTAGTGACTAAGTTCTGAATATCAGATGTTCATTCACCAAGGAAACCCAACGACAACGTCCTTGTAAAATGATAGGACATACGTGTCATGATGAAGTGTACTTTAGTAATGAGAATGAAATTTTGAAATTTCTAACAGGACCTGTGTCCTTCAGTTCGATGTTTTTTATCAACGTGTAGTGACGTGAATAATGTCCACCATGGTGAACCTGCGTATTCAAGACAGCCCAGAGCTGGTGCACTGGACCCGAGAAGCAAAAAAGGATTTTAAGGGTGTAAAATCGACGGATTTGATAACGAGACTGCCATTCATGCTGAAGAAAGGACTTATCATGCATAAGGAAAACAAGACCAAAGACGCTTATATTTTATTCACAAGATATTTGCACGTTGCCGAGCTCCTTCAGAGGAGAAACTTAGATGCTTCACTAAGGAAGCAATTAAACGCTATCATAAAGGTAAGATTTACACGATGCTTATCATTGACCATTCGCACGTTTCTCTCCATTTATTTTTCATGGCTTTCCTTGAATTTATAGATCAATGAAGCTAAGGAACTGCAAGAGGCCATAATAAGAACCGTCAATGCAAGCATTCCAGCATCGAAAAACATTCCCACTAATTCTTTGAACAATGCTCCAAACAATAAAAGTTTGAACAAAAACAATTCAATTGATAAAAACGAAGACGACCTATTAAATTTGCCAGAGATTCCTGATGACGATCCCGTAGCTGAAGTCCCTGACGACTTTATATCGTGCACTGAACTGTTTCCCATTATCCAGGCCGGAAAAAGATATTTAATAATCGATATTAGATCTCTCGAGGACTTCCAACAATCTAGAATCAAAGCTGATAAATGCATTAACATCCCTAATTCTGAGATAATTTCTGGAAAAACAGCGAAAAAGTTTGATCTTTATCTCCAGATGAAGAACCCAGGATACGCAAAACTCTATAGTGAAAGAAGCCAGAAATTTGTGGACTTGATTGTCCTAATGGATTGGGATACCACTCGATTAACGTTGACAGCCACCAATCACGTCTCGATAATGAAAGAGATTCTCACCAAGTGGGACTCAGGTGTGCAAATCAGCAAGCATTTAATTCTTCACGGTGGTTTCTCTGAGTGGCTCAATGTTTATCCATCGTTTACCACTAATCCGGGAGTGCGAAGGCACGTCCCCATGGACAATATTCTCGACGAAATCCTGGATGATATTAAATACCCAGATTGGATGACTCAAGAAGGCTCTAAATCCATAATAAATTATGCATCGAAGAATAATAATAACGATGCAAGGCGAGGGATAGATATTCCGGGATTGCATTCCAAAGTGAATGACTCAATGATCAATAAACGATTAGCCCTGCCAAATAAATTACCAATGAATTACGCCTCGTACGAAGACGAGGATGTCAATATGGAGTACCTCTCAAAGGAAATCGACAGGCTTAACGTCGAAAAAGAGAAGCCATTGCGACCTGTCGTTGACAGAAGCTGCAAACCTACAGCCCTCATAGCAAATCCTCAGCAGGAACAGACTATTTCATTGATCACCAGAATAACAAGCGATCTCAAGGACCAGGAGAAGTGTGAGAGGCAATCACTTCAGCTGGAGAACGATATCCTCGCCATGCTTACAAAGAGCACCAATAACGTTAACTCTGATGATGATGATGATTTAGAGTCAATGTATGTTAAAAAGAATACTGTACAGCAAACTATTGCTGCCATTGTTAAAGATAAGGAGGAGAAGGAAGCTGAGTTAAAGAAGATTGCTGGCGATATGTTGTCTCAAGTTAATACAGACACTCATGAGCATATGAAAATGGGCACCATGAAAATACGATTATTAGGTATTGTGAGAGAGAGGAAGGAAGTTCAACAAAAAATAGATGAAGCAGAAAAAAGAAGAGAAGAAGTACGTTTAAAGGGTTCCCCGAGACATGATGATGATTCGACTATTTACAAAGAGCCTTTAAAATCAGAAGGATCTACCAATAATTCAGGATTAAAGCGTTCGCTGTCTAGTCCAAACCTAGCCAAGGTGGATACCGAAGATTAATAAAACTTCACTACTATTAGAACTTATATTATGCGTAGTATGACCTTGAATTAATTTTTGTAGATGGAAGATAGAAAGGTGCCTATAATTGATAGATCTTCAAAGCCACACGCGGTGCGGAGGAACTTGAAGGAAACAAACAACAATATATCTGGAACATCCTGGAAAGATTCCTTCAAACGTATGGACCCTGTGTACCGTGACTGCGTAAGTCCTATTCAATTATTTATTTTATTTTATTTGAATTTGGAAAATATGATGATGAATATCGTAAGAGGAGACTTGTGGAACGTGAGTGCATCCACTGACGTTGGGAAGATAACTTCATTAAAGTCTTAGGGGTTCAGTCACGTTTGCTGGTATGCTAGCGACTCATACCAGTGAGAAATATTCTCAGCTAATCTCAGATGAATCACAACAATGATAGAAAAACAATATTCCATATTTTATTTGAATTTTATAACGTACACGTGGTGCAATCATTCACCTCGCGAGTATTTCCTTCTCAATTCTCATTTGCTTGACGTCCGATTTAATTATTTTAACCGAACTGTACACACAGCTGCCTATAATTGTGTACACTCCTACTTTTTCCAAGTCCCTCACGATTAAAAAATCCTTATCAAAGATTAAAGTATAGACCTTGATCATTTAATCGCGTGACGTTACACTTTATGAGTGATAATTTTGTTATCACGTGTTAGTCGCTGCTGACTTCTTCAGCGATTCAGATCAAAATTCAAAATAGTTATTGGTTATTAATATTTTCGTATGTAAATGGCAAGGAGACAGCATATTTTTTCTTGGACAATTGATCATTGCGAGATAACGCAAGTGTTGGGGGGAATTAAACGACTCTGATTTGATACTCAAGTAATATGGTACAAATAAAACTCTTCAACGTAGTTGACAACTGTAATCCAGTAAGTTATTAATTTAAAAATTGACCAGTCGATTGTCAGTGATATTTAATCGTACGATGTTTGAGTTTATTTACCGTAGCTCGAAATCGGGTCGATTGATAAAATTAACAAAACAGTAAGGTGGCTGATATAATTTTGACCTTGTCATCTTATCATTAATCTACTACAAACACAATGAAGTTTCATCTAAACTCATCGTGGTAACAGTTCTAGTTTTGTGGATGGCTCATTAAATGGTGCGTCAATAGCCTCCATTTTAGTTTGTCAAATTAGTGATTTAGAAGGAAACATATAGATTTTTCACCGTAAATTATATTTTATCGTCAATATATGTCATGTGTATGTACATAGGTAGTTGTACTTATCTGAAATATATAGACGGCGTATTTCAATGCACGTGTGTACGGCAACATGAGGTTGCTGTGTGGCTTCGTAAATCCAATTTTAACAAAAATGCCCAGTAGTGGTTTACACCATATCATCCGAACGTTCATCTACTATGAACAACCGTATCCAATTGTCATCAGTGGTAAACACTGTTGCCGGACAAAGTCAGTCAATGTTGCGAGCACAACTTCTCCATACAGTTGATAAAATGTGAACTCAGTGGTAGTTATGGATGAGGAACTAATTAAAACTATTGTTAAAAAGTATCGGAGTGCGGAATTCTCCATTTATCGGCCAGCGGGAAAATCGTGACGGCCTTTAACGTAATTGGAGGGTAGCTCAATTATAGTCTTCCTTCATTTTCACTATTTTATTTTCTTGATGAAGAGGAGGAAATTAGAAATGGTCTATCTACGTAAAAAATTTGTGCCTTTCTATATAGTGAGCTATTTCAAAAAGGTGCGATAAGCTGAAGAATTAATCGTAAAAAGAATAAATAACACCAATGAGGAAAAATATAACTCTGCGATTGTGGGATTTGTTGAGGATAAATAAATTCGTTTTTTACAGCATCCTGGTATTACTGGACTGAAAAATTTGGGAAATTCATGCTATATGAATAGTATAATTCAGTGCCTGAGCAATACCGCTTTTTTAGCTAAATATTTTAATGATAATGGATACCAAGATGACCTGAATACAAACAGTGATAATGAGACTCGCGGGCAAATCGCTGAGGAATTCGCTCAAGTGATTAAGGCACTGTGGAGAGGACAGTACAAGAGCATTGCGCCCAGGGATCTCAAGGTAAATATTGTATGATCTTATTAATTTTTTCCGTATAGCCATGCCTCAGAATAATTGAAATTTTTCCTCTTTGGTATTTAGGATACTATTGGACACTTTAGGCTGCAATTCGACAGCTGTGAACAACAGGATTCCCATGAATTTCTCACATTTCTTCTCGAGTGGATGCATAATGATTTGAGAAAAGATAACAAGATGAGGATAGATGGACCTCTGAGTGCTGCTGAAAAGGAGTGGGAGAAAGCACTCAAAGGACAGTATTCAGTCATTTCGAGGCTCTTTATGGGACAACTCAGATCAACAATTTGTTGCACAACGTGCTCTGGAAAGAGTATTACTTATGAAACTTTCACCAGTCTCTCAATATCTTTGCCAGAGGCTAATCGTTGCACTCTGGATGTGAGCGAACATTGAAATTATCAAATAAACTCTAATATTATTATTAAATGTCTGAAATAAATCTATTTTTGTAAATATTCACAGGACTGCATAAGGCATTTTGTGAGTGGCCAGAGGATCTCAGGGTGGAATTGTCCCCACTGTAAGACCGCTCGAGAAGCAACAAAAAAATTTGATTTCGTCAAATTAGCACCAATAATGGTGATTCACTTGAATCGATTTGCCGGAACTGAAGTTGGACTTGAGAAGAAAAATACTTCCGTGGTTTTTCCACTAATGGATTTCAATCTCAAACAATATCTCGTCGTAGACGCTGATTCTAACACCTTAAATCATCCTCACAATTATAGTTATAATCTTTATGGGCTTTCAAATCACTATGGCACCATGGGCGGGGGGCATTACACCGCTTTCTGTAAGAGTTCTACACTCAACAAGTAAGATTATAAATCGATTCATTAAGCAAATAGAGGGAATTTTGTCCTCAATGATAACACAATTTGTTATTCCAGATGGTACAAGTATGATGATCACTCTGTATCTGAAATCAGCGAGCAGAACGTCAGATCGCAAAATTCCTATGCTTATCTGCTTTTCTACACATCACTTTCTTACGAATCTTATACCTACATAGATGAGAGCTCGTAATTTCACTTGAAAGGAATTTTAATCCGCCACTGTCGATGTCTCGATAACGATTGATCCAACGATATGAGTCATTTCCTCGAGACACTTGAAATATGAGATTGTATTCATGTGTGTACACTGTAAATATGTAAATACTCATTTTAGCATAATAATTGAAAATTATAGTCACTTGTTAAGCAGAAAATCATAATTATTGTGGAAAATAGCCTTTCAAAAACTATGCCGTTTAATAAAATGCTTTATATTAATAAATTGACCATTAATAAATCATAAATTGCACGTTTCTCATTTATCTACATGCTTGTTATAATGATCACGTAAAATTGTGAAAACGGAAACTGATCAAAAATCATAAATTGAGCGGGACATTAGTGGGATGGCGTTGCAATCTCCTCGACTTCCGCATTTAGTCCGCCAATTTTCTCAATCTCAGTGTCTACCGGCGTCTTGACAGTCTTAAACCGACAATCCATAAAGAACCATCAGATTTCGAGCGACCAGTGCCTTTTTCTCAATAATTTCATTCATTAAATACATTATTATACTTATTAACAATTAGCAAATTGTTTATACTGTGTCCTAGTGCATTTAATCAAAAGTAGATATATTGAAATAAACAGTACAATGACGTTGCCACTTCTCAGGATACAGATCGATCCGATCATGGGCGACGAGATCGGCAGAATGAGATGTCCGATGAGTGTAAGTCAATGATATCTATTGATTATTTCCTTTTCTCAAATATTACTTAATCTGATGGAGAGTCACCTCATATCGATTATTTCGCGCCTTTTTTATTGATATCTCCTCCAGCAAGAAAGCATCAGGAATTCATTCTGGGAAGTTTCGACCGTTCCTCCGATTCGTGGAAAAATTCGAGGGCTTATCTAGTTCCAGGAATTAAAGGCTGATGAAAATAAAATAAAACGAACAGCTATTACTTTTTCCAGCTACTTACACTCCTACCTGATCATCAATTAACAGGAAATACAATTAATTATTTTTTAGATATTCATTTATTTATTATCTATTGGATTGTTCATGGGGAAAATGATATTTCAATTTCTCTGTATATTTGCACATATCAGTTTTTTGTTTTATTACGTCTTTTGTTTTTCGATTGTTGATGGAAATGTTAAAATAGATGTAATGTATGGAAAACAAGACAAAGTCGCGGGGTCGCGGATTGTGTCGGGAGCCGGCAAATGCAGGAAAAATATAGGCAAAATACAGGCAAATAGCGGGAAATAATAAAAATGACGTTATGTATCGTGTACGGCGAAGTGAAAGAGTAGACGATGGTGGGGGTACGACAGGCGCATCGGGGTTCAGTGAGCGAGCGAGTGACACGGCTAATGGCAGGCGGTGTAGGTGATCCTTGATAAATGGCTCTGTCTAAGGTGCATAATTTCATCCCAACTACCTGCAACAATGTTCACGACTCTGTCAATGTATCCCTTCGCGTTCACCGACACCCTCCAATAATACATCAACAATTGATCGTGTAAATTACTTGCAAAATATCAGCATATCGCTGTCGCCGTTTTTGGATTCCAGGACAACCAATTGTAACTGTGCCACATACACATTCACCGCACGGAAAAAGTTTGATCGTGCATCAGCTGTCAAATATCGCGATAAATCCGGTTCAATGCTTTCCTAATCAGTGGAAAAAATCAATTAATTTCTTTTTTAACCCTTTGTTTGCTGCCAATGATGTACTCCATGTTTTACGTGGCCTCCACCGTTGCGTCATGTCACCGACTTTAGCATACTTTCGACATATTTTATATATTTTTTGTTTTTTAATTGTTGTTTTATGACTAGGTTGAGAGTGGCATCGACATGTTTGAAGCACCAGGAAGTAACTGCATTGCTGACAACAGATGCAGGGAATACAGTCCTTGGAGCTATGATCTACTGGGCAGAAAATCCAATCACAAGGTAAACTCCTGCGTCGTATCTCAGCGATTAATAATACATTTTCCGTGTATATATGGAAAAAATCATTTTTTCGTTATTATGCTTGTAACAGACTACGTTGGAGGACGAGGATAGCCAGGATCTCAACAACTCAATGGTGAACGAACTCGTTGCAAAGATTCTCGACGATGAGCCGATAAGAAATGGCGAAACATACACAAATCAGTACAATGGGAATCCAATTTATCAAAATGACATACAATCACGACTGAAATCCAGAGACTACTCAGACAATTATGAAGGAAATGTTCAGTACCCATACCCGAGGATGCCAACTCATCCTGATTTGGAGGAACCTCGAGATTATCTCCGTGGGGTTAATCTGAAAGGCCTGACACTTAATGATTGCATTTCCAGCACTGAAAAATCTAACGACTACACCAGATTGGAACACCCAAGACCCTTTAACTCTAATGAGCTGAATGCTCCCCGAAACTATGCCCCCCTAGCCAACGGACTCTTGACGACAACAAATGGCTTCAACTATCCCCAGCCCTCAAATTGGACAGACAATTTATTGTCTCCGGACTATACAAAAGACGTATTTGGTAATTATCAGCAGCCCCCTGCCTGTACACACCCTGACTTGAACTTCAACACAATTGGAATCAGTGAGATGGAAGTTCCCAGCAATATGGTGAACCCCACCAATCATCACTCCACTCCTGTCATCAATATTCACGACTCTTACAACACCAGTGCAAACGGTCCAACTTATCGTCCAGGTTCAGCCATGACAGACTTGAGTGGCGACTCAGGATTCCTCTCTAACTCTCCCCTCCAGCACTTCTCACCAGCAGATAACGTTCTCCACAACTGTTTCACCAACAGCTACCAACGAAATAATTTCGAGGAGATGCCCAACGAGCACAGATACCTCCAACAGCCCCAACACCAGCCGTACAAATTGGAGAAACCCATCGAGACTAACTACAGAACTGCAATGCCAAATTCAGGGAGGTATCCAGGTGGGAATGAGTATCACGATATCAGAAACAACGAGTACAGGCCAATTACTTCAAAAATTGATGAGGCTCTGGTGAATATGCTGAGTCCCCAGTTGAAACAAAAGGACCAGATTAATCAGAGTTACAGCCAGATGCGTTTCCCCCGCAGTGTCAACTCTCAGAGCATGGACCAATCGCCTAAGTACAATTATCCAGTTGACAATGGGTACCACCATCGTTTCACTGCCAGTACTGAGAATCTTAAGCCACTTCACAGTCCGGTGTATCAGACTGGGAAACGTTCTGCAAATCAAACCTGTGGGTATCAGAAGGATCCGTTCGATTTGGCTGGAGAAATTGGTTATACCTCGAATGCACATCTGGCACTGGCAAGGGCCTCTGTGGACACCAATGTTCTCAATCACTTGATGATGAAGCAACATCAGCAGCTTCAGATGTCAGTTCCCGATGTTCTGTTGAATCAGCGACTCCTGAGGGCAACTGCCCAAGCTAGACCTGGAGTCTTTCCATCCCTAATGCCGGTAATTTCTGCTGTTCCATCCTTGCACTCGATGCCCTTCCTCTCTGGGGGAATGGGGCTCAGGGGAGGAAATGTGAGGTCCTCGAGACGCGCTGGACCCGCGTCCCTCCTTCACATGAGGCTTGAGCAGACGTTCGAACAGTTTAAACTCCTGGAGAAGGAGCGAAAAAAATGTGAGGCTGGCCTAGCTGCTCATTTTCCAGGGAAGAGAGTTACCAGTGCTAATAATATTATTGTTCCGAAGCTTCAAGGCAATTCATCACGTGCTGATAGGCTCATTATCGATCATCTGAGGGAGCACGCTCGCGTCATAACTCTGATTGCAAAGATGGAGCATTTGAGGGGCGCGAGCATGAATCAGAGAATTCACAAATCTATGGAGTACTGGCTGGAGTCAATAAAATTTGTCCAGGAGTGCCGCAGGAGGGAAATTATACACGCCAATAAGAGACAGAAGGATAATCCACAATGCAGTCCAATTCAGGATGACAAAGATATTTTAGCTCTGGCTAACAGTATTCGTGAACTAACAAAAGCCTCAAGATTAGCGAGAACAGGAATGTTCAACGCAATGCAGGCAACACTCCTTCACAACAAGGACATCGAAAAAACTATCGTCGAAACATCGAAGGATGCCATAATACCACTCAATCAAGGTGAAGCCCAGGCAATTGTCGGTGAGACAGACAACTTCACAATTAGTACCTAGCAATATTGCTCTGAGGTCAGCTCAATTTTACTCTACGAAATAAACTCTAAGTTACAGCTATCCGTTCTTGATTGCGTCCGCTAAGAGGAAAACCCTTCGCTACATTACTATTTTTTTTTTACGTTGGGAAAATCATTTTTTTTTGTCAAATCTTGGTGCTAAGATGTCGAAGCTTTTTTCCATAAGTAAGAATATAAAGTAATCGATACCTTCATGAGAACAATCAATTCAAGGGATGAAATCATTACTGAAGCCGTCAATTTTACGTCGCGACTTTTTTACCGGAAGAAAATATTAAAAAGAAAAACTCTAAACTTTACATATGAAAATTTCGATGCAAGGCATTTTAATACAATTTTATTTAGAACTTGTGAGAGTCCGTGTGAGACTCTACCTATGTTTTTCATTACTTTACACTTGCTAGGAATGTTCAAGATAACTCTTCGACCTCTTTAAAGTCCATTTAAAGATTTCTGAGTGTCGAGAAGTGACGTATTCCTCAAAATTCTTGAAAAAAAAAAGAAAAAGAAAAAAAAACGTCTAATAGTCGAAACTTGCTTAGATAGATAAATATAGACCGAAGGATCCGTACTAAACTCTGTGGGAAAATTAACTGATGGAATAGCTGAAAGAGTGGAAATCCCTCTGGATTTTCTCCTCATAAAAACTAGACGAAGAGATGTTTTTAGACTAGTTCAATGTGGCCTTCCTTATGTGTGTGACCCAAAATGTGTGTCAGATAGTGTAAATTTAGAGTTAAAAAGCAAGAAGAGTAAACAAGAAGAGTAATCGTTTCGATATTTGCGGTCGAAATAATCCTAGGTGTTTAAATGAAGCAATCCAAATATGCTGTCCATCGTACTGTTCCACGTGTACACGTAAATAAATACGTATTGACATGTAAACTGCTTGCGCGCGAGCAATCACAGATACATGTACGCGAAATATTTCGAGGAATTAGGCGAGATAAAAAGAAAAACAAAACCGACAGATACGAAGGGCCCCGGCGATTTTTCTGAGTCGAGTGGAATTATTTGAAAGTGTTACTATATATATTAATGCGTGACCTATATCGAGAACAAAACAATATGCCCAATGATAACATGCTGACTCACTGATGCTGTTGACTTACGCCTCGAGTAACTCTAGCATTTCATTCCTATTCCAATAATCTTGCGTCAAGAGACGATACACGTTTCATAATGTGAGAAATTCTCATGTAGATTTTTTACCAGAATTTTTCAGTCTTCTGCTGAAACCCAAAGCCTCTTCACTGGTCAGGGATAGATCATTTTTACAACATTTTCTTTTCTCTCGCAATTTATAAATCGACTACTAATGCATAACACATCATATCTACCGCGCAATGATGGCCATTTAATTTTTTTTTTAATATATTTTTTTAACATTTTGATGAATAGTGAAATAGTAGGTTCTGCGGTGCTTTGAGGTCTCTAAAGAATACTTTTGCATTTTTCAGGCATAAAAATCTATTATATTAACTGTGATAAAACTAATGCCAATTGAGTCGCCCGTAGATCACTCTCGCGATCAAAATACTAAAATAAAATAAAATATATTAACGGGGGACTTTGTCCACAATGATTCTCTCATTAACGAAGCTTTCGTCAATAAAAAAATGTACTTAATCGTTGTAGGGGAAAGAATGTCGCGTCTGTTTGAGGGAATTCAACCACAAAATGCCTCTGAGCAACCGCCATAAGTAAGGACCATAATGGAAACGAAACAATGAATAAAAACCCCGCTTTGTTAAATTTCCAAATGCTTGAATAAACTCACGTAATATAGGGGTGCACGGTAGGGCAATTTAGCAGGGTGTTTACGCTAGGAATATTCAGAAAAGAGAGGAATAGGCGTTAAGTGCAGGCTAGTGATGTGTTAGAAAAGCTGGGATTTATAACGAAGAACAAAGTGTTTTAACATTAGGAAAAATTCATCTCATTACAAGCACATGGTCACGGTTAATATTGAATTAAATAGGAAACTGTAGGTTACGTGTCCGACAATCCTCTTTTAATTGCATGTGATATTATACTACTATTTACTACTTGAAGAAAAAAAAAAACAACTCGTAATGTTTATGGAATAGAGGGATAGGCGAAATTTATTACCAATGCCGAGAATAATTCGTGAAATATTGAAGATTAATCTACTTGTTCGTGTAAATCAACAATTACTGCGGTGGAGTATTAATTTAAAGAGAAACACTTGATTAAATCTAAATTACTTTTAAACAAATGACCAATGCTCGCGCGATTAGACAAGCATATCTTGATACATAAATTTTCAATATCTATTGTCCATTAGATACACTTAATGTCAAGTTTTCCATCGTGATGTTATATTTTCTAGGCCGGTTTGTCCTTCTTTTATAGTTCGTTAATGGCACTAAAAGTTTTTCTCACAACGACCAATTGATTCGATACGACTGATGACGGCTTTGAGTTTATTTTTATTCATCATTGGAAATTCCTTGAGCATGTGCATTATCCAAGAATAATATACATGGAGTTAGAGTCATTGTTCCATTTAATTGATTTCGGCATGAGCTTTGAGACAAAAAATATGAAAATTTTGGAGAAAAAGAATTATTATTGCCGCGTACATAGCATATTTTATGTCATTACGTTCGAAGACATAATCCTGGACATGAAACCTCCTATGAATGAATGAACAAAAATCAAATAGTTTTTTGAGAATTCCTTATCGTCATTCAAAGCCGTTTCATTTAGTCGGAAATTGCGTTTCACAAATTCCAACGGATATAAACTCGTTTTCACATCCGTTTTTTTTTATTATTTTTTCGACTAACAGTTTTTCTTCTCTCACAATTTTTACGCAATTATAACAACGGGTGTTGATTTAAAACAAAAATAAAAATAAAAAAACTGGTTGCTTCGGCTTCCAATGGTAGTGGTAATGTTATAGATGGCTCAATGTGAAAATTACAAGTCTGGTTTAATAAGAGTACTATATTAACGTTAAACATAAATATCCAATGACTATTATATATTATATAAATATATATGGCATAAAGAGATAAAGGTGAAGAATAGGTATCGTGGGAGGGTTATTGATGGATAAAACCCGCGAAAGTATTCGGGTAAAGATGAATAGAAATGATATATAAATTATTACCATAGAAACATGCATAGATTGGGAGAATTAATCTATCAAGGAGAATCTATTCTCTACATAGGGATAATTTTTGCGTGCATATCAAACGTATCTGGGATTGGTCACGTAATATATTGCTCGCAAGAGAATTGAATATTCCATCGATGTAGTAAAATTATTAATGAAAAATTGGAAATAGAACAACACGGTAGGAGTGTGCACTAAACTTTTATCCAAGATGCGTCCTAACCACCCAATCCGGGTATTATTTTAGCGTAATTAATGTTGAATAATTAACGTAAACGTACATACGGTCTTCGCATCAAGTAATTTTCAACGTCCGCTTTGCATTGACAAAATAGATTAAAAACCATAATTGAATGAAATAATTGAAAATTAAAATGACAGAACTCAACATTTTTTATATTATATTCAGACTGACTAGTTCGCTTCAGGTGCCGGTCGTTTTTTAAATAACGAGCCATTTAATTAAATACGATTTAGTAATTTCGAGGGAATTAATTGTAAATTTGTTCAATTGTACATAAATAATTATTCTGGAAAAACGGTTGATTTCTCCAGACCATATCGAAACGTGCCCTAAGGCTATTCAACCAAATGGAATATATATTATTTTTCCCTTTTAACACCGATCGAATTTCCATATCAATCGAATTTTTTTTCATTTGATTTATTGATCAATTTTTTAGCAATTATTTTCGAACAAGAAAAATTAAACAACAGTCCCAATTGATCAAATTGAAGACCGAGTGGTAAATGGTAAATGTCATCGATTCTAAAAAATGCCTCGATGTTTAATTGTCAATTTAAAAAGAGCGTCTCTGAAAAAAAAAACGATAAAATCGCAAGATATAGAGCTTACTTCTAAAAATCCCTAGCAAATTGTCACGCAAAATTGGACATTATCCGAGCGTTTATATATAAAAATGTCAATGTCTAAATGTTTTCCTAGTGTTTAAGGTGGGTTTTAAAATTTATCGGATATTGGGGCGGCTCCTCAATCAAATGGCAACGTCTCAAATCATTCTTTAATTATAATTTATTGTTCAAAACAAACGAAATCTTCGAAACATCAGTTAATTCTCAGGGGAACGCAAGTTTTTCTCGCCCGGATTTCACATTTGTGATTCTTCAACGTGCTCGCATTTTTTTTTTGCCACTTTTTCCAGTGAAACAAACTGGAGTTTAACTACATGAACATTAGACAATCTTGTTGCACTGCTTTCAGAGTTTAAATAATGAAAAAGAAAAAAAACAAAAGATTCTGAATAGATGGTTGATGAACTAGTTCATAGAGATTTAAGAGAGGTGTGACAGGAAGTAATAAAAACGGAAGAATTTTTTTAAAAGATATTGAACAGGAGTTGATTGGAGGATAGATTTTGATATACTCGATTTGTGGACCATTGGAACATTGTACAACGACTGCGTTACAATAATATATTTAAAATGTACGATAAAGTTCTCTTGGACAAGAGGGATTAGCGTTATAAAGTTCTTGCGAGCTTCACATTATTTTACCATGAGATTTCGCGCTGCGAGGCAATTATTTGATTGAGGAAGATTTGAACGAATCAAATCTGACGTCGTGTCGACAATATTTGCTAAGGGATGCTATTAAATTAAAATAAAAAATGGAGACGCTCGGTAAACAGTGCAATAAATCGTGTTTAGAAATCCAATGCTTGATTCGTTGTGCTTTCTAAATTGTTTAATAAAATTCTACATACAGCTGAATAATGGAAAAAAATAATTAAAGAAATTAGAGAGATTCATATGTTCCGTTGAAAGGCATATCGACTAAATTTATTGTGAACTCGCTAAGTGGTGACGGTCGATATCTTCGGGTTAGATGTGATAGCTTAAAAACAGAATTAATTAGATGTTGAATGGCATTGGAATGTCATTTGTTGGTGGTAACGACTGTGTAGTATCATTCAATGGCATAGGTAAAGGTAGATCTGTGCTTTAAATATTATTATTTAAGTACTAGTTTTTTTGTTCCTCGTTTTAAATGATAAAAAAATTGGCTAGTTTTATAACTATATTAGTATTTTTCTAGTTTTCATGAGAATAACGTAAATGTGGAAGAGTAATATTTTATCAATCATAAAATATTCATTGACTATCATTACGACGACATTACGATAGCTTCTGCTGAAGGGACAGTTTAGTTACCTTCGTGTTATTATTATTATTATTATGTTTTTTTTTTCGCGTCGACAGTGATTATTTGAGATGAAAAAAGGGTACGAGACTGCCAGATTAGGATACACTTAATGTATTTATTTTTCTTTTTTTAGAATCACGATATTTTCCACTTTCTAATATGTCGTTCTATTTTTGCAAGCAGAGAGCGATTACCTAGTCTACAAAGAGATATTCAAATATCTAAATGAGAAAATTATTATTATTATCAGAGATTACACTTGCCGTCTGATTAGAATGGTAATAGCAATTAATAAATTAGCTTCCATCGAACTAATTCCGTTATCAAGTCTATTTGTTGGTGATTAGTTAAAGGTCTTGCGATCAGTATTTCTCTAGTGTTGTCCCAATTGTGTGAATAGGGCAATGGGAAAAGGGGAGAGAGAGGATGCATCCTGTAATAGTCACGTAGAATTAGAATTATGGGTTCATCTTGGTTCATACTAACATTCTTATGTTTTTGTTTACGCATATTATATGATTGACACGTACTAATTATATCATATTAATATATTGAATTATATCGTTAAATGGGCTGTGGTAAAAAAATATAAAAATACAAAAAAAAATACCTAACTAGCTAGATGGTTTCGTAGTGTCACCGTCTATCTGTTAAATCTATCACAACGACCACTATGCACAAAGCTGTACCTTATTAATAATGTTGGATAGTGAGGACGAGAAGATGATAGAGATAAAAGAAATGAAATAATCCGTCATAATAATTGTCAATAATGTGCTGTATTTATAACTGTACCCCGCAATGTGCACGCGAGGGTTTGTTAGACGAGTTTCAAGTAAGAAAAAAAAATTTCCGATTTGTTTGCTGTCACGTAATTGCGCTCTGCTCTAAAGAAGAACAAAAAAATTGTCACTCCATAGCATGTTGAATGACGTCATTCATTCGAACAATCAGTGAATTTATGCATTTTTATTTTCTTTATTGTGTTTTTTGAGTTTTCCAATGGAAGATGCAAGGGGTAATTGCATCTTTGAAGCAGAACGCCGAAGCAGTCAGTGTGACCTTCACGTGTAGTTGAATTATTAGCTCTTAGTCCGCTAGCTAGATTAAACTGGGACGAAAAGAGAGATTGTAGATTCTTGCTCAATAAAATGATGAAAAAAAAAAACACATGCGCTTCGAATTAGACTGGCAAGGTACGTCCTCCTGGGGTGGAATAATCAGTAATTGTTTCATTTTTATAAGTTGAACTTACTCGAAATACCCAAGTGGAGGACGGTCTTCCCTTCTGAGAAAAAAATGTGAATGAAATAATGAAAATAATTAATATTAATATGCATCTGAGAATTCACGAACTCGTCTCCTTCCAATTCTTTTCTACCAATCGCTTGCCAAGTGTTTTGTCAATTTCGTGATTGAGACGAGCACGTGAACGAGGCTAATGATAGTAAATCAATCTCAGAACGTGTCTTTGCAGAGTACTTTTCAATTTTTTAATTATTGGTAGGTATTTATCCCTGAGCTTAATTGTAATTCGCCTGTAAAATTCCTGTTTGTAATTCTTGAGATTGAAATGAGAATGAGAGAAATTAATGTGAGGCGAATAATGGAAGAATTAATATAGATTATTGCAGGACTCGAGTAGTTGGGCTTGGTCATTGCTATGTGGCAAAATCATTTAGTTTAAACATTTTTCCCAAGGTGCTTAGAATTAGGGAAGTTCGTTGGAATTATTCGTGTGATGGAGTATAACTTACTAATTGGAAATATTAATTAATTAAAGAAATCTCAGAAATGTTTGTAATTATTTTATGTTCGTTCTCGATGCTATGAAAGTGTTTGTTTATTGTGCCGTTGTTATTTTTCTTTCAATTTGTGATGAGATTGCGACAACTGCGCGATGACGAATCGCATTGTGAAATTGAATAAGAAATTTATGTATATCTTTGAACCTACTAATGGTTGAAAGTTGTGTTTTATTCGAAGTGTCCTTTCTATGTACTGGTTTAACCCAAATAAATGAGACCTTTCATGTTCAAACATTACTCACACCCAAATCAATCGTTAGGATTAGATGTTTTCCTCCTTTTTATTCAGTTTATTACATACCCTACATCTTTATATTATGCATTTTAACGATTTTATTTACTTTATTTACAGTAGATCCCAGACGTGCGCAGGTGAGCACGTTCATGGAGAATTAGCGCTTCAACGCTGAAAATCAATCATAATAGAATTGAATTATAAAACTTCCATTTGATACAAATTTTCACGAAATTAGCTGCTATTCTGTCTAATTTCGTCCAATTTTTAACAGGATTACAGGAGAATCGAAGAGGTATTTTGTACAATTGAAAGACACAGAATTTTCAAAAAAAAAAAATAAGAAGAGAATCAGACCGGTATTTTGTGAAATTTAATTTCGCCCGCCTGTCGACAAAATACCAAAACCAACTGGATTACTCCTTACATTTTCTGTGATCCTGTTACAAAACTCTTATTTGATTGAAGCCAGGTCGATCATTGAGCAAGAATCGAGCATTGAAGACAAATCGACTGATCGAAGTTGAAACGAAATGAATAACAGTCGTTTGTTTGCAATATTTGCTAGCATACCTTTTCTCCAGGAACACATACAGTATTTAATTGTTTTCACACTTATACAAACTCCTCAGACAGGTAAGATGATAAATTTTTATGAAAATTATATTGTGTCATTTTGCAATTCTTGGAGTTTTTTTCTCTGTTCGAAATGTGGAATATACATCAATAGCTCAATAACATGGCAACGTAAATTCCCGAAAGAAGTTCAATATGGAGCACAACATAAAAGCATGATTTTTACGTAAATGATATTTTTAGTATATACGTTCCTCGGTTATTAAGTTATCGGCATATTGAGGAGGCGGAAAATAATGATATTGGATCAAATTTTTGTATTATCGAGAATTATTTTTTGATTTCTGATACAGTTGGTGTTTAGAGGCACATAACTACCAGGATTACTTCAAAAAGTGATTGAATCACTTTTCAGGCGACCAAATATGATACAATTGACTAAATGGATAAATATTTTTGGGCACCAGGGAGTATAAAAGATGACAATATAAATAGCAATTAAATTCTTGCTGAAAGTAAAAACTAAATGCAAATACCGAGGACACCGTCTATCACCAGAAGGATCACTGGGTTCATCGTCCGTTTCAAAGAAAAAAAAAAGAGAACAATATAGGGCGCATTTACGACTCACATTCGGTACCTGCTTATTAATCAATTTAAATAAAACGCGTCTCGTTTCATTATGATTATCATCGTTATAATAAATTTAAATTCCATTATATTCAAGAGATGATGCACTTTGACGGTTCTTGTACATTTCCATCTGCTTTTTCAATCTCCATCAGCAGTGTATGAAATATATCGGCCACTGATTCATTCTGTTTTGCACTTGTTTCCAGGAATGCTGCGTGCCAAGAATCAGCCAGGCGTTTTCCCTGTTCTGTCGTCACCATTCTGTCTACGTACAAATCTGTTTTGTTACCAACTAGAACGATTGGAACACTGTAAACAGAGAAATTCATTGATAATGCATTGATACTCACAGCTGGGTATTTAGTTTTATTTATTTTTCTCTTTTCTGGGAATTCCACGGAAGATGTACTCACTGAACTTTTCCAGTTATGTCGAGCAGCTTGTCGTAGATAATCTGTACAACCTCGAAGCTTTTTGCACTTGTTATGCTATATACCAAAACGTAACCGTGGATATCCATGGAATACTGTGTGGGGAATATGCTGTACTCATCCTGACCAGCAGTATCAACTAATTTAACTTCGTAATCTTGACTATTTACACGCGTACTTTTAGTGAATGCTGAAATGACAATGATTCATCGTTTTTTTAATTATTATTGATATATAATTAGTATTGTTATATATGATATGAAGGCGAATATGATATATCCTGGAGAAATTATTGATTTTCAACGTACTATTTTCAATAGTGGGATCATAAGAGTCCACAAACTGTCCCTCGACGAATTGAATGCTCAACGATGACTTCCCCACTGATCTATAGCCCATAATAGCTATTTTACGTTGTTTCGGTGGCATTTTGATTTGTTTTCTATTCTCAAGCCTTCAGGGATAAACCATAAAGACTCGATCATACTCTGGTTATCGCCTTGAACAAATTAATAAAATCACAACAATGTTGTGTAATTAGCTGCGATTGAAATGAGGAATCTTGTGCGGGTTATACCACTGCAGGCGGTGACTTAATTCCGATAATTATGCATACTCTGACCTTTATGATAACCTGAGAAATTTTCACACAAAAATCAGAAAGGGGAATTAAGTAGAGCCAGGCATGAAACAGAACAAAGTTCTTTCAGTAAACTACGGAGTTCATTTCATGCATTTTCTTCAGATGAACAAGTGCATGATCATGCATTCAACAAAAGACTGGAAATCTCACTAAACTGCACGAAGGCGACGTGGAATATAAACAAATTAATGTTATGCATCAATCGAAGGGGTAAGATAACGAGTAATTCAAAATAGATGAGTTAGTAATTGCATTCTACTCCAAGATACAGCAATAACCAAACAAAAATAATACTAATCAATTATTTGTACTCGTGTAAAGCGATTTCTCATCGTACAAGTGGAATTATTATTCGATGGAGATCGTCAGTATTTATATATTTGGCACTCTTCTGTTTTTGTCAAGAAAAGACTGAGAAAATAAAGAAAAAGAGAGAAAGAATAAGTACGGGCGTGGGTGTACTCAAGTGCGCGTTAAAGGGCTCAACAGCGTAACGTCATGCCTCAGAGGTGTTTATGTTTTTACCTGCTCCAATCGACGATTTTCGGTTTACACTTGAATTGACAGTAGTGGTTGAACTTGTTAAATAGCCAATTAATAACACTGGGGTTGGTAAATAAATAGATGAGAGATTAGTGATGTCGCGCAATAGTTGACTTCAATTACAAACGCGCGCACTTACTTATGTATTTTGCTTTTCACGAGGAAGGAAGGACAGTGATCCGCTTGCCCCGTGATTTTGCATGGATCAAGATGGTTGTACAGACGGGCGAATTGAGATACCACACGTGGAATCAACTCTGCGCGCTATCTGTCACTATTTTTTCCAATCTCAATAATCTATAAAGTCAAACAGAGCTTATATTACTTCAGAAGTTCAATAATCAGGTTTTTTTTTCATATTAATGTATTTATTCAATATTAATTTCAATCATCATCATTCTATTTGTCGCCCTCATTTCTTCTTCACATATTAAACTAGTCTAAAGTATGTATAAATAAAAACAGTACGAAATGAGATCACGTTATTTTCTTCGGGACACTTGCGATGATTCGATGATCTTAAATAAAAATTTCACATAACGATTCACGAAGTGGTTAATTGTTCATTTCACAGGTGAGATTTAATTTGGAAGGCAAGATTGACGCAAGACATGCTATTAAATATGATAAAAAAAATAATTTATAAAAATGAATGAAAAATTGATTTAGCAATAAGGATTTGGAATGACTCCGACACCAACTCCTCCCTCGTGGGCACACATGGGAGCAGCAAAGGACCAGGTGTTACTTCGTGGATCGTAGACCTCAACAGCTGAGAGATTGGAGATACCGTCGTAGCCCCCGATAGCCCAAAGTTTGCCCATGTTGGCTACCAAAGCTGCTCGACTTCTCATCATGTTCATTGGGGCAACAAATTCCCAAGTGTCCTTCTGGGGGTCGTAAACCTCAACTGTTTGCAAAAAAGTTGAGCCATCGTAGCCTCCACAAGCATATAATTTGCCATAGAGAGTAGCCACTCCGAGTCGACATCTTCTCGTTAGCATGGGTTTGACTGTCGTCCAAATTCCAGTCTGAGGATCATAACGTTCCACTGAATCAAAAATTGATAGACCATCGTGACCCCCTAGAGCATAAATGTAACCCTCGAAGGCAATAACTCCGCCAGCAGAGCGATGCTTGTTCATGGGGCGAAGAATCTGCCACTTGTCAGTGGCTGGACAATATCTCTCGACGATGTTGAGAGATATAACTCCGTCGTAACCCCCACACACGTATAGATAATCGAGGAGTGCAGTTGTTCCGACTGCACTTCTTTTGTAGTGCATTGGAGAGATAATCTTCCAGCTTCTTAAGGCTGGATGATAAACCTCTACTGTGGCGAGTCTCTCGAGGCCATTGTACCCACCAAATGCGTAGAGTTTGTTTTGATGCACCGCCACTCCGACTCTGCTGCGGTCCATTGTCATGGCTTCTGATCGCCTCCAGGTGCACTTGAATGGATCGTACACTTCGACTGTGCTCAAAGAATTGCCGTATTTGGTGAGACCACCAACAGCAAAGATGTCACCGACGAGATCGTTGCAGAGACGAGGACGAAATCGAAAGCTCTCCAGGAGGTGCTTACGCTCGGGCATCAAGTGACAATCCTTGGCATCGTCGAGAAGATCTCTGCACTCATGTGAGCGTTTGATCAATTCCTCTTTAGCCACATGATCCACCAAATACTCAGGACTCAAAAGTGGCAGTCTCACCAGAATTAATAGCTTGGGTAAATATTCAATTCTCTCTTCCTTGTGCTTGACCCACCTGAGAACAGCCTCGAATACCTGTGCCTCGGATACGACATACAACTCATCCTTGCAAATGAGCTCCCTTAACTCGTTCAGTGGTAAAGTTAAAAATTCCTCAGACAAGGAGACGTGATGAAAGTACTGATGAATGTATTTAGTGGCTTCCTTCACTAGGGCTGGACAGCTCAGTCTGTCTGCAAAGCTGCAAATCCCCAGAGCATTGTGTGGTTGTAAATGCGATTTCAATACGTCAGCACATGCATCACGGACTTTGTTTAATTGAAGAAAGGAAGCGCCCATCATAATACTTTGCACATTGTCTTTATTCAAGGTGACTTTTCCACTGTAGGCGAAATTTATTAGGGCTTCGAGTGCACTGGAAAATTATTATTATTACATTATAAATTATTACGGCATCAAAACATCGACGTGGTGAAAAATAAAAATAAATGTATATGTTTTACTCACACTGCATCAAATCCCTGCATCGTGATATCCTTTTGTTTACTTTCAATCATATTAGTCAAAAACATTGCATGAAAATAGGGTATCGTTGCTGCAAGGACTATCCTGTGGGCACTGAATGTCTGATCTTCGATCTGCCGACAAATACGTAGAAATAAACGCAAAAATAAAAGACTCGTGAAATCCTTTGTTTTGGGTTTTCAGAGAATGAGGGGACGGCAAGGTTATAGGCTATAGTTTACCTTGAGCGTGACATCGCAGAGTTTTCCCTGTCTTCGTATCTCCTCGAAAATAGGAAATCCCTGTGAGAAGAGTTCAGGTTCTTGAAAGACAATCTGCTTGTTATCATTATCAATTTTGAAAGGTTTTAATTGTTCGGCGAGGCACATACTCTTGGCCTTAGCCCTGGTTAACGCTGTTGTTGACGTTGTTGATGTTAATCCGTGATTGCGTTGATGGCGCACAGTTGGTAGTCCGGCGCGTCTTTCAACTACTGCACCTCTCAGCCTCGATGCCCTCGATGTATCGAGTCGACTAACTCCAAATGCAATCAGTCTATCCCCACCAGCCGCCTGCCTACCAACATTATCCCCCCGACCATTATTCATTTTATATTTATAAGTATTCTGTCGTTTTTTTTTTCATCGTCAAATTTGTGAAAAGGCTAAATGAAAAATTTCTCGATTAAAACCGACTCTCAGTTCCGGACAATGGTCAGTCAACTGAAGCGTTAAAAGTCATTTCAAAAACACTTTGAAACCCATTTGTAAACAAAGCCACCTCGGTGGTGGGGCCCAGATAAATGATATTTACATTGAAACTGCTGTGTCCGAATATCGAAGACGACACCTCGGTATTTATAACTTCACTTTTGTCTAATCCAAATGATCCTCAGACGCTATTCCAAGTGGTGTTGGTCCTACAAATGATTCATACCCAGCCCAACAAACTCCTTTTAAACATCTCGGGCTTTCTTTGTGTCTAAACTTGGAACCATCCGGTATGTTGCTTCTCTGCCTTATGCAGACCATTCACACCCATTCGAAATCCACATATTTCCTTTTCAAAATTGGCCGTTCTGCGGTGAATCAAATGACTGTTGTATTGCTACAGAATGTCTAATCGGTTAAACCCACAGAATTTCTATTGTTCTACAATTTTCATTGTCAACCAGACAATGACCTTACTCTCCTCGGTTCCTTTACGATATACATTGAACAATATTACAATATTTTTTAATTAAGAGCTTAAGAAAATCATTGTTTTAATTCTATTTTTTTCGGTTGGTTTATCATAAAAATTGAATAGTTGCCGCTAATTCTGACAAGTGTGTCAGGATCAGCATTACCTAGCGTAACCCGAGGCGTAAATAGTTTCAGCACACTATGAAGTCGCATATAAACACATCTGATAACCTATAAATCAATTAATTAACAATTCATAGCGAAAAAAGAACACATTTTTTAAAATTATGATTGTAGTCGTACAGTAATTGCAGTCCAATGTGTAATAATTTCGAAATAAAACAGAAATGACAACAAAGGATTGGAAATTTATTAGAGAAATAGATTGTAAGCAAGGTGCAGTGAGAGCTGTAAGATTTAGTGTAGACGGAGCATATTGTTTAACGTGTGGCTCAGACAGACGTGTTAAACTCTGGAATCCTTACAAGAGTACATTGTTGAAAAGCTACAGTGGCCATGGAGACGAGGTGATGGATGCTTATGCCGCTTGCGACAGTAGCCAAATAATCTCATGTGCATTGGATAAATCCGTAATCCTGTGGGATGTGGCGACAGGCTCTCCAATTCGAAGATTTCGAGGACACGCGGGTGGAGTTACAGCTGTCAGATTCAACGAGGAATCTTCAATGGCAGTCTCCGGTTCTCGAGACAATTCTATCATGTGTTGGGACATAAGATCGAAATCGTACGAGCCAGTGCAGACACTGAATGATGCCAAAGACTCCATATCTAGTGTCAGAGTATCAGATCATGAGATCCTCGCCAGTTCATTCGACTGTAGAATCAGAAGATATGATATAAGAGTTGGAGAGTCCATCACTGATTGCCTGGGGGAGGCCGTCACGTGCGCCAGCTTCACCAGAGATGGACAGTGTGTCCTGGCAAGTTGTGCTGATGGTGTTATCAGGCTCGTCGACAAGGACACTGGAGAATTGCTCGGAGAATTTAGAGGACACCGGGTAGAAGACCTCTGTCTCGAGTCCAGTGTAGACTGTTATGATACCAAAGTGCTTTCTGGATCTGCTGATGGTAGCATTTGGGTGTGGGATCTCGCTACCCAGACTGTTCTAGGAAAACTCAGTGGGGATAGAGTTACCAAGTATCCGACGGTTTCTCTGAGTGTTCATCCGCAGGAGAATTGTCTCCTAGGAGCTAATGGCAGCTCTATTCTTATGTGGACTGCTGAGAAAGTTGATCCTTGATTTTCTAAAGAGTTCAATTAAAGCAATTTTGGATCTCCTTCTCTGTTCATTTAATTAAATATAGGCCCTCAATACAAGTGGTCTATAACATACTTATATATTTTCCGCAAAAATTTAATTTAAAAAAAGATAGCAATAAAGTAATCTTTTATATTATCAAATATGAAATTTAATGTCAGTGTTTTTGATTATTATTAATTTTTTTCTGTATTTTATATAACAAGAAGAGCATTTAATTTAGCCGGTTCAATAAGTAGTGACGTCTGTAGATGGCACGACATGTTTCTGGTCGGAAGTCCAAGAGCGAACTGCTTTTTTTTTCACAAGACAAGAAAGACAACTCCACTACGCATAAATGCACATATTTACTTGTTCCCTTGTTTCGCAATACAGGTCAAAGTGCTTCAGTCATTATACACGGCGTTTTTTTTTTTTAATCGGTATCAATAAGATTGGAAAGTCGTAGTACATCAATTGATAGTTCCCAGTGAAGGCGTTGGCTCCATTCAATCAGTCTCCAATTGAATTCCAGTCTTATCTTGCTTCATTTACGTTTCAACAGGTGAATTGACCCAGAGAATTTTTTTTCATTTCTTGTTTTATGGTATTAAAAATACGAGACTAAATTGAACTTTCTCCCTGTCGAATGTTCTCGAATCTAGTCGGTCATCGTAAATCTTGTTTTGCATAGAAAGTAAAATTTTCATGTATTTTTTTTAACTGGCAAAAATATAGTATAAAATATGTTCTATATTTCCATTCTATTTTGTAATTTTATTTTCTAGTTGAAAAAAATGGTTGGAAGAGAAACAGTGTACGTTGTTGGTGTGGGTATGACAAAGTTCGAAAAACCAGGTCAACGGGATGACTTTGATTATCCCCAGATGGCAAAGGAAGCCGTCACAAAGGCATTGAAAGACGCGAGAATTCCGTACGACGAAATTAAAGCGGCCTGTGTGGGTTACGTATACGGGGATTCGACCTGTGGTCAGCGAGCTCTCTACGAGGTCGGACTCAGTGGTTGCCCAGTGTACAATGTCAACAACAACTGCTCGACGGGCTCGACAGCCCTCATTATGGCCAAACAAATAATAGAATCAGGAAAAGCTGACTGTGTCCTGGCGCTGGGCTTCGAAAAAATGGAGCGCGGCTCGTTGACCTCCAAATATACGGATCGAACAAATCCCATGGAGAAGCACGTCACTCTTATGGCTGAAATTTCCGGCATTAATGAGAGTCCCATCACAGCCCAATTGTTCGGTAACGCTGCTATTGAACACATGCAGAAATATGGAACATCTCCCGATCATTTAGCTAAAATAGCATATAAAAATCATCAGCATTCGGTGAACAATCCGTATTCACAATTCCAAGAAAAATATTCTCTGGAACAAATCAAGAACTCGCCCAAGGTTTTCGGACCATTAACTAAATTGCAGTGCTGTCCAACTTCAGATGGTTCTGCAGCGGCTATTCTAGCCAATGAGGATTTTGTCCGACGTCACAATCTGTATGGACAGGCGGTGGAGATTTTGGCTATGGAAATGGCTACTGATACTGCTTCCACTTTCGCCGAAAGAAGCAGCATTAAACTCATTGGATATGACATGACAAAAAAGGCAGCAGAAAAGGTGTTCTCTAGCGTGCCTTACCGCGTAACCGATGTTGATGTTGTCGAGCTCCACGACTGTTTCTCAGCAAATGAATTGATCACATACGAAGCTCTGGGTCTCTGCCCCCCTGGCAAAGCAGGAGAACTCATCGACAGTGGAAATAATACGTATGGAGGGAAATACGTGGTAAACCCCAGTGGAGGTTTAATCTCGAAGGGACATCCTCTGGGTGCCACGGGATTGGCCCAGTGTGCCGAGCTTTCCTGGCAGTTACGTGGCCAGGCGGACAAGAGACAAGTACCTGGAGCCAAACTCGCGCTCCAGCATAATATTGGGCTGGGTGGTGCAGTGGTGGTGGGTTTGTACAAGCTAGGCTTCCCCGGGGGGATGAGAAAAAATTTCGTCAGCGCTGCGACATCCCCAGATCAGTTCAGGGCCAATGCAGTTTTCAAGGTCTTCGAGGTAGCCATGAAGGAGGATGAGGACAATCTAATCGAGAAGTTCCGGGGCATTTACGGCTTCAAGATAATCAATGGACCAGGCGGGGCCGAGGGTTATTGGATTATCAATGCTAAAACTGGAAAGGGCTCTGTGGAGTTCAATGGAAAGGACAAACCCGATGTTCTTTTCACCATCAGTGATACTGACATCATGGATTTTATTTCTGGCAAACTCAATCCCCAGCAGGCCTTCTTCCAGGGAAAAATCAAGATCAAGGGGAATATGGGGTTGGCTATGAAGTTACCCGAATTGCAAAAGAGAGCAGCCAAGAAAATTGAACTTCTCAGAGCTAAGCTGTAAACTGAGATAAACCGTTTTTCTATTATTTCACTAGAAAAATGGTAAAATTAAGTGGTTAAAATAGTTGAATGAGAACCATTTGAATAAAAATTTAATTCGTTTTCTTTTTCCATTTTCCTAGTGATTCTGCACATTCCAGAAATCGAGTAATTATAAATCTTTACTATAGTGAGGATTCAATGCGATTCAATTCAAAGGTGGAAGGGAGAAAGGGGCAAGAGCGATTACACGACAAGTGATTTATTGATAATCAATAGATTTGTAATCAAAATGATTTTTTATATTGAAAATTTGATGCAATATGTTGTATACTCTTATGGTTTCCAATAAAATCGACTGGATAGGGAGACACGGTGTATCGTTGATATTCATTAGGTTTTGGGATGTAGACAATCTCCTGACAATTCATTCCATTATTAAATGTTCTAATAAAAGACAATGCGATATGCAGGCGAAGGTTGAAAATGTTGGAGACCGCAATGTACATGGCACCTCCGTTAGAAGTAAGTGCTCTACATTCACACGTCTTAGTATGATCAATCCTCAATTGCTCCAGGAACTCCCTTTTTCAGGGCATAAGCAAAATCGGAATAATCAAGCATGCGATTTCTTATTAATTATACGTTTTTTCAAAAAGACTCGTTCGATTGAATGCAATCCTGACGAAGGGAAACCTGATGTTTATCATTTCATTAGACCGTTATATTTTTTTGTACTCCGCAATTAAACTTTTTTCAATTATAATGCCAAGATTAAATTCTAGTTGATATTTCTAGATTAATTTGACAACAGGGTAGAATCGATATGGTGAAAAAGTGAAAAGACAAAAACCTTGACTTTCACTAAATGAAATTGGCCGATTCGTCTGACCGTTTCATATTCAATGGACTATTTATCATAAATGAAATATTAAAAAGTGGAGGTAATCCGGTGTGTATATAGGTAGGTGCTGTATTGGATATGAAAGTGTCAAAGGCCGTGCGATAAGACTGACTAAATATATATATTCATTTATGTATGTATATATATAGTCACGAATTTGAGGCGCCACCGTCGCCGCGTCACAAACACCGGCTCCGGCCGTTGGGCTTTCCAGTTGCATCAAGATCGCTGTACTAGGCAGTCACGCATTTTCTTTCTTAAAAATTTATAACGTGAATACATCTACAACATACAACAATAGACGACAAAAAAACTAATGGGAGATTAGTGATTACTTCAAGCCATTGATGAATGACTGGTGAATGAAACTGTTGGATTTTAGTGACATTTACGAAATACCAAGGAAATAATTGGAGGAAAAAATACTTGTGTTTGTAAATTGGAGCACTTTGTGCTCAAAGGGACGGGGCCTTACCTGTGAGCTCGCTTACACGTGTGTTGTTCACCCCAGTGAGGCCTCCGGGTATTTTCAACTGGTCGAAGTGAGTCGAATTTCATTTACTACTTGTTTCTTTTAATTGAAAAATTTATTTCGACAAGCCTAAACGGCTCCCAAAGTACTCCATAACATTGGAAAAACCACAAGCAATTACGGAAATAAAAGAATTTCTATGGCAGAAAAAAAAGAATCAGATCGCCAAGTGGCAAAGGAAAAGTTGAGGCTCATTCTTCATTCACCACATCTAAATCTAGAGGAGATATTTATAGGCGTCAATGTAAACATTTCACCTCAACTTTTTAAATTTCGCCCAAGTTATTTTTGCGTTCACCTTCAGCCTGTGACTTTTTTACTGGCAGCTGTGCAACCAATGTCACGCCGATTTAACACAATTTACCATGGAGGTTGTCATTCTTCCAAAGCTCTCGACATTTTATTCAGTTTTCTTGTCTAACGTTTCGGCGGGAAAATGAAATATTAAATTTTTGCTGCGATGATGGTTGAGGTGTAGAGTAACGAGCCACTTGATAGTGGTGTACACTCACTCGTATTAACCATCTGCCGCCCTCGGTCGTGCGTGTTTTTTTTATTTCTCTCCCTCTTTCCGCTTGCCTCCCTCAGGAAATTCTTCAAGACTTGACGATCTCGTTGCTCCTAGGGTGGTCCCTGCACAGTTTTCTCTTTCAATTAGTACATCGTACATCGTTGATTAACATTTCTCGCTTTTTAGATTGACCAAGTGATGGAGTTCCACTAAGATACCTTCGCTGATGAAATTTTTCCATCAGCATAGGATGATAATGACGTGGGTGGGACAGGTGAGGACACGTCCCGGGACAAAGAGTTGAAATGATGATGAATAAAAAGGTCATGCACCTGTTCCTTTCGTAAGCCAGAGACTTACGAATGAAATTACAATTATTTTCATGATTACCGTCACTAGATTCATCACTTATTGCAATGAAGTAGGTACGTTTCCTTCTCCAAGCCACTTCCGGTCTCTCCCAGAGGTCACGTAATACTGGGCTGTGTGATTAAAAAAACATGGTATAGAGGTAAAATGTTTCACGATTAAAGAGTAGAGGGAGTAACGAAAGAGCGAGCGCACGTGAGTCACATCGTACCCATCGCACACTTGCGACGTGCATTGCCACCAAATTAATAACACTTTCCTTCACTCGTGTCACTTTATCCAACGGCATCCAACTTACATGTTTATAGTGTTTGTTTTCAAAGTACCGGCTCTCCTTACATGACATCTGATACTGTGATGTCATTGGTAAAGATGCCTGAGAGAGAAGGATTGTATATGATGCTGCACGCACCATTGACTTGATCATTTTTTTTCTCATGACACATCACTACATTTCATATTAATTACCCTTTCAATAGCATCTGCTACTCCGATAAATTTACCACTAGTGAGAAATTCCAATGAATCAATTACATCCGACAACCGAAAAGTCATTGACACGTAAGACATATGCACTGTCATTGTCAGCGGAAAAAAGCCAATGAGGTAGACCGAAAATACACATCAAATATTGATTGAAAAAAAAGGATCAAAACCAAAATAAACAAGAGCAAGATTTTTGGTGGATGAATCATCGCCGGATAAAGCATTCACGTGGTTCAGTAATGTCTTAGCCAGCTCTTACCAATGTACATTGGAACTTTCGTCGACGAGTAAAGCCCAAAGACTTTTTTTTTCAACTAGTGTTTTTATCTCTCCCCCTTTTTCCTTCTGTATTCAATGTACAGAGGATGGCATAACGCCTGGCCAGACGAGACTGTATTCGAGCCATAAAACGTTGCAAATCCCACACAGCCTACAAGACCGAGGTGTATATACACATATATGTATGTCGGACAGTCTCGTGTTGCTGAGGCCTAGATTCACAAAACCTGCCACCTGGATCCGCGTTCGATTCACGCTCTGATAGTAGGTCTTCCCAAGATAGAACCAGAACCACTTGTATTTGAGAACTTCATAACAAACAACCCAGTTATTATTGTTTCGTATCGCGTTAGTGCGAAAAATTGCTACTGTTCTCTAAGTGAATATGGTGCGTCAATGTCTTGCGAAGGAAAAACTTTATGAGTCACTCGACCCATTTAACGAGGTTCTTTACTTGCTGGATGAAAAAAAAACTTTTCAATTCTTTAAAGTGTCTAGCATAAACACGACTCCATGCTCAAAATCGAAATCGAATATATAATGCTGCTATCTGTAAAAGATGATAACACATAAATTACGTTGACTTTTTTTTATAACTAGCGTATACGGCACGCCCCGGGGCGCCTAAAATCACACGTATGGGGTGTTATCATTTGACATCTAAAATCGAAATATTCAAAGAATCTTAAATATCTAAAAACTTACCCACAACTTATGTTTTTTTTTTCTTTCATTAAATTCAATTGATAAATACAATATTTTTTTTCTCATTCTAGACAAATCATTATTTTATTAAAATGATATATTTTATTATATGTATATATAGTATGATATGCATATCATACTATAGTTACATGCATTTTTTAAAGTGGATAGTGAATCGGAAAAAGTCCATTTTCCAAATATATATATATTTGATATATATTAAAAATTAAGAGTGCGTTCGAATCGACTAACGAGTCAGATCACTCCGTACCAGACACATGCGAAATAATTTGGCCGCCTGCTGAGCAATCGATAACTAGAGATAAAAGAGTGGAGACTTCACAGTTGCGTAATTAACTAGGGGAGATTGTTTTTTGGGGTGTATTAAGCTGGAAGTGGGAACTCTCAATCGTCCACTTTGTGCGCAGATTTGAGGGGTTCAATGGTGGAGCCCCTGCACAAGTTTTTCAATGGTTTTTTTTTTGCTGATGGTGTGCTTATAGTCACGTCGTAGACCCTGAGTCCATAGCAGAGGACTTGTCGACTGTTGCTCCGCATGACGTCTATGACGTCTATGTTCAATCACCCATGACTACCTAACGTTTACCATGTACCACTCATCTACTACTTGCAGATGAGATAAATTTCTTCTATTGACCAGTTCTTGTTTATAAAGTTATTGACAACTTTATTCGGTTGATTAATGTGATCTGCAGTTGAAAGCTTGTGGAGTAGTAGCACATGCTCGTTACAGAATAATGTGAATAATGAAAATTTTCAATATCAAAGAAGCAAACACGTCCGACGTGCCATAATCATCAAGGTTCTTCCCTCCCCTTAAAAGCCCTGTTTACATAATAAATAAGAAAATAAGATACGAATTGGAAAGTATTCACCCATTGGGCGTATAATCGAGCAATATTAACCACCGTAAAGGTCAACCAACAAAGGAACGGTGAAAGGCGCAACGGAGAGGCCCACACGCCTTCATGAAGGGCTCCCTGTCCTTCCGCTGTCTGCTCTGTAATTTGTAACAAAATTCTGCTTCACAGCAACTCAAAACAACTGAGCAACCACTTTTTTTTTTGTTTTTCGGCCAACAGAACGAGTTGTTGGACATGCAATTTTAATCGACAGTAGATCGTCTAACGGGATGCTGGATGGTGATACATTCGTGATTTTCAATCTGACAAACCTCCATCAATCTTGTCAATTGCACTAGGGCTTTTTCTAGCATCGTATTCATCACTGGTGGATTCTCTAATAGCCAATTCTCGAGTCACTATTTTTTTTCTGAGGCGTCGGTCAATGCAGCAGCCATGCAGTGCACTTAATACATATCAATGTTGTTCCGTCCTCAATGACTCTCTGTTCGCATCTAAACAAGCAGAACCATTTGTTAGAATTCGAAGAATTAACACAAAGGTAGGGGAATCGCGCGTTTATTGTTATATTCATTTTCATTGCATTCGATTTCCCGAAATTTGCCTGTTAAAACGGTATTATTCAGTCAAAATTCTGGAAGTTACGCATTTTTTCAATGAACTTTGAGGAAAAAGCGTGGAAATTCCAGTGAAAAAGTGCGTAACTGTTCCATAATTTTTACTGAATACCTATTTGACTGGCAGATTACCGAACGGGCACGTAATTTCTGTTGAATTTTTCTCACCGTGTATGCAATGCACTTGGTGCATTTGAATAAAACCAGGGAGTACTCGAGTGACTCATCCTGACCACACTTCACCATCGGAAGATCTTGCTTTCTTCAGCAATTCGAATTGACTTTCTGCGCCGACGGAAGTAAAGTCGCTCACTGAAAAGAGAAAAGAGGATTGAAAGGCTCCAAAGATCCCAAAACTCATCCTAAGATGAATCCATGTACATATGTTGCGACGATGCCGTCTGGTCTGTGTGACGCCCCGCTCTATCGATTCTCTACCCTTTGCCAAGACGACTTGTTCGCCATGTGCGGAAGAGCACCAAAATTCTCCTTCTGTTTTCCATCCCTGTTTTTGATGTGTTGCCAATGATATGAAGCGAAAAACCGGATTCAATGGGAGAGATTTGAGAATCACTGGGTACCTTAACTTGTTAGCGTGACCACTCTCCACGGCTTCAACTCTCATGTAAAGGTCGTCCTGAAGGGCTCCCGTTGCTTCAGCAAACGAGTTCAAGCTCTCTTGGAATAGTACTCTCAACGAAAACATATTCAGCCTGTTACAAAGACATCTCCATGTGTCTTGTACATGAATTATTACCTGAAATGTCTACTTTTTTTAATTTTTCACAAGTTTATCTAGTTACATTGCATGCGGGTCGAGCTCCATAGATCCTTATAAATCCTCAAGCAGTTGGTGTATTCTATACTGCAGTCTAATGTCCAAGAAAACATTGAGTCATGGAATCCCTTTCGTGCTCCTTGTGTAACAATTGCGAATATTTATTTATTATAATTGCGAATCCATGAAAGCGATGAATCATTTTCGATATCGCATGTAAAAAGTTTTGGGTGATTCAGTCTACCCTAATTATATTCTGCCGTGTATCGATTGACACTTTTGAGATAATTTGACGAATCACATTGAAAGGTATAATCCGAGTGATCCCCCTGTTTTGTTTTGTTTTGATTTTGTACAGTACTTGGGAAACAAGGTTCACCCCTCCCTGGAACTTAACGACTGTGTAACGTTAGGTCACCGTTACTCAGTTATTTCGACAACCCGTGGACACATCTCTGCTCATGTATTTTGCCTCTCCTCTACATGAACTCATTGTTACTACACGTTTTTGCTCTTTTATACGGGCTGAGGTAACACGGTTATATGTTAATGGCCTCGAAATAAAACCTGCGGGAAAAAAATCAATATTTTTACGGTAAAATCCTGAAACCCAATGAAAATTTCAATGGACAGTTGAATTCACTGGAGTAGTTTGTGTATTTCCAGATCGAAGGTGAAGCTACAGCAAAATGACAACCAACGGTGAGGTTTGGGTTCAATGGTTTACGTGTTGCTTAACCCAACAAGGCCCAGGAGCAAGGAATAAACGACAGAGGCCCCAGCACAGATTGAGGATAGACCGCAGCATGATTGGTGCCCCGACGAATTTTCAACACACCAGTCACATTGGCAGTGGTGATCTCGACATGTCTAGAGCCCACTTAAACGCCATTCAAACCCAGATGCAGGGAAAGGGCGGCTACGAGGCGTCTTTCGGTGTTAAGGTAATAACATCATCTCCTGTTAGTAGCCCCTCAACTCGTGTCAACATTTGACATTTCGCTTCCGCATCCTCAATGCTTTTTTCAATGTTGTTAATTCAATCCTCATTGGGTTATCAGTGACCCTGAATTCCATCAATTGACAAATGTATATTTCATTTGGCTTGCCTTGGGGTTCAACAAATTCGTCCGCCCCGAGAACTCATTGTTCTCGAATGACAATTGAAGATACTGCCATTCAATCGAGAAGGGGAGTGATGATGATAGTATATATGTAATAAACACTAAACTATCCAATGACCTTCTGAAGGCTGTTCACAGTCCATGTGGCATGTCACACAGTAAACGATGAATACAAATCTCCTGCTCATCAAATCCTCTTTTATACTTGCGTACAGTAACTCGCCGGTTCCTGTACTCTGAAATATAAAATACTCGGGAGTAATATATTATTAATACTTATCCCCTATTACACTACACGATACGAATAAAATGGTTTTGAAAAGAGAAATGAGGGCGCATTGCACTGCGTCAGGGGATTCATTGGAGTGCCAGCGTCATTTCGATTGACCCGTGACATCCTCACAATGTGGTTGTTGGTCACAAACCACCGAGCCACTGTTATACTTGTACCATTCGTCTCGAACGAGGTCACATGAGGTCAATCTCGTCTAATGAACGACCGCTTCATCCGCACCTTCGAGACTAATAAAATTATAGAATCGTCATCTCAAGGTTGCTGGTTTTTTTTTGTTATAAATCGAATTTGTGATATCGTGCGAGTGAATGTTGTTAAAGTTCTTCTTGATGGGTGATAATCATTCTCATTGTAATTCCAAGGGAAACTCGGAGACTGTGCAAATAGCAAAACTATTTGCCATTACAATTCTCAGAGGGAATAGTTATCACTGGTTTACATATTATCAGTGGATTTACACATGAATATAGTGCACTGGTGGTACAGAGCCTTGTTGTTTGGCATGGCGAAGATGCTGGCCTGCTGTTGGATGACTTGTCTCTCCTCTTACATACTACATACTACACTCTCTCGAGCGGGAATGGTTCTGACCGCACGAATCGTTCATCTCGACTCTGGTAAAGTTGTGCTGGCTCGATATTCGTTGTAAATTCTGAGTGGGTTGTACCGTTTGTTGATGGTGGGCCGTGCGCCCCTTGCGGGATTAATTCTCGTGGCTGTTGTTCCTCGGTTCATAAGATGGAATCGCAACGTGTGCCGAGGGTCAGGGTCGGGAACTTTGTCGGCTCTCAGAGATCTTTAATCATTAAAAATGAGTGGAATTATGGGGGTGAGACAATAAAAGTTGGAGATTGAAGGAAAAATTGTGTTTCTTTTTGCAGGCCTGCTGAGACACAGTCGCCCCGAGGGTTCTCGAGACGGACTTGTGAGGCCTTCGGACGATGGTGAATTTACGATGCAACTCTCGTTTTGTAAATACTAATCCACGGAAATTTCATAGGCATGCATGCGAGAAAGAGACTGTCTTCAATATTTAAAAAACAGTTGGTTTTTACAATAAAAATGACGCTGCCATGAGGAAAACGCGTGTGACCATGAGCGTTTTTATAGCCTCACTGAGCCGAAATCATGCTAATTATTAAGCCTTAACGCACAAATATTCATCGGCTCTCTACGATACTCCTCCATTGTGATAATGCGTTTTCACCTCTAATTTATGCTCAAGTGTTGTTAAAAATTGATCACGAGCGACGACATTTTTCTCTTAAACAAGTACATATTTGGCAATTTTCAACAGTCGTTGATAAATTTTCGGCAGAAGATTACTTGGGTCTGCCTGTGAGTACACCCATTATTTATTTAAGCCTGTCTCTCATGTATATTAGTCAGGATATTAAGAATTTATTGATTAAGTGTCTTATTACTTAAGCATGTGTAAAGTTAATATGCCATTGAGGGGAGAAGTTCGAAGAGTTGTATGAAGTTTCAACAATTAATGCATTTTTTCAACACATTGTATAATTCTGTACGATCATGTTACTGAAAATAATTCAACACTGGCTGAATCAGTTATATTTTATGATGGGAACAATGACGATTAAGCGAGTTAGTCGACAGTAACAGTGCAATAGTGAAAAAACTACCGTAACAATTATGTCACTCAGACAATTTAAATAAAAATTTAAAAGACAGTTAAGTAGCTAACGGCAAAGCTAAATTGATTGATGAAATTTGAGTGACAGTTGACCACTTTGATGATATACTCTATACAATAATTTTCCTACGCATTAAGATTTTTCCAATGGGAAAATTCAATACTAGCGGTAAAAAGATGATGAATATAACTTGTATTTGAAATAAAATATGTCCCTATTGACGTTCAATGAGGACAAGTGCATAGGGAGAAAGCACTAATTTCATTAATTTTCAAGTATTTATTTATTTTAAACAATATTATGAAAGAAATTGTTTGAGATTAATTCAATCGCTGCCCCCGCCTGCTGCATCCTCTCCGCCACTCCCCGAGGCACTGTCAGATGTGGCATTGGACTCCTCGTCAGAATCCTTTAATACTTTTCCTTTGAAGTTTTTCTTAGGTCTGGTTGTCTCAAAGTCTGAATCTTCCTCGTCAGATGAATAAATTTTCTCTTTTTCTTTCGAAGGTGCTCCTTTTTTGTATTTACTCTTGATAGCAGCGAGGGAGATAGCCCCCTCGTCATCGGAGCCATCATCATGATAAGTATCAGCCCCATAGTTGCCGGACGCTCTGGTTGAACTTCGTCCACTTCCACTGGATTTCTTGGATTTGCTCTGGGCCCTCATGGCAACTCTCAGTTTTTCCTCTTCCTTCTTTATCATCTCGTAACGATTTTGATCAGGATTCATGCCAACTTGTGACAACACCTTAATACCCGATGTCTTCTGAGATCTGTCCGCCAACGACATGGTCATCTTCCTGTGGGTGAATGACTCAGTCGAATGAGGCCTGAAGGTCAATTTCGTTCTGAAGACCGCCTGCCCCTGAAGTCCAGTGCCTTGTCGAATATAAAGGTGATTGTGGTCCCCCTGAAGTGGTTGCTTATAGACATCAAATATCTCAGATCCCAAGTGAAGGGACATGCTTCCATCCGACCACCTAACAAATCTCGCATTACTCTCCTTTCGCATTTTTCCATCATCCCCAAATACATCCTTCCATCTAATTGTATTCTCTACCTTGAGCTTCAATCTAGCTCGACCCTCCTCGTCCAGTGTCTCCTCCTCATCAATTTCATCTTCATATGTCTCGTGATCGAATGGTCGAGTTTCCACAGACAAGAAATTAGGCAGTTTGACAAAATGAATATCCCTTCCAAGGTCTGTCGTTATTTTAGGAATCTCCACATCGATCCTCGTCTCCGGTGGGGGTTCAGGCTCATCCTCCTTCTCCTTATCCTCATCGCCTACCTGCGTTGGAGCTTCTCCACCACTCTCTGATCGTCCTCTGCTCCGACTTCTACTTCTGGATCTACTCCGGCTTTTACTCCTACTTCTGCTCCGACTCCTGCTCTTGCTCCTGCTTCTACTTCTACTTCTACTCCTGCTTCTACTTTTACTCCTGCTCTTACTCCTACTTCTACTTTTTTGTTTTTCAGGCTCTCCATCTTTTTCTTTTTCATCATCTGTGCTTATGTCACTGGCATCACCAAAGAGAGCATCTGCCGTTGGCTCGGGCCCTTTAATTTTACTCTCATCCTCACCCTCATCAGAATCAGAGTCAATGAGTGGTCTTTGCTTCTTGGGAGTTGTCTTTTCACCATCTGATCCTGAAACACTACCATCTCGCTTCCTCTTAGGCTGTTCAACATCGCTCTCATTGTCACTTGCCTCTTTACTCTTGGGGCTTCCTGACGCTCGTGATCGTGGACTAGTAGCCTTTCCGCTTTTAGGACTAGCTGATGGTGATCTAGATTTAGATCTCGCACTTTCTGGAGTTGCGCTGCGTGAGCGGACCGTTTTGGGAGATCCTGGCGATTCGGAACGTTTGCTCTTGGGAGATGATGGGCTTGCCGATCGTCTGCTCCTTGGAGAACCTGAAGCGTTTGACTTACGACTCTCTGATCTTCTACTCGTGGGTGAGCCTGAGGCATTTGATCTGTGACTGCCTGATCGTCTACTCCTCGGCGAGCCTGGTGTGTTGGATCTGCGACTTGCTGATTTAGATCGAGAGCGATTGGAATGCTGGCTTGCTGGAGATTTGGGGCTCTCAGATCTCGCACTACCTGCTGGAGAGCCAGACCTTCGAGAGCCTGGAGAACCACTTTGAGATCTTGACCCAGGACTGGAGTGTCGGGACCTATGAGTACTCCGGGAAGGGCTGCGACTCACGCGTTGGGATCCCGGTGAGTGTGGCCCATCCTCAGCCTCTGACGCTTCATTTCCAGGATTTCCCGGGGTTGGAACGGGTCCATGAGAGACTGGTGAGCCACTGCGCGAGGAGGCGGATGAGCCGGAGCCGCTCTCCGATTCAGAACCTGATGAATGAATAATCAAGAAAAATTCAATATTTTCTCACAGAATTCTAACCTAAAAACCACTCAATCCACTAGCACTAAAATTTTTTTTACTGGATACAATTTTTATATTAAGATAAATTATCGAATTTTTGACTCACCAGAGTCGCCGGAAGAATCCCGTCGGGTAATTCCATTGATTGGCATTTTTTTTCAATAAGAAAACAGTGAAAATAACATGAAAGCTTTCAATGTGTCGACGAGAGTGGGAGAATGCAGGTATAATGCATGACTTTACCGGCAGAGGGTAGAGAGAGAGAGAGAGTGAGAAAGGGAGGAAGGGAGAAATGGAATAATGCAAGGTGGTGTTTCCATGGAGGCGTTGGATGGTGGTCTGACGGGTTTGGCGGGTTCGGTGGATTTGGCAGAACAAGGGAAAAGTGAGGGGATGGGAAAGGGAGGAAGAAGTGAAGGGGAGGTAGGGGACGGTAGGGATGGAATTGAATTGATGCACTAGCGCTAGCGCAGCGGCAAAGTTACAGCCTCACAGGGTTCGGATGAGAGCTCCCTAAGTCCCTATAGAGAGAGTCACAGAGCAACAGAAACTGAGCAACTGAGAAGGAAGAAGCTCCCAAGCACTCCGAGGCTCGGGTGTTTTAGGCGGGCGACGGGCGAGTTAGTGACACCTGTTGCTGGATAGAAAACATCAGTGGCTATCGGTGGCTATCGGGAGCAAGGAGCATGGCTGGTTCCTCCGAAGTTAAAACGCTTTTGTCACGCCACAAGGCGTCTCTTCTTCGTGAATTGAATACAACGGATTTATTAAGTGTATTAGTTAAACGTTGCGTTATTACTGAAATTGACAAGGACGCCGTTGCTGGTAACGCCGATCGCTCTGCAGTTGCGGACATTGATTTATTTATCGACGTCATTGGAGCTAAGGGCTTCGATGCATTCAGAGAATTTTGTTTTGCTCTTGAAGCTGAGTGTCCCCATGTTCTCACAGATCTACTTGTTGATCAACACAGCATCACCGGTGAGTAATTATCATTTATCATTTATTCATCGGAGTGGCGGATGATTGATGTTTAAATTGTCTATGTTGGATAGAGGAAATTGAGATTTTCATTACTCCGTACTTACTATTTTTAAAGGGAGTTTTTTTTACACTCTTCAAACTATTTGATGTAGAGAAATAGAAGGAACTTGTAGTTGCGGATGTACGGCCGATTAACGTTGAGAAATTCTACAGTGTTTTATTCACACAAGTAACATAAACCCTGAACGCCGTGAATTTCACTCCGGAAGAGGAAATTTTCTTTTAACGGTATTCCATTTTCTTATTAGTTTAGCCCCTAGACATTTCGTGGAGCATTGTTTATTTTGCATCACCAGTCATTGAAAAATGACCATGGAGAAATCTTCCACATGAACCGCTAATGTGGTCTTCCACACAACAGGAATTCAAAAGTTCAAAAGTTCGTAATTATCCATCTTGTTACAGTCTCTTGCAAATAATCATGACTTTTCCTAGAATGAAATGAGAAAAATATAAATTAACAGTAATGAGAGAAATGTGAATTGCCCGAAAGGATACGGTCATCTGAGAAGTGCAGCCCCTGCCTGCTGTGGCTTACGCTCACAAATTAAGACAAACGTCTCGTCTTTATCTCTCTTTTCCTCTGTCCACACAATGTCTCTGAGTATTATATCCCCACTGATTCCCTCATTCCAACACTCCTGTTGAAGCAATGACGTGACAGAATGTCGATTGCTTCTATTCAGTTAGCACATGCTGAGTGATTGCCCCCTTGCTCCCCTCTAAACTCTTCTCCATTTTTATATTTTTCCGGTAAATAATCTTCTGTTGTATTCCTTGCATACCCAAACGTCTTTCGAAATTTCATATAGTATAGAGACAGAGATACGTTCCTGGAGGGGCAGTTTTTCGACTGAACACTCATTGTGAAGCGTGGGAAGTTAAATTCCCACTGGAGGTAGAGACTTCTCTTTTTTACTGCCGCAACTTCTTAATTACCATTCGTTAATTTGGTATTACTTTAGTCTGAAGCTTTTAACATTCCTCAAATCAATTGCTGAGATGGAGGTAAATCTTTCATTCAAATTGGAAGGACGGATAGTTTTAGTAGTCGGACTATTTGTCAGAAAATTCTTCCTCGAATTTTTCCGGATTAATAAAATGATTATTCATTAAGATCTCTGTAGTGAGTTGAGCTGTTTGTTGGAACAGGAGACGAATGAAACTTGTAATATCAGGCGTTCCCAATGCTAGACCAGTTTTCACGTATCACATTTTACGGGTTACTCGGGTTCGTCCTACCTTGTGTTTTTGTATCAGTCGACCTGGATAATCTGCGTGGTAACATGGCGCTCTATTGCGAAAAAAAAAAGTGGGAAACGAGTTTTAATAGTTTTTAATGTTGCCTTAGCAGTAGTAATAGTAGACACTTATTGTGGTTAAGTTTTTCCCACCCAATTCTTCATTTATTTGTGTTAAACTCCGGTAAAAATGGAGCCGTTCCTGGCACTACTGGCTAGTGACGGATATGGTGATCTTGGACTGCTACCGAAGATGGCTCGTCCCTCGTGTCTGCTTATACCAAATAATCCAGGGCACAAGAAGATACTTGTGATGAATACTATGAAAAATAGTAGCAAAAAAATAGCAATAACGAGAAGATAGATAATGGCTAAAGACATTTTTTCAAAGAAAACGTTCAACTATTTTCGGTTACGTTATGTCGTCACTAAAAATCAGCTATCTTCATTCACCTGACGATACAAATGATTATTGAAGCATATTCCATACATACATATATATATATATATGTATATATACCTTTGATTCTTGAACACTATAGCAGGAATTGTAAAAATTCCCGCATGTCACGACATAAAATTAAAATTAAAATTAAAATTGAAAATGAAAATGAAAATGAAAATGAAAATGAAAATGAAACTCTATCGATGAAATGTCAATTATTAGATAAAAAATGTGGGATACCGAATAATCGACGTATGTTATCGACAGGGGAGCCTCAGCAGCAGAACTGTGAAAACGAGGATGCAAAACGTGAGCAGAAGCTGAAGGCGCAGGAGGCTGAGGACGAGGAGGATATTAAAATTGTTAATCCCATGGAAAGGCCAAGTTTGAGGGAAGCCGATGAACCTCTGAGCGTTGACATCAATAACGCCAGTAGGGAGCCCGATGACTCTATCAAAGAGTGGTGAGTACACCTCATTGCGACAATACCTTGATAACCTAGACTTATTGAAGATCCAAGAAAAATCCCATAACTCATTATAAATACGATAAGATTTGAATTAACGCGTGTGACCAGGTGCGCACCAGTTCTAGTTGTTAGCGATGCACGTCCTATATAAAGATTCAAGTGCATCAGGTACCTTGAGTCAGTCATGAACCGGAAACACAGGAAGCTGGCCTGCCTTCAGGCAGCGTTCCATGTCCCAGCCTTCAGTTCGAAAACTCGTTTGAAATCACCCGATCAACCCTCATTTATAGAGATTGAGAAAAGGAAAACGATCATTCTACTTCTATTGAGCATCAATTCCTCCTTTCATTATTTTTCCCTTTGTTCATTTTCGTGTCTATCTGAAAGCTTATCTGATCATTGAGAGGTTTCGTGGATTTAGTGAATATATCAGTGAGAAACGAGAGCGCACAATTGCAGTAATGATTAGAAAACGAGGCAGAGGCGTGAGGCACGTTAAACCTCCAGGGGGGACGTGAATAGTTAATCATTTCCGGGATTCCGGATTTCTTCGTGATTTTCACAAATCATTAGACAACAGTGGTTTCTTTTCATTCTAAAGGATTTAAATGATTGTTTTAACATTGGGTTTTTATGATCGCGTGATAAAATGCCTCGCGGTTGATGCGTTATTCCACCCCTTTTCCGTTCTCACGTTGTATAATGCTACATTTTAAATCGTCGCCCTGAAATTCTCTAACTAGAGGTTCCCTTCCATGACTAAGACCTTCTCCATCGTTTTCTATACTTCCTTTGAGAAATGAGTAGGGAAATTAGCATTGAGGGAAGCCTGTGGAAAGCTAGGATCGCAAGAAACCCTTTGTCGTGAACACACATGTTCAGCGTCATTTAGGTGAGTTCGTGCAAAACCCCATCTGTTACCCATCTCTGCTATAGTAATCTTCCAATTAAACACTCTAATTAGAATAGATTTATTCGATTTGCCAGAATTGTCCCATCGAGGATACTCCGAGCCAATTTTTCATCAAATTCCCACAAATTGTAATGCCACTTGATCACTTACTTGGAAGTTTCAAATATTTTATCATTACATTAGCTCTTTACCTAAATAATTGAAAAAAAACCTCGGATATCAAGTTTTAATGATACACTCAAATGCTTCACTTTTATGGAATTGTGAAAGTTTTGTGTCGAGAAGGTATACGTCTAGTTCTCAGGAAGAAAGTTGGGATGTATCGTGAACCTCTTAACGGGTCATTAGAAAAAATAATTTTTTTCGTTATCACGGGAGAAGCTTGCTCAAGGAGTTTTACCCTTGACGTATGAAGGGCGCACATGTATTTGCACTTGATTTTAGAATATTCCGAGATAGCATGGATTGACATTAACAATTTTATTTTTTTTGTGGAATTTTTGGGTTTCACAACACTCAATGGGAAGTGTTAAAGTGGAATTTTTAGTCTACAATAAAATTGAAAATTTCTATTAGGAAATAACGAGGAAATAGGGCCATTGCTCTGTCCCTTAACGATGTATTCATTTATCAACTCCAATCTCTGGATGACACTTGACTGCTCAGTCGAGTATGTTAGGGCAACGATCATCATCTGTTATCTCAAATGACACCTAATTTCCTATTTATCTCTTTATCATATTCTCAAGAGTCCCCCAATTGTTTATCCTTGATAGTTGACCAACAAGAATATTCCACTCCATCATCAATCACTTGACTGTGAAGAGTGAACAATTTTTTAAAAATTCACACCCAGGCTTACGCTGATAAATCTGGATGTCGTGTTTTTTTCGCTGCCCTGTAAAATTTGAGAACAGGTGAGCTATCTCCATCACTACGAACTCGATGTGAAGTTGAGAGAGATGTCTAATGCGTCGACGTAGTTTCCCTCTGAGCTGCAGTGTGCGGTTTGGATGGGCGTCGCGACGCCTGTTTGCTCGTTATTTTGAGAAGCCGAGGAGTCGCATGCGAGTCACAACCGGGAGTGGGTCGATTGCTGGAGAAAACAACTCCAATCGAAATTTATCGCCTCGGTATTAATGACAATCAATGAAAAAAAAAAAATCGATAATTATTAAAAATTCCCACATACCTCAGTCTCTTAATAATAATTAAATAAATAGTTATCGCTCGTGTAAATTGAGGATGAAATTATTCCATTATACCATTCTAATGCTATTTATAAAGAAACTCAAAGGGGTCACGAATTCCATGGATTGTTGTGCGCGGAAGTGATCAAATTTCATAATTGAAATAATCGCATACAAATGATAGAGTGATTATTCTCGTGGATCATTGTTAACAATGTACACAACACCTCGGAGATATTATCATGATGGGACCGGAAATTACAATACTCTTCCAATTCCCGCACAATTCGGCTACTTTGTTCCGATAAATGGGATTTACTGTATCGGAGGTCCACCACACCGACACCGTCCACGCGGTGCTTCCTCATCCCCGACATCATCCCGCCAGACATCCTGGTGAGTCCAACACAAAACAATAGCCCTTGAAAACATTGTATCATTTATTCATTTATATTAATAATGGATAATTATCGATATGGCACAATAAATCATAATGTGTACATAGAAATTTAATGGATAACTGACAAGTTTAATAAAAACTATAATGGATCATAGATCAGTCTGTAAAATCACAATTGCCCATAATGGCCATATGGCAAGAATCATGAAGTCGTCTCGACATTGGGGACATTTTTAATGGAAGCCCTCTTAATAGACAATTTCGTCTGAATTTCCTGGAGAGTTTTTCCCTTGGTCTCAGGCACAAATATAAAGGAAAATACAGCTGATGCGCCGGCCATGGATGAAAAAAACCAGAATGTCTTAGCTTGTCCGATGAGACAAATCATAGGTGGATAAAATTTAGTGACAACGAATACAAGAGTCCAATTGACAATAATGGACATACTAATGGCGACTCCCTTGGTCTCTGGAGGGAAGAGTTCACTGATGACAGCAAAGGGCACGGATCCAAACCCAACGCTAAAGACAACATTGAAGAGGGCAAGACTGGTCAATGGCAGCCATGCAATTGATCGCACATCGAACCCATCGGTTTGAAGTTTAAAGTAGTATCCAAGTACTCCGAGACACAGAGTCATGGCAGTTCCAGAAAGAACGAGCAGTGGCTTCCTCCCGAATTTGTCAATGGTAATAGCCACAACTGCTGCCATAACAACTTCAATTAGCCCGATAACTATGGTAGCTAAAAATGGATCAATGGAACTCTGAGCTTCCTGGAAGATTTTTACAGTATAGAAGAGAACGGCGTCTATGCCACACATCTGTTGGAACCACATGAGCCCAAGGCATGTTCCAATGGCCTTTCTACCAGCACGTGTACCAATTAAATCCCTAAAACCCCCACGACTTCTCATGACCCGATCAGCCTCCTCCTGTAGCATAGTTATCTCCCATTTGGGCTCGTAGCCTCTTCCTCTGAGTACAGCCAGTGATTCTTCCGCCTCTTTGATGCGATTATTTTGGACGAGCCAGATGGGTGACTCGGGAAGAAAATAAAAAGAGAGAAAAAAAGGCAGAAGCATACCACAGCAGGCAATATTGAGGGTAACGTAGTTGGTGTAGGCACCAACGATGTATATAAAAACAACACCTGAGGAAAATAACAGCGCAAAGCATGATCCTAGGGCACCACGAATCGAGGGTTCAGCGACCTCGCCGATGTAGAGGGGTACTAGAACACATACTGCTCCAGATCCAATTCCTCCAATAAATCTAGCTGCATACAAAGTGTTTAGACTACTCAGCAATATGATCATTAGCCAAGACAAGAGGAGTGGAAGAGTTGTTAAAATTAATGCTGATTTTCTTCCGATTGCATCGGCTATCATTCCCGTTGGTAATGCACCGACAACAGCACCCAGGGGCATCAAAGAACTGACCCACGATACTTGAGTACCATCGAGACCACCGAGAAACGAAGTATTCAGCTCCAAATAAGGTGTCGTTGGTGATGTCCAACTCAATGTCATTCCACTCTGCATTGCCATCAGCCCGACTGCAAACACAAAAGCAATATAAAATCTTTTATCGATCTATATCTCTCTGAGAGGCAATCGCTATTTGGTACATATTCAGGTTACTACACAAAATCATCGTTAATCAATGGAGTATATTTTTTTTCACAGAGGAGAAGAGGCTTAATCGATTAATCCACTGGCAGTGCATTGAATCGAATACTTATCGCTTTCAGTGACCCTGAGTATCATTTTTTCTCTTCTTCTCATTCTCCTTTTCCTTGACTTTTTGACATAACTCAATTCTCATCCTCCTAATTATCGCAATCTCAACCAGTATATTTTCAGGTTGTAACTATACAACAACGATAAAATAGATAGTAGGGGTGGAAACGAGTTTAGCAATGCTTATGGCTTACCTATTAGAGTAGAGAGACATTGGAAAATTTTTTGCCCCTCCTTGAGCCGTACCGCTGGTTTCGTCAGCATTGGCTCAAGAAGCCCATTTTTTTCTTTACTCGCTTCCTTCATATCTTTTTCCACTGTTTGCATTTCCATAGCGCCTCCAATATCTCCACGCGTCGTATCCTGTCACTCACCCAATTATACACTGAACAAAAAGATGTCAAAACACTGGGAAACCGCTAAAATTCCCTCACCACTTCTTTGTCGTCTTTATGATTCTGTTATCTCGGCAGATTTATGTCTGATGAACGATCTGGCTCGTGAACGTCTGAATTGGCATTTTTCCCTTTGAAATACACCGGTAAGGAACATTTCTCGCACTTTAACAAAGCATTCACCCAGTGTAGACACTACTGATTTCGTTATTTTTCCACTAATGACCTATTGAGGATCGATCGAGGGGACAATCACCCCAGGCAATTTGTAATATGTCTCCTTGTCTTGTAATGACTTTATACGACGGCCCCCTCAACGTTGATCTTCGCACATCATCATCCAGACTGTCTGACGACAATGATGATCGTGTCCCGGGCTAACAGCCAGTACTCCTTCTCTTGACTACTACTATCGGGGGGGGACCCACTTCAATAATGCCGATTAGCCCTCCAATCGCGTTTGATAATGTATTTCGTCGTGAGACACGTGTATATACCACTTCTCATACCATTATCAAAAAATTTCCAACAATCTCTTCGCTACAGTCAATCCAACATTTTCTTCGCTACATCAAGATACCCACTATCTCCACTCGACTTTTGTAGTTTACTATTAATTCATACCAATATTTACTTCCATCCCCTCAAAATCTAAATGCACTCCAAATTTTATACTCCATTGTATTATTTTATCTGACAGTTGACGTCTTGATCCGGTCGTTTTAGAATTAAGACGAGTGACACGCGTTTTCAATTAAGAGTATGACCCTCAAGTGATAATCCCTCGTCTCATTTTTCATGAGATAATTGCGAATTAGAACACGTAATTCTCTAATTCACTATCAACTGGATTCATTCATTTTATTTGTGTCAATGTTATGGATGATTGTTAATTTTGTCACAAGAGGTGTTGACTCATAATTCAACTTATTCCTCTGACTTATCTATTTCCTTCAAAGTTCGTTTTTACGACTTCATCATATCTAAATACGACGATGGAAGAATGCACGAGATATTCGAGATATCATTGTTTGACTGCTGTACGAGCCACCATTGATTATCACTGAATCGTGTTTGCAGATTTCACTGAATTATCTGATAACATTTTTTTCTGATAAATCGTGAGGCAACTCTGCACTGAGAAAAAAATTGCGTAAATAGAATTTTTTTTTTTGAAACTAACAAATGAAATTAATGAATGATCACAAACACATACGTGATTTGCAAGTGTTAAATATTGAATTCAATGAACTTCTTTCAAGCAACTTGTTGAAATTTTGGAGTTCAATTGTAACTTTACTTCTTTGCAAGGATTTACATTTGAAATTAGTATTTGTTAGAATGCGCTTGAGAATGCGTTTAATTTAGAAATATATTTGTCAATCTATTACTTATTACTATTTTTTTACATTAAGATTCGGAAAATATTTTTTTAATTCTCAATAGTTACAAAAAATTGATATTTTTGTTTCGATTTAATATAAAAAACTGTGTCGTTAAGAGAATATTCATTTGTTTTTACTACACATTTGTAGATCAAATCGTTTCTTACTTTAAAACAAATGTTTATTGTTTTCAATTTGATTTAATCGAAAAAAATAATTTTTTTCCAGTCCGGAGGGAATTGAGCCGCATCGCTGGAGCGGTTATCCGGATAGTCAACGCAATGGTTCAATATCTCCAGATTCATCGGAAACTCCACCACCCCCGCTCGACAATTACCATCGACAGGGAAATGCCCTTCCAAACGGCATAATACCGACGTCACAACCAATTCTCGAAGTATTGGATGAACCGGTCGATGAACCCGTAAGTACAAACACGTTTAAATAATCCTCAAAAGAATATATTTTTCTGCACTCTGGCCAGAAAGTCGCAACTTCCCAGCTGCTGAGTAGCCAAAAAATCGCGAATTTCTGGTTCCTCGAGCAGAAAAATTGTACGCGCACCTAAGACATTTCTATTTTTCCTGGCCTCGGCATGTAATATACGATTAATAATAAAAACTAGGTCCCAGACGTGTGCGATTACGCACGTTCATGGAGAATAAACGCTTGAGTACTAATAATCGTATCATAATACGATTTAATTGAAGAGTTACGATATTTTTCCGCCATTTCAATTCTTAAAAAGGCGGTCCATATAATGGCGGAAAACCTCGAGTAACTTTTTGATTCTTCGGTTATCCTATTATAAAACTTCCATCTGAATGAAAATTGTTCATGGAAATATTCAACACTTCTCAACACCGAATATTTATCAATAGAACAATGATATAAAAAAAAACAATGCCGGGTATTTCTCGATTTTTTTAACGAGAATCATTTGAATGATGATATACGTCATTTGACTGCTGCTAAGGCAGATCACCTGACGCATGCTGGTAGAAAAGCTCGATCGGTACTGGTGGATTGTCGTGTTATCGATATATAATTTTGAATCTCCTCTTTGATAACGATGTGATTCAGTGTATGCGCTATAGATAATATTTCCCCTGAAATTTCCATCACGTTGGAATTCAGGATGCCGCTAATCTATCAATAGATTGACATACTTCCATTAAAAATATTAGAGTAGAAAATCAATCTCCGGGTAGCACCTGTTGTGATACAAAGGAATTGGTGACTTGTTTACGTATGGAAATTGAGTCTAAGCTTTGTGCGCTGATCTCTAAGGCTTCTAATCCATTTTAAGCTGCATATCTGTTTGCCACTCCGACAGCAATGACAACTAGCCTCTGTCGACGATGGAATGAATAAGTGTGTCATATGATTTAAAAAATTTTTTCTCAAAATGATTGGAGTGAAGGCACAACTCATGATTGTCATGAGATGCAGACTAACAATCCGGTAAAATTCAATAACCCGATAAGAGAGCAGGAACCGCCCCCTTGGAGGGCAGCAAGCACTTGCTTGATGTTAGTGTGCGCCTGATTGTGATATACCCCAGTGGCCCCATGTGGCCATAGGCCGTTACAGAGTTGTATTACCTTAGTGCTTTGATGAGCACCGTTGAAAGAGGACGCGTGCACATTTTCCAGCCGCGTGCACAACACAACATCCTCACCCACAATCAATCGCTCTTTACATCGGCTCAATCATTCTCTGAGTTATGAACATATTCAGCAAGTTCTTTCGCGGTCGAAAGAAAGGGGTTACATCCGCTAAATTACGCGCCAGTTCCACGAGACATAGAACAACATCAAGAACGTACATCGGACCACCTCATCTACCTAGGGATGATTTCTTATTCGGGGATGCTGCTAGCACCAGTACACGGCGACATCGACGCAAACATAGGGTAGGAAATCTTTCCTAAGCATGTTATTTGCTGTTTTTTATTTCGAGAAGTAGGCGAGTTGAAAAGTCTTCTTACATTCTCAAATATTAGCTAAACAAAAAATGGAATTTTATTCAAAATTTGGTTTGAATTCAATTGATAATAAGGTTCAATATTCGATCATGATTGAGTAGTGTCCGCCCAGTTTTATCACTAAGATTAAATTTTACGTCAGCGTACGCCCTGAAATGGGATAAAAAAAAGCATTTAAGCCGCACACTAGTAATAAATCCAAAGGGTTTCGTGCAAACAACATAACAATTGCGCTTTCCCATGAGCACACAATACTTTCCGGATGCCCCACCTTTCCCACGAGCGGAGGGTGCACAACCAACTGCATAACACACATTGTCCTTAGTCGTTCAACTACTCTTGACCTTGACACCAAGTCTCTTCACTTGAGGTGTGCGCACTCATCAGAAAAATCCCTTCTCCTTCCGGATCCCGGAGAGTCTCAATTGTCATTAACTCAGCTCGCAAAATTCAATCCCAGGGGCTTATTAATTACATAGATATTTGCTCTTCCGCAATAAACTGGAGGGAGAGATTACCTGTTCTTAAGTATGTGTGTAATGTTAACGACGCACGTTCGTTCTGTTGAACTGGATTAAAATTCACATTCTCAGCATATTAATCATGTCTGATAATTGGATAAATTTCATTTTTCTATCTCCCAACTCTTGGTCGATCAACAATGACGAGTTTGGGTGGACATCATATTAAAAGAGGCTGGAAAAAAATGTGACATTGACTCGAATGATGATTGATATTACACGTCCCTCTGGGACATCCCCTTCTTGGCTGCATATGCAACCACGTATGAGGAGTAAGAAGAAATGATAAAAATCATAATCATAATAACAAAAAAGTGGAGAAAAAAAAAAGGAAACCGGGAAGAGAGAATGTGAAGAGGGCACCGACCGGTAAGGACTAAACCACGCCCTCGCATTCACCTTTTGCCTGAAACTGGACCTGCGCTACCTGTTGGTTTTCTCCACAATTCCAAAACTACCTGAGTTACGCGCATTTTAAACGCCCGGATATGTTTTTAATGCTCTTCCCGCAACAGGTACTCGTGCAGCCGAGGCATCCTCCTTTTAATTAAATCTACTCGTTTTGTTCCATCCCCTTGGTTTTGAAAAGTGTAGAAATAAAAGATTGAATGAGGATTGGGTGGAATGATGTCGAGTCAAGTCCTAATGGAAAAATGTGGAGACGAGATGGAGTGGAGAAGGAGGAAGAAAAGAAAGTTAAAAAAGGTGTATCAAAGCTGTTCTAGGTGTGTCATGCCCACCTTGCGAACTCAACAACAGGTATAGTATTGAGGTATTGGTGTGTGTCCCGATCGTCCCGGTCGTCCCGGTCCCCTCAGTCCCGCTTGGGGACTTGGGACCTCGTTGGAAGGACCTCTGGCCACAGACTTGCCAACTATAGATTGGGCCGTGGTGTGTAGTATAGTATTTATATTTATGCCCAGGCAAAGAACCGGTGTGTCGGCACTGGGCACTCACCAGGGCTCAGCCTCCACACTCCCAACTCTCCTTCAATATTTCTCTCTGCCTCGCCTCTCAGCCTTTCTCGTCTCTCCCTTCAGTCGTGCGCGTTCCTCCATCGCCGATCGCCGCTTGCCCAGGACCTCCGAAGGACACCTATAAAACACATTAAATAATAAATCCTTACACAGTGTACTTCTCATCGATCCACTCAAAAATTGGATTGCAACTTATTGCCACTCATTTTCTGGCAATGGATCACAGTAGCTGGCATTAGAAGACATTAAAATACGAGAGAAGCCTCGAATTGCACAGAAAACATTCTAAAATCTCCTCCGAGGCACAGTGGAAACAAAAAAAAAAGAAAAACAAAAAAGCGGTGGATAGAAGCAGGTGGACTTGTGACTTCTCTCTTCTTCGTCGTTTCGTCTTTTTCTTCATATGGATCCAGTGAATCCTCAAGGAGGCTTTGTACAGTCCGAGCCACGTGCTCAAACGTGTGCCATCTCCAGCGGCTTGGAGTTGAAAAACCTTCATGTGGAAATTGACATCTAATAGCTCAACTGAGAGAACAAGTTCTGCACCTGATGTGCGTAAAGTTGATGCAACAGTGGTGGCGTGGGTAGAATTCCATTCACTAAGGATTATTATATTCTATCAATTAACTTGTGTATAGTTATTTTGGAGTATTATCGATGGATTACGACAGGGAGTGTCGTGAAATGTTGAGGGAGTAGATTAAAGCTTGGAAATAAAGCCAGATTGCATAAGTGAGAATGGATAGGAATGAAACAATCACTGGAGTGGGTGGTGGTAACTCTGGATCACCATTGGGACAGCAGCAGTCACCCCAGGGATCTACTCCCCCCCATAATCCTGTTGGAAACCTCGACAATCAGGTAAATGCATGAATGACAGAATGGAATTCAAGAATATAAGAATAAGAGAGTAAAAGAGAAAAATGGATTCTTAAAAATCGAGAAGAATTCCCTCGAAGAATTAGACACGACTTGTAACAGTAGATTGTCTTAAGGATCTGTAGGTTGAATGTGCGACTCGATAAGGCAAGCTGCATTCCACGCGCGCGTCCGATAAATAATCTGCGAGGAAAGTTGGTGGTACGTGCATGAGTACCAGGGCCTTCCAAGACTTTCGAGAGATTTAAACAGTCATGGGTATGGGTAAAGCGTATTCCGGTCCCACTTATAGGCCAAACAGGACGTTGTCCATTGGTGACTTTCCACCGATATTATGCGAATCCCTGGAAACGTAATCACCTGAGTTTCACCTCAATTTACCATTAACTTTTCATATTTTACTTTTTATTTCTTGTCATCGAAATAAAAATAAAAACATCATTCCCAAGCATTCCAGCATATCCGAGATCGATTCATTTTAACGGGAAAAACCTTTCGCTTTTTAACTCGATGGCGTTTCAAATTGCCATGTGACATACACAACAATTCTGTTGAATCAGCTCTGCCAGCTGGAATAGAGAATGTGAGCTAACTGCGGCTATCATCGTGACAATTGTGCATTGTATACATTCACAAGTAGATATGTGGTGAGATTTTGCAAGTCTGAGAATTGTAAAATACGCTGAAGTGCTCCATGCGTAGGTACATTACGGGTCAATAGTTTCCATCCGCATTTGTAATCCTCAAGTGATGAGACGAGCGTGCATCATTTGAGTGTCATATTTCTCTGCTTGGAGAGAACAGGTTTCTAGGCATTTTGGGCCATTGTATTTTTTTTTTCTGTACGATTGAAAGATTTTATCCCTCCTCCGGTGACCTTGAGGACGAAACCTCTTTCCTTGCAGGCCAGAACCGCCTCTACCTGTCCTAATCCTGTCTCATTCCGGCGGTTGGGCTTGTTATGAGTCACCATATGAAAATTTATTACGGTTATTTCTACACTCGCTTTGGGACTGAGCAAGCGATAGATTTTTTTAAATAAATACAATATGTGGAAGAGGAGGAAAAATTTATCCGATAGGACAAAGATTATTGGAAGAATTGATCTAGTTATTCAATTTGAACAGAACTTGCCAGTTAATTCCAATCATCGCATGCACATGTAATTGGAATCTTTTTTCTTAACAATGGAAGCAATAATAGGATCATTATCTTGATTGGTAGATCCCCCTTTTATCAAGTCTCCGTAACCGCCGGTAAAACAGAGAATAGATCATTGAGTTGAAGCAGTTGAGGCGACGTTCTCCGGCATTGTTATACACTCGACACTCCTTTCACTGAATCCACTGAATCAAGAGCAAAATACAACTTGCTGATTTATCCAGTAAAAAATCAATCATATAAACTGGTATTAGTCACTGAAATGAAAGTATGCACATTCACATTTATGAAACAACTGTTACTTATTTAGTGACTCATTAAACTGACGGATTAGCAGTCACAAGTTAATATACCTCTGACTGAAGCATGACCCTTGGAATCAACAGGGTCTCACGGCGTACCGTGAGCTTCAGCAATTTTTCCTCTTTCACCAAATATGTTTTCTCCTGCGTTTTTGTAATCCTCCGCGCTCGCCATGGGAAACCAACTCAACGACAAAGACATTCCATGGACATTACTCACTTTTATCGCCAGATGAATTTCATTTCTATTTATGATTTTTTTCCTCCTTCAGGGATCATCGACATGTAGTTTTATGATGCAACCGTACATTCACATTTTAAATCAGCAATGCTGCATTAAACCAAACACGTAATTATGGATACGGCAGGTTCTCAACTCGGCCCCAAATATTGCTCATCATAAATCATATCAATAGTTTGCAACATTTGAATTACTCATTGCGACAATTTGGCGGAATTGCTGCAATGGAATAATTTATTCTGAATATTAAAGTGAAAAATCCTGATATTACTCAGCATATCAGAAAAAAAATGTAACAGTCGAATAATTTTTCAAATTAGTTCTGATAAATTAGTTATCTCTCGATTTTTTTGACTCGTCAATTGCTAAGACTGTAATCAATATATAATGGTACAGTCAAATGTAATTGAAGTGTGTATGTGCCATTGACAGAAGAAATATGAGTCTAGCGTTCCTCAACTACATTGGCTCAACCAATTGACACAATTGTTTTCATTTACCTCATTGTCATAGAGTCAGTCTTTTGTAATACTCATCTGGCCTCAGTATTCCTCAAGAAATCCCCAGCCCACATGTTTCCGCACGTTTCTCCTCTTTTTTTAATTTGTTCTCGAGGTGGAGTAAGGGGTGTCTGGACTTTTGATGGCACCCTCGAGCCGCACCGGAAGTGAGTTATGATTTCTAAAAGCCGACCCTGTCTGCTCCTCTATCCAGATGGGCACAGCAATATTCACAACCATGAATTTCTCGGAGTTAAATTTATAATGTTTTTCTAGTGCACAAAATAAAAATACAATACGCGTTATTTATTGAGGTGAGGTTTGAAATGCATACTTCCGTCAGATAGATTTGTGTTGGGTACGAGACAGTTGTATTGCCCCGGTCTCTCCGGTCTCTCCAGTCTCTCCAGTCTCTCCTGAAGAAATGCATGGCCTCGAATGGCCTCCAGTTAGCCTGTTAGCCAGTCGGTCACGAGCCACTCTTCTGTGCGCACATAACACTCTTCTTTTTCCTACACCAAACACCCAATAATTTCAACCAAAACAACATGTGTTATTTTACCCTCATCATAAACATTCATTAATTCATTAACAAGGGGTTATTGATAATGAATATAAAGTTCATATTGATTAATCAACGCTCTCAACCCGTTTCATTCCAGTCGGTCCAATTATTAATCGTAATAATTAGTTCTCTTGTGTTTATCATCGACAGTGGAAGAAATAATCGCTAATGTAACAAGATTGTCGCTTGAAAATTCCTCAAATTCCAAAGGCTTCCGGCGAAGAGCCAATTAATTCTGTATGCAAGTAGCGACAGTGATCATCCGGTCGAGTGTTAAAGTGCTACGAGTACAAAATTCAACGTTTCCAATGTAACTTGCAAGTTTAAATCTCTCAATGATCTACTATCGACCTCCATCCATTTCGCCCGAGCTGAATAATGAACTCCTCTGTTGGAAAATCATTCACCCTCTCCAGATAATTAAAATATAAAGAACTATTGTAGTCAGTGTTGAATGGACTTCCACAAAGTGCATTAACATCTCGAGTATGCGAATTGATAACAACGAGGCACAGAAAGCTAATTCGGTAAGAGATTTGGAATATTACATCTTTCAATTGATATATCTGTGTGATACACAAGAGAAAGGATAACACCTGTGTGTACTAACGCTGCTAGTCTCCTTTCAATTTTTTGAATATTCACAAGTTCTGGTTTATTCGGATTATGAGGCTTTTTATTATGAAAACTGGAGGTTTGTGGAGCATGGGAACGGTATAATCCTGTCGATCTAAATGATCATTAGACAGAACAATTATCGCATGAAGAATCGCGATAACTTTTTGAGCTTCAGGTGAAAGCCTACGGAGAAGATACACTCGTCTAGTGGCTAGTCGAACTCATTAGTACAGACTCTAAGTCTTCAATTTAACCATTTCAATTTGATCCGAGTATCTGGAGAAAGTTCCTGTACCTAGAGACACTTGTGGATAATTAATTAGTCATAATATTCAGCATGATGGTAGAATGGGAAGCGCTGAGTAGTAAAAAATTCCCATTGAGACTTGCACAGACTTGTACTCTGGCCCTCTGAACAGTTTTAGTGTCTCCAGCTGAATTCTTCGGAAAGTCAGAGCATTAGTGGAGATAAAGAGATAATGTAAGGGTGGAGTGAGGAAAATGTTAGTTAAAGCCTGGGAGAGAATAAATCTCGGTTGCCTTGCCACGTCCTTGCCGATTGATTGCATCATCAACCGAATCGCCGTCTCTCTCAACTCGTCAGTACGGAGATGAAGAGGAAAGTAAAGTCCTCGTTGGGGATACAAATCGCCATAAAAAATGAAGTATAAAAAGAGTGTACTCGTAGAACATGGTAGTACCTTTGGATTTTTTCAAGTTTTATAAACCCCGACTTGTATAATACTTGTCCCGGAATTATACTGGCTGGAATTATGTGACGTGAATTTAGATGACCGAGTAGAAAACGTGCAAGAATATTTTTTCTTACCGTTCAAGTAAAATACCTATGGAGACACATTTTATTACCAATGAGAAAACACCAGACTACCACGTGGGTGTACTTCAGAGTCTAAGGGAATATATTTATATTTGTCACCAACAACCTATTCATTGGGTCGAAGTTTACTCCATTACAACTTGAAAAAAGAAAAAAAAGGCCCATTCGGCATTAATATATAAATACTTGGCTGAAGGCCCTCGGGCCATGGCCACTTGCAAGTTCTTAATAGAACTTGCAACGAATCTCGTTAAAAAAAAAAATATATGCCCATTGAAGACGCTGTATGACCTCTCGTCCCTAACGATCCGGAAAACCTCACCAGAAAGAGTATAATGAAATAAATAAACAAGAAAATATGTAACTTGACACGATGAACTCATGGCACACCCAGTTTGCGCCCGTCATGGATTTGCTTTTTCGTATTAGCATATAAACATCTTATCAAACAATCGCAGTACCGGAATGATTCTCCCTCTTGAATCAGAGTCACACGAGCCAACCGAAAATACATTGTGAATTTCCTCAAGTACCTCAGCAAAACCGGATTCACTAGGTTGAATATAATACTTTTCGTTACTACTTTTTTTCCTTGGCGGTTTTTAATATCACGGAGTATGGATTTACACCTAGAGCCGTTATAAAGTGACTTATTTAGTTACGCCTTGCCAGTAATTAACTGTTCGTGACTCGTCATTCCTATTAATAAGATCAGTATAGTGAAACAGGTGAAAATACGTCAAGCTTTTGCAAATACACGTTTGACTACCATAATGCTGAGTGGCAATGGACTGGGATGTGGATATATATCTATGATATTTTAGTACCTACAAAAAAACATTCCTCATAAAGAAGTACATCGTTGTTTGCCCGCAACAAAATGTTTTACTCAACACCACGGTATTATTCCTGGAAAGGATTATGGAATTTCTCTTCAGTCGTTGTATGAAGGTAGATTTCTAAAGTTATGGCTAGTAATTGAGACGAGCTCATTTGATTTAAAAGCTTAATGCATTGGGTTTTTTTTTCGGAGATCAACGAATGTCTTTATCTCTGGAAACCAGTGATATCAGTGGAATTTTTACACACCACTCTTTTATATTAATTCCATCCTCCGTCAACGGGCGAAAGTATGACGTCAACCGGTTAATATATGGATTGATCAATTAGTGGAGGCAGGCGCCTATCATAAAATATTCGGAATGCTGAATACTTCATTCCAGGACACACGGTGTTTCCCAATAATGCGGTACTGTCACGTTGTGCGTCGTTTTCATCGGCCCACGTTCCAACAAGTAGTGTGGGCACACGATATAAACAAGAAACTTGCCATAATTATCGAGTCATTAAGTCTTTTCAAGAGAATATTTAATCCAGGTATACAGACATCTCTGCGTTATCCTGTTGCAACACAATTTAAAAGGTTTTTCAGGTTTAGGCTTGCGGGGAGAACAATGTGAATGAAATATTGTTATCTTGAGAGTTTCTTATCTTGTGTGATGTACGGCATATTTGAACTGTGGATGAGAGCCTTATCTACAAAATATCTCATGCTTAGCAGTAAAGAATAAATTTGAAGGAAAGAGAAACGGAGAAAAGAAAAATTTGAAAAATAGGGAGGGCGCTTTTTGAATTTTTTTCGGTTCAGTTCGAGTAATTGATGGGTTAAATTGCAGGTTGGTGACCGAGGATGGGAGGTGCACCATGTAACAGTAACCCGAGTACCAGGTTATGGTTTCGGGATAGCAGTGTCTGGGGGTCGAGACAATCCTCACTTTACTAATGGTGATCCAGCAATAGCCATATCAGACGTACTCAAAGCCGGTCCTGCTGAGGGAAAGCTCCAGGTGAATGATAGAATTATTTCTGCCAATGGTTTATCCTTGGAGGGTGCTGATTACGGAGCAGCTGTACGAGTTCTCAGGGATTCCGGATCCACAGTTCTTTTGGTGGTGAAACGAAGAGCGATTGGAACAGCTCCAGGCTCCCCGGCGAGTACTCCACAAAGTCATCGCTTAACATTAACAAGAAATAACAAAAAGGATGACTTTGGTATCGTTCTGGGATGTCGTCTATACGTTCGTGAAGTGACGCGCGAGGCAACTGGAGCTAAACCTGGAGATATCGTTACTAGAATTGGTGGAGTAGCTGCTGATAATATGAATCTCAAGGAGGCCAGGAAGATGATGGACCAGTGTAAGGAGAGATTATCAATAGTTGTTACCAGAGACGCTCCGAACAGCAATTCATATCCATCCGGCAAGGTTGAGGGTGGTGAGTATCTGTCAGGGGCGAGCTACAGCAGTCAGAATCTTTACGTTCCACCACCGACTCGCCAGCCCATCGAGGATAAGAGCAATCTAGCACCCAGGGGACGCTCCAGAGGGCCATTAATGGATGTTTCACTGAGTCAACTCGATTTACCAGCAACGCCGACGGTAGATCCGCCAAGACCCCCTCCACCGAGAGGACTAGAAGATTACTACAGCTCCAGCTCGAGGAGACAGCTCTATGATGAGGATCCACTTGTACAGAGGTCGAAACAACCCATGCCGGATCCTCGGTTCATAACTTTCCAGAAAGAAGGTTCAGTGGGGGTGAGGTTGACGGGTGGAAATGAGACTGGAGTTTTTGTCACAGCAGTACAACCAGGCAGTCCAGCCTCTCTTCAAGGGCTTCAACCGGGTGACAAAATTCTTAAGGTCAATGATATGGATATGAAGGGGGTAACAAGGGAGGAAGCTGTACTCTTTCTCCTCAGTCTTCAGGAGCAAATTGATCTGATTGTTCAACACAGGAGGCAGGACTACGAACAAATTGTCGCTTCTGGAAGGGGGGACTCATTTCACATCAAGACACATTTTCATTATGAACAGCCTGAAAAGGGGGAGATGAGCTTTCGAAGTGGTGATGTATTTCATGCTGTTGACACACTCCATAATGGAGTTGTTGGCTCCTGGCAGGTCTTCAGAATTGGTAGAAATAATCAGGAGGTGCAGAAGGGGATTATCCCAAACAAGGCGAGGGCCGAGGAGCTCGCCACTGCTCAATTTAATGCCACTAAAAAGGAATTGAGTGCCAGTGAAAGTCGTGGAAGCTTCTTTAGGCGAAGAAGGGGTAGTCATCGACGATCAAAGTCTCTCGGGCGTGATCACTGGGACGATGTTGTCTTTTCCGACAGTGTTAGCAAATTTCCAGCTTATGAGAGGGTTGTTCTCAGACATCCTGGCTTCATACGGCCTGTTGTCCTATTTGGCCCAGTTGCTGATCTCGCTAGGGAGAAATTGCTCAAAGATTTTCCAGATAAATTTACCTCTCCTCAGATGGAAAGCCAAATGGAGGATGGGGGAAAGTCCACTAAGACATCTGGTATAATTCGGTTGAGTGCAATTAGAGAGGTAATGGATAGAGGAAAGCATGCCCTATTGGATATAACGCCAAACGCCGTTGACAGATTGAATTACGCTCAATTTTATCCAATAGTCATTTTTCTCAAGGCCGAAACCAAGCAAGTGGTCAAGGAGATGAGAGCAGGAATACCAAAGTATGTTTTTCCCTTTCATTACGATTATCATTAATTTGCAATTTAAATGAATATAAAATAGCTTGTATTATTATTTCAATTTTTTCTTGCTAATTTCACTTGGCCTTAATGACATGATACGCTGAGCCCTCATTAGAAATCAATACATTATTTCAGGTCGGCGCATAAGAGCAGCAAGAAGCTTCTCGAACAGTGTCAGAAGCTTGACAAAATATGGGGCCACGTGTTCAGCGCCGTTATCACATTGACGACACCCGAGGCATGGTATAGAAAACTCAGGGAGTTAATTGACCGTCAACAACAGGGACCCTTGTGGATGAGCCAGACAAAAGTGAGTGATTCTCGCTCCCTTTCTTCCAATCGTATTACCCAAAAAATTAAAACAATAGCTACAATAAAAAGAAAAAGGGAACAAACCTGCCTGATATAATATGATCAATCCAGTCATAATTCCTCTGAATGTTTATTAATAATTAATTCCTGCTTGTGCCTGAATTACAAACGAAGCGATCTTCGTTCTGAATGCCGAATGATAAAATCGATGTTCGGGTATCGGATCATTTTTTTTTCCTCCCAATTTTTTTTCCTCTGTATAAGAGCCGATAAGATATATTTGGTGTTGGTTGTTTTTGTAGCCCATAGAAGTGGTGTCGGATCTTTACCTTCCACCGTATCATCCTTATCGTCCAGTGAGCCCGCCGGCTCCTTCCGATACGGGTGTCTACCTCGAGCATAATAACAATATCAATGTGTTGCCACCACCCCGTCCACCATCGCCGCTCATTACTTCGTCGCCAATTCGTTCCCCAATTCCCACCCAGAATGTCATTCATGAGCAATTCTTCGGCTACATTTAGAGCTTTCAGTGGTCATCATCATCATCATCATCATCATCATTATCATTATCATCATAATTTCATTTTGTATTTTAACTAGTGCATTAAAACAAGTGCCAAGCATGAGCGCATGACAATGTGTCGATAGAGAGCAACAATAACAAATATAGGATTAAGGTTTCATCATGACAAAACATCACTGCCACAATGAGCTTTATTAACCCAGTAGCTAATAGATATTAATGAAGATTTCTTGAATGGTCCCATCAGTTGATTAACGCATTGACTGGTACAATTGTTCTGCTTATTCACTGAATGGTATTAACACCAAAACCATTAAAATTAATTGAAGTGTCACCTTTTAAAAGAGAATAGCAAAACATTCATCAAAACATAATTAACGTGTCCATATAACGTGGTGTCCTGTGTGTTGCTGCGTATTTTGCGTAGCCGGAAGAGGCCCTCTCGGATGATTTCCTCTTCCCGATGACATCACGCCTCTCCTACGCCTCCTCCCCGGAGAGTGATTTGGAATTAAGCCCAGCACCCCCGATTCCCGGTGCCCTGGGGCCACCTACGAGGCTTAAAAGTAGCTCTGATCCAAGTATCGCTACTCAGGATGATACCGCTGCACCCCCACCATATACATCAAGCTACCAGGTAATACTTGCGCTGAATCATGGTGAAAGGCCTTGCTGCCTAAATTCCTAACGAATTAATAACCAGTTCTGGAACATGTCATTTTTTTTTCCAAAAAATTACATTCCCTTTCTTTTTTATAAAGCTCACGAGTGTTCCACACCTGGGCAAATTTATTCTGCATCACAATGATTAATGCAAAATAAAAATTATTATGAATCTGCTAGGCATTTGAGCAGCACAAGCGTGCGCAAGGTGGGCCAACAGACAGCAAATACGGTTTCTCCATCTCTAACCAGATGAACGAACAACCAGGGCTGCCGCAATATCCTGTGCAATCCCAGACTCGGTCTCCCCATCAAGGTCCCCCGGATTTACCTCCGAGAGTCGACAGAAATGTCAAGCCGACGAGTCAGACCCCACGAGGCACAATTGGACGATCAGCAGCTGACAGATTGCTCAACAAAACAGATTCAGTCCTGGACATGGGAAATTACATCAATGCAACTCCTCATCGAGCGAATGCCACGTCGTCCCTCGAGAGGAGTCAACCCAAAACTGGAAGTTATGACAGCATGTCGTCTTATGATTCATATAATAACACCAATGGAAATGCAACGTATACAGGAACAGGTATTAACACATCTTCTGGGCGTCTTGGACCTAATGTGCCAGATGATCTCAAAACGGGGAGTATGCCAGCATCGCAAAGGCCTCATGACCCCTACAGGTTCACAAGATCGACAGCACAACCCATCAACAGCCAGGATTCGCAGACTAGGACTGATTACGCCAAATACAGGTTTGTCACTTTATCTATTTTTTTTAATCGACTTTTTCAAGGTGAAGTGTAATAATAATCATGTATGGTGCAACAGAGTGGTGGCCCGAAAACCGCGAGCGATGCGACGAGCTTATAGAATTTACATATCCCGTCGAGATACATTAGTGTAGCAAACAATGATTTGATCATCCATACCCCTACCCTTTGAGTGCATTCGTTCTGCTCCCACCATGTGCTAGATAGATTTTCTTTTGGCATTTCAGTCGAACGGGGGAGCACAACAAAGTGATAACCACAACACCGGGAAAGTCATCATCATCATCATCGGGTGGAGGTACTTACAAGCCTATACCACCCCCAAAACCCAAAAATTACCGACCACCACAGCAACAGATCGTTCAGGATGAGAATAACGGCGGTGGAATGTATCAACATGCGAAGAGCTATTCTATGAATGCCTCGTCGCACCTTCATAATGGGGTAAATGACAAAATAATCATATTAAAAAGAGAAAAATATGTTAATTGTAAAAAATAATATTACTATTTAGACAGAAAGTGGTGGTGGTGGTAGTGGTGTTGGCGGTGGTGGTGGTAACATGCAACGAAATAGCGGACAATACTACTACAACATACCTCCACCAAACCACCGAACAGCAGTCGAGACAAATTACCTGATGAATTCGAATCATAGCCACACTCACACCTCACCAAATCACAGTCATTCTCTCAGTCATACTCATTCGCATTCCAATCCACCAATAACCGGCCACGCTCACAGCAACAGCGTAGGTCAGCTGACACTAGGCCATACGCATAATGTAAATCGCAGTAATGTCAATCCCAACGGGCACAGCCACAGTAACAGCCACGTGGGCACAATTCATCCTTCAGGAGGTAATTCTGGTCACAATCGTGAGACAAGTGGATTAGATTTAGCTGGAAGTCGTGAGCAACGTGGAAGTGCTTTCGAATTATATCGAAAGCCACCGCTCCATCATCACAATGTCAGGTAAGTCATATTTAGCATATCATACTGATATCATCACGAAATTAACATTTTTTCTGTTTTATTAACATATATTGAAGGCTATGCTAACTAACTAAGGAGGAAATTAAAAAAATGCATTGTTGATTATAATGATTGAAATGAAGGGGCGGTGGTTGGTCTCTTAGGAACACTGGGGTGGCCCGCGGTTTGTTCGATAGCGAGGGTGGTGTCCTCGAGGGACCGGGCGGGGTCACTTTAACAATACCTCCGGGTGCACTAGCTCCAAATACAAGACAAGAGATTTACTTCGCGGTCACAACCCCGCATGCTATTGAATCACATAACAACGATCATCGTCGTACATCTATCTCACCGCCAATGCACCATGGTGAGCTTGCTAATGCACTATAAAAAACCACACATGTTAATCTCACTTCCATTTTTTAAACCTTTTCCATAAAAGCGATTCTTTGAATTTTAACACATCATCTATTACCTTTTACCCACCAGAATTTCTCGTTATTTTCAAATTTTTATCAATTATTTAATTAAATATTCATCAATATCAATGAATTTTTGTCGATAGGTGAATCTTTATTGAGTCCCGTAGTGGAGTGTGGACCACGAGGACTTGAATTCAAGGTTCCAGTTGACCTGAGGATTCCCCACAATGCAACATCCGCCCACAAGCTGGCCCTAAAAGCTACGGACGTTGATGCAACATCTAGTAGTGATTGGATGGACGTGAAATTGCCAAAGCCCACGTCAGATCATGTACTCGTTAAACTCGATCACTTCTAAATTCTCCCCCACCCTTTAGCCTATTAATCCTCAATAAGATTTAATGCTTATTCTCTATCGAAAAAACAGACTATTTTGATTAGACATAATCCACAATAATTTTTCCTCGCGATTACTCAATTGTATTCGGTAGAAAGGAGAGCAAGGCTGAAATACCAAATGAGCAGAGTATATCGAACTATTATTAGAGTTAAATGAGAAGAAAAAATAATGAAACATTAATGCAATGTGGCTTACATATTTTTTCTCTTTTTTGTTGTACGCGTTGTTGCCTCTTGAAACATTCATTCATGAAAATAAGTCAGCAGTTGATATGTAGCACGTCTCATTATTTTCTTTTTTGTTTACTCATTTTTAATAATTTGTTTATTGAGATTATTTTGATTACGCAAAGCTGTGTAGAGGAAAATGCATTTTTAAAAGCAATACTTGGTGATAATTTCGCTGCGCTATAGTCCCTAAATTTGAGACTGTAGAAGGCTTAATGAACTTATATACATAAATACTATATAACGAATAAGTTCCTTTTTTACTTATCCAAAAGAAAGCTCAATTGTTGTCTTAGCCAAGTTGACTTACAATTACCAATTGAATGTTTATTTGTATGACTCAATAAAGATATGCAAAAGTTTCTATGAATGAAGGTTTCATCTTACTGCCCCTTTTATGTAAAAAAAATTACTGCACCCTAAGAGAGGGAGAGCGCTACACGCAATGCTGGGGTGTCCATCAAGTCGCCGGGGTGAATTTTATTTTCTGCGGTATTAATGTTTTTTGCTTTTTATTTGTTTAACTGAAATTTAACCGACCGTAGAACGAGCGGAAGGGGGAAGCAACATCTGGAATTTCATTTCGAATTTTAGCTCAGAGTTATTAAAAGGGAAGTTGGAGGGATATTACTGAGAAGTCGCTGAGTCGGCTAACGACAGATACCCCAGCGTTGCGTGTGGTGCCCTCCCTCTTATGGGGCCCAGTACTACGATACCACAGGGGTCACTCAAACCCGCAGAACTGAGCCTCTACTTTAGGCGATTTAATTTTTGACGAGCTGATTTCAAAGCCTCCGACTGCTAATGATTTGTTTCAACGAATTAACAGTTATTAAAAATATCTTCACAAATTTGTCAGTGATGTTTACTTGATTTACGTCAATAATAATTTAATATCGTACTTACCGTTTTGGGCGGAGATATAAAATACGACGTAAATTTAAGGCCCGGATGGATTATCTGGAAAATATAACTTACTCCGAAATTTGGA